GTTGTTAGCCGTGTCTTTATCAGTGAAAGCCTTCGTGGAGTCATTGAGAGTCCAAACAGTCACGTGGTTTACGGATAATCAGAACGTTGTCCGGATCGTTAATTCAGGGTCTAAGACTCCAGCATTACAAGAGCTTGCAATGGATATCCATCGTAGTTGTTTGCTTAGTGCTATTAACATCAATATGCAATGGATCCCAAGAGACCTAAATAGTGCGGCGGACGATATAAGCAATTTCATTGATTATGACGACTACACTATCAACGATACGGTCTTCAGTGCTCTTGACGACTTATGGGGTCCACATACCTGCGATAGGTTCGCTTGTTCCTACAATGCCAAAGTCCAATGCTTTAATTCTAGGTTTTACCAGCCTGGTTCGAGTGGCGTTAATGCGTTTTCTCAGGATTGGTCTCATCATAATAACTGGCTGTGTCCCCCTGTGTATTTAACGTGTAAAGTTATTAAGCATATGGAGCTGTGCTGTGCTCAAGGAACTCTGATCGTTCCCCTTTGGAAGTCAGCCCACTTCTGGCCCATCCTGTGTTCGGATGGTTTCCATTGGAGTACATTTATCCATGACTGGGTTATCCTGCCTAACTTTCCTAATTTGTTCATTAGAGGAAAAGCTAAGAACTCTATTTTTGGTAGTAAGCCATTGGCTTTCGTTTCGTTAGCTCTACGTCTTGACTTTAGCATCATTCCCAGATTAGATTCCGAGTTATCTCGTAAAAGCTTTCTAGTTCCTTGTGTTTGATTCCATTCGGGCTAGAGTTCGCTGCTGTTTCCACTATGTACCGATAAGGCGTATTATATTTGCGCGAAGTACTTATTATTTGTTGATAATCATTTTCTAAGTTAAACGTGTTAGGCCTTAGAGAGGCATCCAGGAGAGGCCCTAGAGGGGCGATTTGTCATATGTATTTTCATTTTGTACCCTAGAGGGGTATTTTCTGTTGGCTTTGTGCAAACGCCCTAGAGGGCTACGTCCACTAGAATAGCATGGTTTTTTTCTCTTGTATCGTTTTACGCAGAAGTGTATTGCCTGATCGGCAAAGTGGTCTTCCTGAGTGAAGACAGTGAGTTAAATGTAAATTCAGCGTTGTGTGCATTGCTGCCTGTCCATTGATATTTTTTTTTTCTTTTTCTTAATATTTGTCCTTTTCCTTTTTTTTTTTTTTTTTTTCTTTATCCTTAGATATCTTCTCTTCCGTTTTCTGGTCTTCAGAGGCCCAAAATTCCCCGAGAGTGGATCAGCTAATGGAGAATCTCAAATCTACCGTGCTTGCTTCCAGAGCGTCTGGGACATTCGCAAATTACTTGGGGGCGTTTAACAAGTGGAGACCCTTTGCTAGTGATGTCTTGGGTACCTCGGAGTTTCCAGTCAGACCAATCGATTGTGCCCTCTACTTGCAACACCTCCTCGAGTCGTCCAAGTCCGTCGCTTCCATCAACTGCGCCTTTTACGCGTTCAAGTGGGTACATCTTCTTGCAGGCGTCGACCCTCCAACATTACGCCCTACTGTTATTGCCGTAAAGGAAGGAGCTGTTCGCCTTGCCAGTCAGCCAATAGTCAATAGAAAGGAGCCCCTGGACGCTCACCACCTCAAGGTCCTTGCTGCAGAGACTAATCTAGAAGACCTTTTACAATTACGAAATTTAGTTATGTTCATTCTCGCATTTTCCGGTTTTCTTAGAAGTTCCGAGTTATGCATTATGCGTAGCAGGGATGTTCAGTTTAACGAGGGTTACATTACAATCAGCATAGAGAAAAGCAAGACGGACCAACTGAGGGAGGGCAGGTCGGTCGTTATTGCTGAGTCCTCATCTATCACGTGTCCCTGTTCTTTACTTAAGCGGTATATGCATAAGGCCCAGATTCCTGAAAATTCAGACGAGTATCTTTTTAGGGCCATTTCAACTTCGGGCAATCACAAGCGCCTTATCTCTGTAAACAAGCCGATTTGTTATTCTACCTATAGGCAGTCCTTTAAGAAGTCTTTCGCGAATATTGTACCAGATATCTCTAAGTATAGCACTCATTCAGCTAGGTCAGGTGGAGCTACTTTAGCTGCCAGCTCTGGCATTTCGGAGAGGAATCTTCAGCGCCATGGTCGCTGGGCCTCAGTCACAGCAAAGAACATTTATGTTAAGGATTCTCTTTCCAGTAGGCTAGAAGTTTCCAAGGCTCTGTTTCTCTGAGCTCAAGCCCTACCTTTAGCTTTCTATCTTGGGCCTAGCTGACCAACGCGCCCATGCCTCAACCTTTGAGTGTGTTCGGTTGTGTAGTGAAGGCAAAATATGTAATTTGTGATAATCGGTATTGACACAAATTAATATTTTGCCGACACGGAACGGAGAGAACTGGGTGCGAGCGTAGTACGCGAAGGCTCATGGGTAGTATGTTTGTAAGAAGAGACCGTTGAGAAACTTGTGGCATTCTACGGTCAGCCTTGCCACTAGCGCTTTCCCATAAGGTTTATTTTTATTGTGTAATTAGCCTGATATGATTTGTTTTCTTCATTCTCTTCATTGTTTATAGATCAACCTTAAAACCCCAAAGGTGGCGCCACTGCAGTTGGTCGGGGGTACACGGTCCCTATTTTCCTAACAAGAGGTTTTGGGGTTTACGTGTCCGGCTTTGGCGCATGTAGGACGTTACTTGATGTATCTCTTATCCACTTTGTTGTAAACTCATTGTCACAATTAAAATATATCTTGGGCCTAGCTGACCAACGCGCCCATGCCTCAACCTTTGAGTGTGTTCGGTTGTGTAGTGAAGGCAAAATTTGGCTTTTATTGTATACGAAGACTAATTTTTTAGTGCAGTACTATAAAGCTGGGATTTCTCATTCCCCTTTATTATGTGGCTTCTAAAAAGGAAGTGTAGATTTGCGTCACGAACAGTCACGTTGTATATCAATTTGTCACTAGTTGATAGGTTTTGTTTGTCTGGCATGTTATTGATTTTAACCTGATTTACCGGTTTTGTATTATGTTCAAATCACCCGTCTATATGTATGTGAGATCATTCTGACACGTGTAGGTCAGTTGATTTGCGAGTTAAGAGTTTGGAGTGGAAAATATTTTCGATTCGATTGAGCAATAGACTCATTCGATCAGTTCACTATGGTCGAGTTTATAAAAGGTAGGATCTTCACGAATAAACATATGACAAAGAAGCAATTTTGTGGAGTCGGAGTCAGCATCATCCTAGAAACGCTTCTTTTGCGCTTTATTGATTGTAGATTTTCTTGTGCTACGGTTTTTAAAAATATATAACAGCACGCGCAAAAATACCCTTTACAAAATAGGCCAATTTGAAAGGAATTCTTTTTCATGAGACTTAGCAGGGAGTTATATATTACGTTTTATTGATCGGCAACACGACCGCATGACATGGGCTTAAATGAGGAGCGGAAACTGTCGATTTCTTTAAGGCCAAAAACTCGAGGTTTTTTTTTTTTTTTTTAAAGAGTGACCTCTTCTTAAATAATTTGTAGGGTGAAAATTTTCAACCATGCTCATGAAAATTGGCCAGAATGTTCCTCAGATATTGACGCACTTACGGGTATGAGGCTTTTACGAAATTCGAAATATTTCTCTCGTGACGTCTCGGAGCGTGACAACAACCGAAATATTTTCTATTTTCTTACTTCAAACTAGATTATCTCAGGAAATACTAGGAACAACCAAAAAGCCTCAAACCATTTGTTAGCCTATCATAAGCTGAATGATACCGTCCACTTTGTTTGGAGGAAGGCGGTAACGCGAAGGCTAATAATTCAGTAAAGCAAATACCGTTTTGTGTTTTTCTAAAATTTTTTTTAGGCCCGCGCGCGCCTTAAAAAAAAATAAAAACTTGGAAAAAATGAAGTTATGCTCAGGAACTGTATTTTATGAGCTTACAGTGTTATATAGCTTTCCGTAGTTTCTTCTATAGATGTGCGCTGTGGACGATTTTCCCGGAAGGTACCCCATTTTGTTGACATTAACCTTAAATTGATGACAATCATCTTAAATTCAAATCATAACGTCTTTAATGATACATCAACACTCAAAACGATGATACATTAAGTCTTATGACACTATACACGAAATAGTTCAGTAAATCGTATACAATAACTTATTGAAAGTTCTCAATTGCGAGTCGAAATAAGTCTCCTTAGATTTGACCTCTATCAACTAGGTAATCTATACTAGGGTGAAAACTTATCTCATGAAAAAGTAGTGGAACATCTTACAATTAGCTAGGTTGTAAATCTATTCACTACAATATTGGAATTTCCAAAAAAGACACTTCTTACAAAACAGAAAAACACATTCTGATTACTGTATTATGTTTTCTACAACTAAAATCTGCAGGCCTCGCTGATGATTTACATAGAAGCCGTTGTCTTCTTACATAGACGTCAATTACATATTCCCCTTAGCTTAAGACAAGGCAATAATGAAAACTGTCTCCTGCATTATATTAATTTTTTCTTTCCCAGCGAAGTGAGTTACGAACAAAAACGAAGCTCACAAAGTGGTCTTAACTCTCCCTAAAAGTTACTTCTAAAAACAGCCTGATCATATACAGGGAACTGTGTAATATCAGTTACACTTAAATGTATGTGTTCACCCCCCTCCTGGCTGTTTGATAATATATGCTACAGATTGAATGAATGTTTCCGGACCACTGCCCTCGCTTTGTAATTAATATATAATCTTGTCACCAATTCCTATATTTGTCTTTTAATTACTGCAGATGTTCTGGTGTAAAAGAAAAAGAATTTTAATATTTTAAGCCCGCTTCCATCCTTGAAATTCATAACTAGTCTTATCTTGGCTAAACCTAGTTACTCTCTGAATAATTACAATCGTTAAGGTTGAGAATAACAAAGGAGGTCATTCAGAGAATAAATAGAATCTCCAATGTTTTACATTCGATGGTTGAACTCAAAATTGATTAATTGATTTTGGTTCGGCGCAATAGTACAAAAAAAATGTGAACAAGTTTATTCCAATATCTGTACACGATGGTTACAAACGTCACAAACAATAATTTGGCCATTGCTGAGAACTGCTAAAGAGGCTGGATTATTGAACTCTCCTAAATTGCCACCCTTTATTCCAAACTTGCCGAAAAACTTTCCATTCAGCTCAAATACTTGTATTCTGTGGTTATTTTCGTCACAGACCATCAAGTGACCTGATTTGTTCACCGACAAACCTCTGGGACTATTTAACTCCCCGTCCCCTCCACCCTTCTTTCCAAACTTGTACTGAAAGTTTCCTTTCCTGTCAAACACTTTGATACAATGTTCACGGTTGTCTGACACTATGAGATATCTTTCATATTGAATACAATGGACAGGAAAAGTAAAAAATCCCTGCTCTCCTATCTTCGTTAGAAAATTGCCATCAGGAGAAAATATCTTAATCAGCTGGTTACCTGAATCAGCGACAATGATATTCCCATCACTGTCTACCGATAAACCACAGGGACTACTGAGCTGACTATCAAGGCTTCCTCTCCCACCAAAGGATCCCACGTACTCACCCTTCCCTTTGAAAATATGGATTTTACTGTTCCCATCGTCTGCCACGAAAATATTCCCATTATTATGATATGTTATTCCGACAAGAAATTTAACTTCTCCCTCTTTGGTAGCAGACAGACCGAACGATCTTAAGTAATTTCCTACACTGTTAAAAATTTGGACTCTCTGGTTGTAACTATCAGCAACAACTATCTCATCCTTTGCATTTACTGCATTTACTGCTACCCCCCAAGGAAACCGAAACATTCCCTCAGACGAGCCCCGTTTCCCGAAGGAAAGTACAGGTTTAAACTGAAATGGTGTTACCTGCACAGCAAAAGGACTGTTACGGACATGTTCCCCGTTTACCTTTACAGTCACTTGACATTTTCCTGGATGTCTGGGACAATATCTGACTTGATAGAGTCCATCTTTACAGTCATTTATTTGTATTTGTGACGTGCATTCTCGTCCTTGCTCGTCCCTGATCTCCACCGTTACATGGCCACGTTCATTGTAACACCGTCTTCCTTCGGTGTCCTTTGTTGTCAAGGTAAAGTGAGCTTCACGGAGAGCAATTCCTTCCTCCAGTCCTTTGCCTTCCATATCACAATGACCTACTTTTGTTGGTTTTTTCAAAGTTCCAATTTGTTCGGTTTTGACAGTGTTGAACAACTTATAATTTTCCACGAAGACAAAATGAGCAACAAGTTCGGGGTCACAGTCAGTTGGCTCGATTTGATGAACTCCTTCAAAGATGGTGTCTGATGATTTCTTGAGTTGAACGATTTCAGCGTTTGTACTTAGGGTGAAAAGTTTCTCAGCCTTCTCCAGAGATGATTTTATGGCCGTCATTTGACGCTCGATCTCGGTCTTTTGCCTTGTTACGCTTTCAATCGACTTGTTTGTTTCTTTTTCCACCTCTGCGAATATGTTTTTCTTGTTTGCTTCAATGACAGCAATTAAATTGTCAACAAATGTTTGAATCTCTCTCTTCACATCTTCGCCTTGTTGTATCAGTGTGGCACATTCTTCATCAAGTCGGCTCACGGCATTCATCTTTGCTTGTAAATTGTGTCGCTGTTTTTCAATAAAAGACTTCATTTCAGTCTTTTGTCTCTCCGCTTCTTCTTTGATTAACTTCATATTATGACCTCCATGATCCAATGTGACACATATTTGGCAAAGTGGCGTTTCACAGTCTTTGCAAAAATACTTTAGCTCTTCTTTGTTATGATCTTCCTTAGGACAGAAAACCGGTCGTTTCATCAGATCTTCATAGTCCTTGTCTTGAAAGTCTTTGAGCGCTAGAACACGATGATCTTTATTGCTGCGAATGATGTTGTGTCCAATGATGCACTCGTCACACCAAAACGCGCAACAATGAAAACAATAGGAACTCTCGGCGCTTTTCTTGTCGCAATTTCCACATCGTACTTGGCTGGTTTTGCACTCTTTAATTGCTAGCACATCAATCAAGCCGTTCAGATAAAAGCTGGTAGGAAGATCTGTCAAATCGCCACTTTCAGGCACTCTGCTAATAGCTTGACACTTCGGGCATCTGATTGTGTCTCGGCCATGGCTTGTTGTGTGCCAGTGTTTCAAGCAGTGCAGACAAAACGTGTGTAGGCATGAAAGGTGCTTTGGATCAGTGTACACGTTAGTACACACTGGGCACGAAACTTCTTCACGAAGATTGTGAAGCAGCGTTTTGATATCCATCTGTTTTTCCCTAAGAACTGATCACACGCTCGTGCAAAGTAGCTTTTCTCGGAATTGAAATCGAAACAATGATGCCTTGTGACTTTATTTTTAGCTATTCTTGGAATTAGTTATTTGTTATGAGAACAAGTTATGTGTACAAACCAATCACAGAACTTCTTAATACAAAAAAACACTTTAATCAAGGATTCCTTGGATACCTGGCTCTCTGAAACGTAAAATCTGACTCGCCCGCAGTCGATCGGCTTGAAGATGTCACGGAAAACGAGAAAATCATTGGAAGGAGACAACCAATGGACACCTCGTAAAAGAGGGTTTTGATCCTTCTGGGAAAGTTTCCCCTGTCCTTTATTGACCATGGATTTGATTATGCCACGGTCTTAAATAAAATACATTTTAAAGCCTGGATCTATAGCATAACAGGGGAAAGAAACTTGTAAACATACCTCGTATGGCTCCACGCGTGACCTAATCAGACTCGCACACACCCACCGAGCGTGACGTCACACATCCAACATTGTAGCGTGCTCAGAGTTCCTCTTTCAAAACAGGCGATAATCGTTTTTGATTTTTTTTTCTCGCACTGAATGCTTCCTTTTCAATCATGCCAACGATTCTTAACTTTTAAGATCATATTTTGATAATCTCACGATGATTTGTTTCACCACTGGAGGTTTCAAACGACTGCTTATTCACATAAAATGCTACTAATATTCCCCTTTGTCTCGGCCATGGCTTGTTCTGTGCCAGTGTTTCAAGCAGTGCAGACAAAACGTGTGTAGACATGGAAGGTGCTTTGGATCAGTGTACACGTTAGTACACACTGGGCACGAAACTTCCTCGCGAAGATTGTGAAGCAACGTTTTGATATCCATGTGCTTTTCACTAAGAACTGAACATACGCTCGAGCATATCAGCTTTTCTCGGAATTGAAATCGAAACAATGATTCCTTGTGACTTTTTTTTTGTAGCTATTCTTGGAATCAATTATTTGTTATGACAGCAGGGTTTGTGTATAAACCAATCAGAAAACTTTCTTAAGACAAGAAACACTTTAATCGAGGATTCCTTGGATTCCTGGCTCTCTGAAATGTGAAAACTGACTCGCCCGATGTTGTTCGGCTCGAAGATGTCACGAAAAACGAGGAGATCACTGAAAAGAGACAACGAATGGACATTTCACAAAGGAGGATTTTGAAGAGTCTGCGGGAGCACCCTTCTTGGAAAGTTTACTCTGTCCTTTGTTGACCGTAGATTTGATTGTGCTACGGTCTTATATAGAATATATTTTTAAACCTGGATCTACAGCATAATAAGAGAAAGAAACTTGGTAAACACACACCTCGCATGGCCCCACGCGTGACCTGATCAGACTCGCAAACACCCATCTCGCATAGCTCCTTGCGTAACCTGATCAGACTCGCACACACCCACCTCGCATGGCTCCTTGCGTGACCTTATCAGACTCGCACACACCCACCTCGCATGGTTCTACGCGTGACCTGATCAGACTTGCACACACCCACCAAGCGTGACGTCGCACATCCAACATTGCAGCACGCTATCCTTTTCGATTTTTTTTCTCTCACTAACTACTTCTTTTTCAATCGTGCCCACGATTTTTAACTTTTAAGATCATTTCTTGATAAGTTAACGATAACTTGTTTTACCAGTGGAGGTCTCTTACAAAAATTATTCACAATGAAGTACTTCTAATATTTCCCTTAAAAAGGCTGAAAACTGTCAAAGGAAATTTGTATGGAGGAGGCTTAGGATATTTTGTACTGCAGGCAATCAGATCACACTGATCAGGATTCGCCTTATTGATTTCTCCCAGTCGTAAAGCTTGCTACAACAGATGGAGTATTTTCCAGCAAAGGAATGCGGTATTTCAAGAACAAGGCCACCACTTTAGGTATAAGCCTCTAGAAGGTTTAACAGTTTTATTGACATCGTTTTCACAAGCGCGACGTTCTGTGGTCAATGATAAGCAGTAGGCTTCGGTGATCAAACGTGAACTCATAACCTTGGTCCAGACCAGATGTAAAGGAGCTAGAAATACATGACACGCGTGGTTCCTCGCGTGGCGTATCGCGTGACCTGATCAAACTTGTAAACCTTCGTGCCAACGCCTTTTTCTAGGATTTTTCTTTCGTATAGAGAATATCGTCGGTTAGAATGACCGAGAACAATATATGTGTTTCTTGATAGTTTGATCTAAGCTTTTCAGTGCCATCTTAAGATTCAAGCAGTTTGTCAAATTTATGTGAGGCAAGAAATTCATGATTAACCTCTAAAATACACGAAGCGGTTGGCATCTTACAATAATCGCACAAAGAACTAAAAAAGGCCATTTGATTTCACGGTTATGTTAGCTCGCATAATAGACGTATAAAGTCTCGAAGAGGGACTCAGATATCTCCTCCGGGGGTGTCGGGTAGGGGGTCTGTCAAAACCCTCCTTTCCTATCAACCAATAGGTTGTGATCAGACCCAGTCTCTGTAGAAAAACAACAAGTTCGGGCTGACTTCAGGTTGTAGCACACACCCCTCTGCAGAAGTGACAAGTAACATCAAGTGTCGTTCCTGATAACTGTCCCATTTGCTCTGCCTAAATAATTATCATAGTTTCCCCTAAACTATCTCGTGGGAGAGTTCGTTTTGGCTTTTTCTGTACTTATACCTCGCATTTTTCAGCGACAAAACATGTCCCTTTCGCTTTCCCAAGCAAAGGCGTCCAAATGCACAACTGGAGGTATCACCAAGCGTTTACACGATTCAACAGAGCGGTGTAAACCAAAATCCCAATTTTTCCATTTCTCAGTCCATAAATGCATTGTTTCCATTGTTACCAACAATTTTGACTTAAAAGATAATTTTTGATGATTTCACGACAACTTGTACCATTGGTGGAGGTTTTCTTGAAGTTTTTATGCTATTTTGTAATGTGGTGTCACCATGTACTAGGCAGGAATTGGTCGTTTCCTTTCAGTGGTTTCTGAAAGGTAGGAACTTTACAAATGGAAACACTGAGATTTTATACGGCAGGTAATCAGAACATACTGATCAGGATTCGCTATAATTCGCTCGGTTGTGGAGCTTGCTACATGAAACTAAAAAAGTTGACTCAGGAGAGTAATGCGGTGTTTCAAAAACAAGGCTACTATTTCAGCTCTAAGCAGCTTCTTTGAGAAGGTTTTATTGGTTTAATTACATAGTTTTTACAAGTGTGATGTTATACGATCAAACGTGAACCCAAAACTTATATCCGGGTAGGGTGAAGAGGGAGGAAGAAAGACACGGAGCACGCTAAGCGTTGCGCCCTACCTCGCGACTAGATCAAAATCGTAGGCCTTTCCGTCAATGCCCTTTGAAGAATTTCCCTTACTTGTAAAGAATATTTTCAGGTAGAACAGCCGAGAAAATACGTTTCTTGATAGTTTGCTCTAAGCTGAGCAGTGCCATCTTAAGATTTATGCCATTTGTTAAATTTCTATCGGGCAAGGAATTAATTTTTATCTCTTAAATACACAAGGCAATTGGCATCTTACAATAATCGCAGAAAGAAAACTGAATAGGGTCATTTGATTTCTCGGCTCTTAGCTTGCATAATATACGTCTAAAGTCTCAAAGAGTGGCTCAGATATCTCCTCAGGGGGGTCGGGCAGGGGTTTGTCAAAACCCTCCTTCCCTATCAGCCAATATGTTGTGACTAGACCCAGTCTCTGTAGAACACAATGAAACGAGGTTAAATCTAGTTAATTTAAACTAATTTAAGAGTTCAGCACATCTCTTTTTACATTATTAAGTTATGATTGTTGATAATAACTACTCCACTTACGCTGCCGAAAAAGATTTCCCCAATTGATAATGTGATAATTTCCCTTAACGCCCTCGTAAGAGTTTTCCTTTAGAGCTTGCTTTCTATATACTTTGCATTTGGAGCGATAAAAATATTTCTTTTCTCCGCACTTAGGGAACGTTCCCGTTGGCTATTGCAAGTACAATGCGTTCATTTGTCTTTATGAGTCCAGGAAACAAATTGATGTATTTAAGCTTCTTTTCAGCGCCGTTAAGTCATTGTACGATCACCAACGTCTTCGAAAGAAACGCCATGTGAAAAACGCCATTTCTCACCTTAATCTGTGCCTGGCCTTTCTCCTGGAGATGATAGCCTCCAAGCTCCACCAATTTGGCGCGGGACTCTCGGCTGACGTGGATACGATGAGCTGGCGAAGCAACAGAGGCCTTATAATAAATCCTCACGGTTTTATCAAGAACTCCTTTATGAATTCTGTGCTCTACCTTCCCCAATCGACAAATTTGTTTGAAAAGGAAATCGGAAAAAAAATTTAGACAGGTTATCTGACAACTAAATTGTATTACTGATTTAAATTCACATTTTCGATTTTATATGTTAGAGTGGGGTTGGGAATTTATTTTCAACCAAAAAAGAAATCGTTTTACGCTATTGACTAGCCCCCACATTGTTTGGAAACGTTCGGTCTGGGAAAAATACTTGCAAGCGAGTGCGCACATCTTAGCAGGCCTTCATACTTAGCTAACAGGCTTTATACTTAGCTACCAGGCCTTTATAGCTGTTAGGTCTTCATTCGTAGCACAAATCAAAGTCAGTTATTCGTTGAAACTAAAGTAGGACAACAGAGCACTTACGAAAGCCACTGCTCTCCATCTTGGATGCGATATGAACAGTATGGCCGTACAGACAAAAACGGGGCATTGTGACGCCAACTACACCAGCAACAACAGGACCTGAGGGTCAGTACAGCACAGTATGTAAGAATACATTACACTTATGGAACGGCTATGGAGCCTTTAAATCTTCTTCACAACGTTTACATGAACATGGTTAACAACAAAACATTCTTATCAGCCAAGGCCTTGTAGCCTTGTTGCCCTAACTGATAAGAGAGTTCTCTAACCTCCATCCTTAATTCGAATTTTCTATTCCTTTGGAATAAGATGCTAATCAAGCGCATGTTTCCTTCTTCCCCTCCCCCCCCCCCTGGATTTCGAAAAGTCACCTTGACGGTTTGTTTTTACCAGCTTATGTTCCTGTACCCGTTTAATTTATTCAAAGGACGGAAAACACCATCCGCTGAAAAAATCTCTATCCAATAGATTTTCGCTGTATAGCAATGTATCTGTTCGATGACGTTATTCGCCCTTTGAATAACTGAGCCTTATATAAAAATAGCTACTGTGAGGGAGAAGTGCCTCGCCCAGGAACTCAACACGATGGTTTCGACGAAAGTTCAATCCTTGAACTTTTTATCCGGGGTCCTGTGGTTTTGCCTGTACGGCCAGGTTACTGAGTAGTTTCAAAGATGGCGGCGATCATAGTCCAAGCTACCTGTGTGTATTCCAATTCTGAGTTGAAGCTGATGATCTGGAAGATGACGGACACGAAAGAAAAACATGTGACTTAGAAGCTCCAAAGCCATGCTCGCGATCTCTCCAGCGTGTTTGTTGCCGTTCAACTTGGGACATCCGCTAACCACGACGTATGCATCACCGACAGTCTCGACCTGAAAGGAACGTTATTGTCACAAGGGTTCTTGCCGAACAAATTGGTCCTCAGACCTTGCAAGGGAACGATCGTGTCAACTTTAACAAAACTGTAATAAAATAGTGCTAATCATAGAGAAAATTGTCAGATTTTCCCTTTGTTCAGCGCTCCTAAGAAAATGAATAACATCTTTCTTTACACAACGAGCGCGTTCAAACTTTACCATCTCCATTTATAATTGAAATTTCTGACTCCAGCAGTTTGCAGGATGGATTTGAACTATGAGCCTCGTAATGGTGGGATTTACCAGAAGGCCTGGAGCTGATAAGAGCTTTGTCCCACACCAGGCTCTCACTTGACTCTGGCGTGCTCGTGCCTCTTCTGCGTTGTAACCAAGTTGAAGGTGTATAATTGTAAATTTTTTGTTTGATTCGTCTTAAGGAAAAATATGAAGGAGCGGAGTGCATGGCATTTCAAAAGCATTCAGCACTTACCTTGTAAACGTCAAATCGTGTGATTATCTCGTCAAAAGCGACGTTGAGATCGTTCAGGAAATCTACAATCTACATTCGAAGGAGGACATGGTAGATGATAAGCTTCATTATTATATGGCAAGAAGGGCTTGGGGAAATCTGGGCGTTCTGGTTGGTTGTTACTAGGTTGGTATTTTGCCTAACGGACTGTTTCCACGAAACATCGCGTACTGCCACGACCTAGGGCAAATATTACCCACTGCGACCCTTATACTCGATGAATAAAAAGTTAATTCGATTTCATTGCCAAGATGGGCTTGCCAAAGAAAAATTTTTTCCAGACTGATTGCACGAGAGTAATTTTAGCTTAACTTAGCGTAGTTCGTATACACTGCTCATCGTTTTTATACCTCTAGTGGTTTGCTGAGAGACGCCAGCTTAGTGAATCCCACAACGTCACTAAAGAATATGGTGACTTCTTCAAACTCCTGAGCTTGGACTGAACTGCGTGTCTTCAATTGTTCGGCGACCATCCTACAGACAGAGAGCAATAGTAAATTGAACTATTTTAGGGGAAGGAACCACTAGTATGCACTGACCAAAATCCTTCACGCCTTTTTTGGTCTTGTTCGTCGCCTACGTTGGATGTTTGCGAGCGTAATAACTACAGTATTGTCAACTTTTTGACATAATAGTGTGTGTCGGAATGCGAGGCTAGAAACCAATGAATAGATTAATTGATTTTAGCAGCATTTATATATTTCAAAAGCTTTCATTTGCGCTGTTGAAACGAAACTAAATCCAACCAAAGGGAAGTTATGACAATAATATAAGTAACAAAGATCAATAGAAGCTGCAACTCTAATAGATGCATAAATTCCAACTTACGGTGGAAGAAGACGATTAAGCAGCTTCTCGGTTCGTTCTTTCTCTTCGTTTAGTTGTCTTGTTCGCTCGTCCACAAGTCGCTCCAAGTGATTGGCGTGCTTTTCCATCATAGACACCATATTTTCTGCAATGTTTGATCCCCTGAACAATGCAGAGGAAATTGGTAAGTACTAAAATTAGCTCGCTTTGTGCGAAATGATGGAATAAATTTAACAGCCTATCGCACAAACAAAAAATATTTTTAAGTGCCACGTTGTAATGATGATGATGATATTAGGGACTGTGATGATAAGTAATGGTAATTAACTGAGTGAGTGAAATTTGGTCCTAAATCATACGCGTGATTTCAAAATCGAACGGGCGCGCAGTGCGAGTTTCATATTTCGAATCATAAAAATAATATCATACCAAAATTTCACGACACGAAATTCAATTACCACTTTATTGCATTTATTTTTAAATTGTTAAACTCAATTTTCTAATAAAATTAATTCAGAGTTTCGAAAAGAGATAAAGTTTTAAGAACAAAAGTTGCAAAATTTGAGACATGATAGCTTCTTTGTCTCTCATTACCTGTAATGTGATTGGTTACTTTATACACGCTTTGAAATCTGATTTGTTGCTTTCTATTTTCTATAGAAAAGATGCCATTTGAAGCAAAAAAAGTGGAATAAGGGAATAAATCATTCTACTGTAAGCCAATCAGATTGCAAGGTTTACTAATAATTTCAATGAGCATGTAATATTGATAAATATACTTAAATGATTATACCTGCCGCTAATCTTCTTGAGGCGATCTACGATGCGAAAAAAATGCGGCCTTTCTTCGGGATCATCACTCCAACAGTCGACCATCAAATCAACGAACTCGGGCCTCACTTCCACCGAGGTCAGGTCTGGGCGGAATGGAGGGTCGTCATGCCCCATGATACGATGGATAATTTCTGTATTACAAAAGGAACAAAAAAAATTGCTCAATACAAATGGAAAATAGTTTGTGTCCAGTATGACACGATGTTTCATCTCAGCCAAGGAAATCATCAGAGTTTCCTAGTTGGGAATCGCATTCAAAGACTCTTACAATGTTCTTTGTTTGTTGTTTCTATGTGCAGAAATGTAGCTTGTTAACACGCGGTTGGGAATTATTCTCCGATAAAGGGCCACATTTCTATCATCAGCGAATTTTCTTAACAATTCCAAAAGTATCTGATGATTCTAAACGACCAGCCACGAACTTTTTCTCACAGAAATAAAAAGAAAATAAATAAATACACAGTATGTGTGATTTGTAAGAATGACTGTCTTTCCTCGGTAAGGAATTATCCAGCTAAAGAGGTGAATTCTCTCTCTGTAAGGCTGAGAGGATTGTTGAAGGAAATCCACTGCACAAAAAACATGTAAACTCGAATGTGTTCTTTTGCGCCGGCGTGCGCTGTTAATTCAACAGCGGTATCCTCTCATCCACAAAGATGAGGTTTATGTAAGGCAAGGACTGGAGTCCTCACAAAGATGATTGATTTTAATCGGAGCCGTATCTGTCTATATCGTTTTGAAAAGCTGTTTAATGTACCTTTAGGCCCAAGAGGACAATCAATGAAGGGTTTTGAGCGAGTAGCAATTTCCTGTAAGATAATTCCATAACTGTAGACGTCAGCTTTCTGTGACAAGCCTTCTCTCTCCACCTTGCTTAGATTTATGTGTTCTGGTGCTGTCCATAACAGATCTGTAAAAGAAAATGAAGAGATGAGTATGCCGTCACTAAGTATGCCAAAAGCACTGACAGATCAACGCGAAAAAGAGCAAGGGAAATGAAAGCGAGATTGGTCTGATCGATAGACTCTCTGGTTTCATGTTTTCATTCCAGGAACTATTGGATGTTTTACACCAACTGAGTGCCTGACACAGGCTTAGCAACATTATTTTTAAAGAAAGATGCTGATTGTTTTGTCGCTCTTTTGGGGCACAGAAATAAATCTGAATCCTCATGAGGAATCGAACCACATACCCTCGTTCCATTCCACCACTATGGAGCTACAGAGAACTCTGGAGTGAGTGATGCCTCCTTATATGGGTTATTTCTCATATCTTGTTTTATTTCTGTTCGTAGGCCAAGCATGGACAGTAACGTTTATCTCAAGCTTTGCAGTTAGAATTTACGAATTGTAAACTCTCGACTGGTGATCTCAGCTGGGAAAAGCAACGCCCTCATTCAGACATGTGCAAAGAATCAGATGTATTTTTCTGCTTCTTTACCTGCGTACATCTTTGTTACATCACAGTCCACCTTATCCTCGCCTTCCTTAAAATCATGCAGTCCCCAGTCTGTAATGCTCACCACCCAGTGGCTGTCAATCATACAGTTCCATGAGGCGAGGTTACCATGAAGTTTCACTGGACTGTTATGTAAATATTTCATACCCTGGAGGTCGGGTAAAATGAAAGATTTAGGTATAAAACAGCCGTCTTGAGATCCAGGAAGCGGTCAGACGTGAATTAATTGCTGGATAAGTAATGAAACACGAAAAAACCACAGGGGGGCTAGCTTACGAGCAAGCCCTCGTTAGTTGTAATTTGGAATTATCAACTGAGTTGATAACGTAAACTGGCAACCGTTAAGAATTTCAAAGCTGACGTTTCGAGCGTTAGCCTTTCGTCAGAGCCATTGACGAAGGACTAACTCTCGAAAAGTCTTGTTATACTGTCCCATCCACGCAGCAAAACAGTTTCATTAGAAACTTAACCCCTTCTCTCAGTACTGGTGTTTCGGCACCAGCGTTTTTCTGCCCCTTAGGAAAGTGTGAGGCCTCGAAAAACGCAAGTCGATGAGAGGTCTGCTAGGGTTCTATCACAGGTAATTACTAGTGCCAGAACCCCGTCTAACCTCTCTGTGACTCGTCTTCATTCTTTCCCGGGGCGGATAGTGAGGGCGTGCTCGCAGGCTTAGAGGAGGCAAATAACTGAGCTCGAATGCTCGAAGAAGCGTTGTAGATGATGTCTAAAGGGAGAAATAACTAATGAGATGCGCTTTGAAACATGTATCTAATGGAAGGCAAGAGAAAAGTATCGAGCTAAAAAGCAGCTCGCGAAAAATTTTAACTAGTGTCCAACGTAAGAAAATACCTACCCGGTTTCGAGTACAGAATTGATTTGTAGCTTACGCCAATTGCACGGAACTATTCATCCGATGTAGAGCGCGAGCAAAAATGAAAAAGTCAGCAGCTGCTCTAAAGAAGAGGGAAACCTGTGGCTAATGACAAGTGCGGGAGAACAGGGTTACCATGAAAAGGGTGGGAAGGTGATGGAAAGTGGGGAAATTTTTAATTCAGTAGCGGCAACAAACTTTAAGATGTGAGTGACCACAAAAACAGTATTCACTTACTGCTGCAATGTCGATGGACATAGATAACTTGAAAGCGTAATCTATCTTGTATTCATCGTTCGCAAGTACATCCTACAGACAAAAACAAGACAAGATCGAAAATAGCAAATGGCGAAATTTGAGTGCCTGCGTGAATAGATCTTTCACGAGAGATGAGATAATGGTGTGAGTGGTTTAAACCCTTTAACTTCTAGGTGTGATTAGTATCTAATTTCTCCTTACGACATCACCCCTGAATTGAACGTTAAGGGCACGAGAATAAAGGAAATGATCGCAAACTAAAGAATCTCTTTGCTGTGAAACAAATTTTACTTATCGGCACCTTAGGGAACGTATAGAGAACAGTATGGAGAATATGCATACTGATGTTAGGGTGTAAAGGGTTAACAAGCCACAGAGTGAAGTAAAGTAAAATCAATGCAATTCTAGATTACTCTCGACAATCGATTGAAAACCGTTCAAGAAGAAAATGTGAATACGGAACATACTGAAAAATATATGCAGGCGCGAGGTGCATCCTGGGTCCCTTTATGTGTAGAGTGGTTGCCTCTCCACCAGATGACACAAAAAGATGTTTCAACAAACTCGCGTAAAAACTCGCGTACAAACGAGTTACAAACCTGTAGGCTTCCTTTCTTGCAGTAGGACCACACTAGAAGGATATTTGGTGACTCAATGCACGCCCCAATGAATGGGTTGAGATTCTCGTGACTCAAATCTCGTACCTTTTAGAAGGAAAAAGCAGGAAATTTGGCCGTGGTTGTAAGTATACCTACATGTAGCTGATGCCGAAAGAAATGAAACGTCTGAACGTTTCTAATTACGAAAAAAAAACAGCATGAAACTTAAAGTTTACCCGAGATCTAAGATTTTAGCACTATAACTCCCAAGAGTGACCATGGCATAATTTCTCCTTACGATATCAATGCGGTGTAAAGCAGACAAGTGATGAGAATGAGGAAAATATCAGTTAGGGAATAGTTAAGTGATCCAATATCGAATTCTCTAAACTAACATGGTAGACAGTAAGGAGAATTACTAATGAGATCTTGGGAGAGAACGATTAATAAGCGCTCAGCTAACTTAGAGAAATGAAACATTGAGAAGCGCAAACACCCTCGCAGAGAAAAATAAAATCGCACATTGATGCGTATTCTGTTGCGCTGCGGCTTAAAGTGAGAAAGGAAATTTCATATCTAATTTTCATATTGTCTGCCTATGAGTTTCATTGGCAACTGGCAAAATTTTTGTTTCTTGTTTCGAAAGAAACGACACAAGAGACATCAGCAGTTTACTAATTATCTCACAATCTGTGTTGATGTAAGGATGGACATTCCATTCTTTCCCTCCCCTCATTAGTTTAAGTAGCTTCCCCTCCCTCCCCCTCTGGATCACTACCATGCCATTACTGTTAACAATACCTGTTTTAGTTCTATCAAAACGTCTCTTGTCAGTTGAACGCTTCTTTTCCTGAGTCGCTTGATAACTACCGTTTGCGTCTGAAATAAAATGCAGTTCGTTTGGTGTGGTTCTATTTCGTGTTAGGCTCTCGGTAGGTGGAAATGGGTGGAAAGACGGACACGAAAACCGGCAGAAGTGAAATAAAAATTAAAGAAAACAGAGCTGTTTCCGTAAATACACAAGCGCCTACAATAGCCGCACATAAGTCAGCACTAACACTAACATGATACTCTCCAATGGTCGTGCCCGCGTACTCTGTTTTATCTTCTAAATCCGATATTGCGGAAGAATTCTCATTATTTCGGCTCACGTGGGTTGGGTTGGCGCTAGATGAGGCTGCAGTCTGGAGAAAAGGTATAACGAGAAATAATCAGTTTAATCTGTAAATATCAAGCGCGGGAAAACTTTGGGTTAGAAATGCAGCTAGTGTCTAGCGCTGGAACAAATTCAGGCTGTGTCAAGCACGAGAAAACACATCAACTCAGCGAGGTCTTAATGAAAGAAACTTTGGCCCTCGATATTATCAACAAGTAATCGCTTATTTCCTTGTAAAATTAAGGATTAATATCACTGTGTTTCAGAAGTTGCATAAATTTCCCGAGTCGCGCTGCAACACGCATGATATTAATGCCTTATTTTACTCGGCCCCATCTGATTATTTATTCTTATTTCCTTCCTAAGAAAAAACCTATTTCCCTCAATTCGTAATTTACGCCGCGTTGGTTCCAAAACATATCGCTGGAGTGTGTGTAGAATATTGTAGAACATACTTCATAGCCTAAGGGTTCATATTTTACAACTTCCAGTGCATGAAAAAAGAGTATAATAGGTTACTAAAATGAAGTGGTAAGCGGTGAGTACGCAACCATTGACTCTAAAACTATTTGAACAAGCTTGGAACCACCGCATTATGCAGCCTTTTGGTTAGAAATGCAGCTAGTGTCTAACGCTGGAATAAATTCAATCTGTGTCAAGCACGAGAAAACACTTCACCTCAGCGAGGCGCGGAAAGACATGAAGCGCGTGCATAGCTCTGGAAACGTACAGTCATTGCAAAGCGCTGGAAAAGGTGTACGCTGCTTCCGTATTAAGTGCGCAAACTGAGCACAGAACCAGGAAAAGGACACAAAAAGAGTAGAGGGTATGTAGCCTTCTCCTCAATAGCGCAAGGTAAGTCTGTGACCTCATTGAAGTGTGACTGCAGAAGTAAATTCAAAACATTTTTATAACACGTGATGGATTTTGACAAACATGTGCTTCCTGCCATCTTACCTGGTGAGGCATGATGAAATTATTAAACCAGAACGGTAACATGCCCTGGGGTTTAGGCTTCTGTTTAACGTTTTCTTTCATTTTGAGGTCTTCAAAGCGGATTTTCCACGTCATATTTTCAGCCAAATCTGCCTCATAACGAAGCTTCCTATATCAAAACAGGAAAATACAACTGAATCCTTTGATCTTAAGCTTCTTAAGACCAACGTGCTCATGTTAACGCGGTTTGAGACTTTCAAGGTGTAATCTCGGTGGTATCTCAGCAAAACATTGTGCCCAAGGACTCGACCAAAGTTCAAGACATCCAGGGAAAATTTTTCAGCGAAACTTAAATGACACCAGTCTACGCCCGGGACGTTTAAGTTGTCCGATGTCGAAATAACGGCACTAAATTGAAAGTCATGGAAATTTTGAGGGAGAATAACATAACCTGTGGTTAAAACTTGAGAGATCTAGCTAGAAAACCCGTTGATTACCTGATAATTATGAAGAACATGAAAGCTAACACCACCACCCCAGAGATAGAGGCACCTATCACCGCATTTACGATACGTGCAGCTAGAAAAGCAATCAGAACAATCCATTAGACTTCACGATCACAAATTTTACATAATGTCGATTTGAATGGCAAAGAAAGAACGAAATTTTTACTTTTCTTTTCTTCCTCCAAACACAGCTCCCTATCCCATCCACACCTCGGTTTGTCCGATGGAGGTCTGGTCCGACCCCCGGCCCAGATCACGCTCACATCTGCAAAGCAGTAACGTAGACACGGTGATAATTCTACAAAAATGATGCCGTCTGAATTCTCCTTACATTTTAAGCGACAACCTTCCAAGGACGTTGGGAGAATTCCGAGGTAAAGGTACCAACCTCTGAGATTAAAGCCTCCAGTTTTGTGACTGTAATCGGCGATGTTCTGAAAGCTTCCATTCACGTAATACTTGAGCGAGTAGTCGGGTTCTCTGTCACCGGAACTGTCTATACGCACTATACCGGAAGCCCCTGGGAGAAAAGAAAAAATCTCCGTCAGTTCCCACCCTACTCCTACCCCTCACCCTTGTTTTTACTCTCTATTACCCCGCAACGGAACTGATGGACGCCTAACAACCACCATTGTGGCTGGGGTCAAAGCAATTATTCCTTGGGGCTAGTGTAATTATTCCCTGGGGTCAGAGCAATTTTTCCATGGGGTCAGAAAAATTATTCCTTGGGGTCAGCACAATTATTCCCTGGGGTCAGAGTAATTATGCCCTGGGGTCAGATGAGTTATTCCGGCATAATTTAGGGTATAATACCATAGTCAAAGCATCGAGCGTAATGCCAGCATAATAACTAAACTTCTTAAAAATTCCTTTAACCTTCCGCAAGAGATAAACTCTTTAGCCTGTGCAATGTCAGTAGGGAACCCTCTTTTCTTGTTCGCATTTAGAAGGAACTTGATTCAGTAAAATGTTATGTTCTGAACTTTGTAAGTCTTTTATCCCTAGCAAGTTTCACCAGTTGGTGGTAGAATTGGGGGGGGTGAGGGGGTGGTAGGGGGGTGAGGGGCGGGGAGATAGGGAACCGAGAGGGTCTTTAACGCTATCATTATGAATCACTCAATTGAGCATAATTTTCGGCATATTGCCATGTTTTCAGCAGTGACTCTCAAAAGCATAATCTGCTCTCAAATCTTCGAACTTAATTTATCTGACACTTATTATGACAGCCTCCTTCTTATACCCGTCTTCTAGTCTTCCGTTTCTGTACCCAATGATAGACAGGCAGACAGCCAAGCAGACAAAACGGTGTAAAAACAGACGTACAGAATAACTGATATACACACGTGATAGACAAACATGACAGAAGGACAGACAGTCATTGACTCCATTTCGGTGAAGTTACGTTTCTCGTTTTAAAACCATCCTCGCTATTGCTCAAGGCACCTACAAGTTTTCAAATTCCAGCTGTCCAGTTTCTTCAGGCACCCCTTGCACCTGATCGACATGTATCTCATCAACAAAAAAAGACGCATATTTAAACCCTCTTCCAAATGATCTCATACTACCTTCGAATTCTCGATTCAGCATTCTGTTCACGATCGCCCTTCCGTCCTTTTTACTCCCTCCAGCGGCAAGAGTTTCATTGAGCGCGTTCGCATAAAGATAAATGGCGTCATAGATGGCTCCAGCGTAAACTTCCACCTGTCCATAAGAAACAAATATACAATGGCGTCTTACTGATATTGAGGAACGCCCCAAAATTTTTTACTATCATTGGATCCCTTCCTTGGTTCCCCCCCCCCCGGTCCTATTTGTCCTTCTTAACAAAAGGGTTTGAATTCAACCCATTTGTCCTGTCCACGCTAATAAGAAACAGTCCACAGGAAACCGAAAGAAACCATAAACTGAAAAAAGAAACTTGAGAGTTTTATTTTGTGCAAAAATAATTTATTTGAAAATTCTAGGAGGATTTCACTCGACTCGTTAAAAAAAAGTTACTCTCTCGGAACCGGTTGTTATTCATCGCTATAGTCCCCCCTTAATACTTTGTTAGGGATTACTGACCCTCCCCTCAGTTCCCCCTGAAAACCGTGTGGTCCTCCCCCCCAAAAAAAATTCTCCAAACCTTCCTCCCCCCCCCCGCGATAACTAATAAAAAGTTCCTTCGACCAGCTTAATTACCTGCTCACTGTCATCCAACTTTATGTAAAAAGGAGATGCGTTCATTTTTGCCCTTACTCTTTCTTTAAACGACTGCCACAAGGGTGTGGTCGGTTCGCGCACGTGGATACTCAGAATTCCTCGAAACGCCAAGGCCGCCTCCGCGTCACGGCCATCGTTTCCCATAAAGGTGTTATTTCCAACAGTGGCGGATGGCAAAAGGTTTACAGTTAGAAACGCAAAGTCGCCGTTCAACATGCCGAGGTCGAGCGCGTTCAGCATAATCGCGCGCATGTCGCCACCATAGCATAACATGACAAATACTGAAAGAAAACGCAGAGAAAATAAAAACAAGTGCGGATGCGTAAAGCTACTGGGGTAAGCCTGTGTCTGGGTATCGAAGCGATAGCTTAAATGTCATGCGCAGACGTTACCCCAAATTGTTCAAGCTGAAGTCGAAACGGACGACAAATCTACAGCCAATTGATGTTTAAAAGCTGCAAATGTTACTCGTTAAAGAAATTTTAAAATACTGTCCAGGCTAACTAATCAAACTTTGGGAAGGAAAAAGTTTGGTTGGATAACAAAATCAATTTTCCTGAGCAAAATAACATTCTGAATAAAGGTGATAATTTTTTAAAGAAAAGTGTCGGTGTGATGTTTTACAAGATAATTTGGTTCTATCAACATAGTTGATAATGTAAATTGGCCACTGTAAAAAGTTTCTGAGCCGGACATTTCAAGCCTTGCCAAAAATTGTAATCTTATGTAAAGTTTACGATAAAGTAATTCAAGCTATGAACTGATGATACAAGACCAAATGTTTCATAAATAAATTACTTTACGATAATTTGTTACATAATTGGTAATACGACCTTCATGTTCTACGGTTCAAGGATTCTAGAGCTTGCTTTTTCAAATCAGCCACACGTTACGCGCTCGGCCAGTTTGACATTACTCGCTTTACTGCGCCATGAACTGTGTTCCATTCAGTTCTATTAAAATTTCTCATTCATTTCTGCGTCCACTTACTTCGCGCCGTTTCCTTGGCGTGTAACAGCGTGCTTTTAAACTCCTCTCTTTCTGTCACCAAAACATGCCCTGGACTAAGAGTGTGTAAGTATCTAATCTCGATGTCGTTCTCCAGAAAGTCTTTCATCAAGCCCGACATAGCCAGTTGCCATATACTCTCGGTCGATGCCAAAATTCCGATGCTCTTCCATTTGAAATAGCGAAATACCGACAGAAACAATTTTCCCATTTTTGAGAAGGACCCAACAGTTCGTGCAAACGTCTGGTAAATGCTTTTCTCTGATAGCGTCGGCGATTCACATCCCCAAGAAACCATCGGAAGATTCCACGAGGAGGCTAAAATCGCGGCCGGTCCGCAGATGATATCACATCCATCTCCAATAATAGCGTCCACACCTGCGATTCGGAATTCCACTGCTTGATTCAGACCTTCCGCAGCTAGACACATAGAGTCGTTCCACAGAAAAGTCATATTATAGCCAGGTAATAGTGTTTGGTCTTCATTTATCCGATCAACAGCAATGGTTATGGCGGAGGCTGAAGTTTTCCCGATTGGCCAGTAACCAGTCATGGGGAGTAACACTCCAATTTTGACCTCCTTCTCGTTGTCCGTAATCGCTTGATTTTCATCGTGACGGTGGCCTGTCACCGTATCGACGAAAAGGGAGATCGAAGCAATAAGGAAAAAGACTAGCTTTCTGCCACAAGGAACACTCATGACTCTCTCTGACCGAGAAATAACATGGAATTTGTCTTAATAGCTTTTTTTCATTTTTAAATTACCATACATTGAGCATTATTTCTCATCCAATGGTAAAAAAACAAATCAAATGTAGGGACACTCGCTCTTTGATTGACCGAACTCAATGACGTCATGGTTTTAACTGATTGCCTGCCAGCCTGAGAGGATTCGTATTCTGAAAAGACTCAAAGAAATGCCGCCTTCATCGTTTAGAATTTCCCCATCACGATTCACTTTGTAGACGTTTTCGCTGAAATTTAGCTGTTACGCTTTGAGTATAAAAACCAAATCGAAGAAAACACAGAAAACAACATGACAGAGCTTTAAATCCAAAACTGTCTCATGCGTAGCCAAACAAAAACAAAGAAAATACCCCCAAAAAAAAACAAACATAAAATAAAAACCAAACAAAAAGCCCTTAGTGCAATGTGTAACCATTTGACCCCTATAGTGACTTGCATCTAATATCACCTTTCAGTATCACCCCTAAAACATCGAGATTAGAAAAATACAGAAAATGATCACAAGCTTCAAAAGCTCTTAATTTTTAAACAAATTCTCCTCGTCAATACCATAGGAAATTTTTTTAGGGTGGTATGGAAAATATGCATCCGAATATAAGGGTGTACAGGGTTAAATACACATCAATACAAGTCAGCACTGGCGGCTTTCATAATCTTTGTCAAACCAGCTCCAGTCCCTTCATACGAAGATGACTGTAACGTAATTAAACACCCGAACATATCCGACTTGTGCACGAAGATTTACGAGTGCTCCGATAATTAACATATATATATATATGAGGATGGAATAACTGTAGAATTGTTCGGTATAGTTGGGAACTAACTTCGATGTCGACTAAAATCTCAGCAAGTTCGGGTTCAAGTTTCACGAGTTAGAATCGATTGGAAACCGAAAGGTTTCCCGACGCAACATTCAAAGTCATGAGCGGTCGAGCTGAAGACAGCTCACTGCAATAACTCAACACTGTTCTCATGCACCAGAAAGGCGACTCGGTATTGTACTGAAGTAACCTTACTAACAAATGTAACGCGCATAACTCAGAATAAAAAACTTCGTTCACAGTCTTAACAGAGAACTTAAAAAACAAACACAAACATATTTCAAACAAAAACAAACAAATTTCATGCACAGCCACATAAATTGTCTGCGAAGTATGTCTTAATAACTTGACCCTTTAACTCCCAGAAGTGATCAACATGAAACTTCTCCTCATAAATATCATTACATTATCCAGCAAACAGGTAATGAGAATATTCAAACTTATCAGGTGGAAGCTGTTATCTTGATCTAACACCATATTCTTGTAACCAATTTACAAGGAAATGTATAGCAGCCAGTGAGGAGAATTAACAATCAGATCTTGGGAGTTAAAGGGTTAACAGTTTGTGGTCATATTTTCAAGCTAAATGAAAGAAGTGGTAGTTTGGTTCATGGCTTAGAAAAACAAAATATTCTTTTTATTTCTCCACGTTTCATACTTTGAATTTAAAACCTCTTTATATCTAAATCTCGACGAGTCCTGAAAATTCTCCTCGACTCTATTAAAGGATTAATATCAGTATCTGGGCAACTGCCCACCTACCCCTCCCCTAGCTCAACATTAACCCTAACTTGTCATCAATTGACAGTCCCTATTAAATATATATAAAATTTTTACTATACTAATTTCTTCTAATAATATCACCCCTGAATCACACATCAACGTCACAACAATAAAGGAAATGAAAACAAGCCAAAGAAGCTATTGATTGTTAAAAAATTCTCTTTGTCAGCACCTTAGGAAATGCATAAAGAACGCTGTAGAGAATATGCATGCATGATGTTGGGTTGTAAAGGGTTACGTGTGTCTCGCATCCCAAGACATCACGTAGACTACAAGAACTTACAAGAAAAAAAAAAAAAAATACTCAATTCATAAAGATATGGGTTGTGGATCTCTACTCTTCGTGTTAAAATAAGAGTGTTTCATTTGCCCTAGACACTTGCACAAAGAAAAGCCACAATGCATAAAAGCCTCCACAAGTTCTGTCACGGGTCACAGAAGGTTCTTAAAACGTTATTTTGTCCGGGCTGCCCCGGTTTCAACGGATGCACTGTACTGCTTTCTTTTCTTTTCAGCTTATTCGAAATCTCCAAGTCTTTAAAATCACCATAAGTCCAGCTAACCCTGTTATTGAGCCAGTCATAAGAAGAAGGCGCACCATCTGAAAAAAAAAAACGTGACAACATTCACATTGTGTTACAAACCCGCTGCAATGTTTTTGCCTCAATCAAAACTTATTCAAAAGTTTCCTTTCAGGCTATTCTTACAAGACCTTTAAAAATATGCCAAAGGGGTATTAACAAATTTCTATGCTCTCAAACACAGTTTTTGGTACATTGTATCTTTCCTTTGTAGGACACTTTGTTGCTCTCAAGGAAAAAATTTAATCAATATTTTTTGAAAAAAAAAAAAAAATTAGAGGAAGGTTTGATTTGAGTCTTCGTCATGGCAGACCAAAGTGGTTTCATAATGTTTGCATTCTTTTATCTGCGAAATCTCAGCTACAAAACAGAACCCATGTTTAAAACCCTCTGCCACACTTCATCCAAAATTCTCAACTTATTGCAAGAATGAAACCACACTACCTTTTTTTTTCCTCTGTAGTGTCCTTTCCGGCATAATTATATAACTTTCTTATGAATTAGACTTGGACAAAGACGCTCACCTTTTCTTGCCACTGATTTCTTTTAACCACTTCGTGATAAGGTATGTGTGTGTACGTTACCTATGAGGAAAGATCTGTTTTTATTGGTGTTTGCTATAGGGGTGGCTAATAACATTGCTCCAATATTGGCGAAATCGGTGACAGAATTGAGAGATATTTATGTTGTGAGCGGTTTTCCTGAGTGTCCAGTCATTCCCATGCGATATCAGTGTTACAAAAAACTAGGCTTCGTTTCAGCTTGATTAAAAAGACGAAGTGGTAAACTCCATCACAGTTCCAATATTAGCGAAATGGATGACTAATATGTGTGGAAAAGTGGGAGTGATAACATTGATCACTTACAAGTATTGGTCCAACCTTAGTAAAAAAAGAGACTGATATTGGCCAAATGGAGGCGTTGCCAGCAATGGTTCAGCATATTTAAAAGGTGATTAAGGGCATTTGTGGGTTTCACTTTTGACCCTGCAACATTGGGTAACAATACTTCACCAATCTTAGTCTTGTGCGTATTGTAATGGCTTTCCTGCCTTCAAAAATCTCCCTAAAATTGTCAGTCTTACCATAGTATGAAGCGGAATGAAAGTTTTGGGCATCAACCGGTTTAAGGCATACATCACTTTTCTCTCCAGAAGGAACCAAAACGAATTGACCAATGATCTCAACTGGAAATATGAAAAAAAAATGCAACACTGGGTTAAATCTTGACCCTGGTTGGTCACTCTAGACTATCTCATGCCAGTTGCAGTAGCATGCAACAGCTTGGGGTATAACTGCTTCTCCAAGAATAGTCGCTAATCAATGGCTGGTATCCTCATTATTTTTTTAGATATGAATCGAAAATACAAGATACAGAAAGAACAATTATTGAGAGAGCAAAGTAGAAAAAAAGGCTGTGGACCCAAAAGGGCTGGTGCGAACAGGAAACAAGGACTCACGCGAGGTATTGCCCACGAGATAAAAAAAAAGAAAAGAAAAACAGAATTATAAAACATAGTAAATTTTATTTAAGAAAGTAAACTACAAACTACGGGTGACGGGCGGCATCGCACAATTGTCCAAGTAAAGAAATAGTTTTAAAAAGCACTGTGAAACTAAATAAGTCTCCCATCAGAGCTTTGATCCAAATTCATGAACTGTCTGGTTTGCATACATGTACTCCACGCATAACGCAGTGTATCACCCCCACAAGTGTCCTCATCAAAGGTGGGGATAAACATCCCCATGTCAATTTTCAGTTGACAGTAACAAAATAAAATCAAGAAAGTCTGAAAATCATAAAGGAAGGGTTATGAAAGAACAGTTATTTCTATGGATAAACATTTATTTAAGCGTCAAAGAATACGAAAAGAGATAATTTTTAATCAATTCTTGTAAGCGTTCGTCTGTTGTCAGTAATAGTAATGATGGGTTTTACCCCACAATTAGTATAATGTACCTCTAAATAATTATCCATAGACATGTCACAAATAGCCTCTGCATCTTTGTTTCTAACTTTAGAATATTCCTCCAAAACAGCTCCTGTCGAATATGCAATAATTTACAACAGTAACTGAACTGAGTGAAGTACAATTTGGTCTGAGATCATAAGTGTGATTTCAAAATGGAGCAAGCACGCAGTGCGAGTTTGATCCGAAGTCTCAGGTATGATCTCAGACCAGAATTGCGCGACAAGAAGCTCAGTTACCAATTTATTACATCTATTTTGAAATTGCAAAACTCAGTCGCTCAGATACAGGATTTTCTAGTCTGTACATATATTTACTTGAATGATCCAATACTAATGCTGGTTTGTAAAAAGTTCCAAAACTTAGAAAAGGTTGTGGTTATTCATCGTGGTGAATAACAATAAAAGCTAAGTTTTTCGTTTATCTCACGATGTAGTCACGTGTGATGTAGATCGCGACGTTTCGACTGCATACTGCTGTCTTCTTCAGGCGATGAGGTCGACTGGTCATGCGTGATCTTATAAAGCTCTGCTGTGACTAGTTGTTTTTCAACAGCTCTGATTGGTGCATAATATAAATCACCGAGTGAACAGCAAGGATCGAAACAGTCGACCTCATCGCCTGAAGAAGACCAGCAGTATGCAGTCGAAACGTCGCGATCTACATCACACGCGACTACATCGTGAGACAAACGAAAAACTTAGCTTTCATTGTTCCAAAACTTGTCTTTCAATTTCCAGCAATTTGATTAGTTACGTTAAACAAGCCTTGAAATCTAATAGGTTGTTACGCTTAAGTAAAGCTTTTTCATGGGCCGAAAAGAAGATGGGATTCAGGGCGAAAAATACTATGATTTGTGAGTACATGGCACTGCTGAGAGCCAATCAGATTGCATAGATCACCGGTGATTTCAAAATGGATGTAATGAAATTATTGATGGTCAATCAACAGCAAAACCACTAAAAGAATCAAAGATTCCAATCTTTAACAACACTAAGGTGATGTTTACCAAAGTTATTGCCGTGCTTGTCCAACAGTCTGTCTAAAATGAAGCAATCTTCAAACCCCTAAAAAGAAATTAGGGTAAAAGAAAGATCAAGGAAGAATTATATAATATATGTTCCTTAGCAATGGAGTAACTATTACCTCAACTGCGAAAACAATGACACCTAAAAAGAATGATCCATGAACGATGAGACTCAATGGCTTTATGGAAAATGTTCGCGCAGATACATAATCCGAGATTCACTTTTCTCACTATTCGTGAAAAATCTTCTCTATGGTGGTTATTATGTATATTTGTACCCAGAGAGCCCTAGAGTCTCATCGCTCATTGTGAACGCTTTGTTAAAGTGTCAACGCTTTTGCAATCGAGTGTATACACCTTGTTCAATTGTTCCACATATGATATGCATGGATATTTTGCGAGTTGTGGACTAATCTACAAGAAATGAACCAAAAAACAAAATAAAACATCGAATAAGGGACTTACTATAATTCTATTTTGTTATGTTTTAATTTCTAGTTTGCAAAATTCTACCTTTGGGGCGTGTGCGAAAGACGAACACAATGCAAGCAAAATAATTTAAGTGTTCTTGGTGACTAGCATCACATTTGGAAGTGCCCAAAAGTTCGGTACCGATCGTACATTATTACAAATATAAGAAAACTCATGGAGCTACTGACAGAGTTCATTCCTTGTCCAAAGAATGGCACCATGGCATGAGCTGCATCACCAATAATGAGCACCTTATCTGAGAAGTGGTAAGGTTTACACTGTGGATAAAAGCAGAATATAGCATGGTTCAAACGAGAGAAGGAAAATAAAGTTAATACGTGACTTGTACAGTCCCATTTGCACTTTCATCTCTTACAAAAAAATTCCCGTGAGAGGACCTTAACCAAAGATATGGGCAGGGCCAGAAAGAAAAAGTACGGCTGTGCAAACTTTGAGCTAAAACAAGAAAGGACTGCCGCTATGTTCCGTTTTGAAAACACAAATCCACCAAACATTTTTTTTTCTATTGAGATGTGTCAAAGACTTTTTGAGAGACCTTCCATTTGTGGCTTGGTGAATTTTCAATAAAATTTCATTTCTTTTGAAATGAGTACTAAAGTGTAAAATGAATCTTGTGAATCCCTCATTGCTTGTTCAGAATCCTAAGATTAAACCTGTATATCAAGTCGAGGAAACATATAAATATGTTCAGCACAGCAAGGTGTTTCACTATTCCGCATCTTGAATGTGGTGTCTGTCTGGACAAGAGACTTTCAACAGCAGCTTCAACAATACTTCAAGTTGTAAGGTCTACATAATATGTACCACTTACATTTATTTAAAATCTATCATTTTCTTCTTAAACAAGGCTGAAGTTTGACAACCCAGTCTAAACTACTCTACACCCCCCCCTCCACACCAATTTGATTGCAGCCCCCCTCCTTCATTTGAAGCTTTTATGCTTCTCTTGGGACAAAAAAATTTCATGACGTAAGTTACGTCGGACAATGTTAATGCCGTCAGCAGCTATTTACCTTTATTGAAACCGTATGCCACACAGGATTTTTAAAGAAATCTTCCAAAATTCTTTCCCTAACAATTTAACAGAAATACCAAACATACAAGGTTAAAAAAAGCAGTCAAAAGATGCACCAAACAAATGTTTGAGTCTGACATTAACTTACTCTCCCATCAGTTGTACAAAGTCAGGAAAAACAGAATTGAAGAAACTCAGAACATCCTCCTATGCAAATAGAAAAAAATTGAAGTAAAATCAGTCTTCTGTCATCTAAATGCATGAAACTAAGCTGGTACTAGCAACCCATCCACATAAGTAATTTCTGTGACTCAGTAAAGTTAATGCTTAACACAGGTTTGCAAATCTTACTTATTATGAGATATGGTGTGATGACAAGTGATGTGATGAAATCTTCATCAGACGTGATGTGATGTGATTTGGTGTAGAGTGGAATGATGGCAAGTGACGTGACATGGTGAGATGTTATGTGGTGAGGTACGTGTGATGTGAGGTCATCAGATGTTGCATGGTATGATGTGATTTCATGTGATGTGATGTGGTAAGATGTTATGTGGTGTGGTGTGGCATGATGTCATAAGATGTGGTGTGGTGAGATTTTATAAGGTGTGGTAAGATGTGATGTTGTGTTGTACATGTGATGTGATGTGAGGAGGTTTGGTGTCATGTTCTGGGGCATGGTGTAATATGATGAAGTCTGTAGTGATATGATGTGGCATGGTGCCTCCTCCTTACATAGTGTGATAAGATGTGGCATGGAAGGATGTGATTTCATCTGATGTTGTCTGGTGTAATTTAATGTAATGTCAGGCTGACATGATAGCAATGGGGTTTCACCTTTGTCTTCAAAGAGTCAAAATGCTCAAATGGCATAAAAAGAGTACAAGTAAAAGATGGATCCTGCATCAAAAAACAACAATAACAATAAGTTGACCCATCAAAAAGGGAAATGATGTTACTTAGATGATAAAAAGTCACAATCTAAGATTATTTAAGAATAATAACTGATGAAATTATGACAGATTTTATCCTTGACAAGTCACTTGGGATGCATAAGTATTAATAGGCAAAAAATTTTCTAAAGAGAAATCTGCTGTATTAGTGGAATATTTACAAAACTTTTAGACTGATCTGGTTCATGCAATCGTAGCACCAAATAAATGATCAAAGATATCAAGGCATTGGGTTAATAACGTTATTTTATTAAAACTGATTTGAAACTCTCGGTAAAGTGTCAGGCAACAACTAACAAACTATTTCTTGTCTTAAATTGGCCACTATGGATCAAATCTCGTTAAATAGCACATAATCCATTAAAATTTTTGCAATTAAAGCAGATAATGAAAAATTTAAAAAAAGGGACAATATAAACTTAAAACAGCATTACTACCTTGTTAGGAATAGCAATTAGCATGAACCCATCTCGTGGCCAAACGTGGAGATAATCTTCTACAATAGCATATTCTCCATTCTTGTTTGGCAGAAGTTGGAATTCTTTGTAACCATGTGAAATGTATTCTTGGCTAAAGTCAAACCTAGCGTGAAATTAGGACAATTTTTTAGGACAATTCATATAAAGTGAAATGATATAAATTGATAAATATATAAAATATATAAATTGGCCACCATAAAGAGTTTGGCCCTTTGTCATCCACTCTAACAAAGGGCCAATGCTCAAAACATCTGCTTTGAGTTTAGGGGCAGAAGTAAGGGAATGAGGGATTTAGATGAAAGCCCAGGGTTAAATAGCAGTGGGGGTAACGGAATAGGGATTTCGCAGTAGGGGTAAGCTGAATTACACATCGCTTTAAAATGGAGAATAAAGAATGAGGACTTGACTCCCATATTATATATAGTATAGTATACTTATAGTATATTTCTCTTACACACACTCAAACTACCTTGGCTTCTTCATCATTTCGCTTCTTAGGGTTGAATGAGCTCCATCAGCTCCGATGACGAGCTGTGCATCTACCTCCACAGTTGTACCTTCTGGGCTGATATGAAAAGTATCAATACATTAAATACTAGCCTAGGTGTGGCTATTGAAAATACTTCTTTTATAATAATTTGAGGCCTTTACGTGTTACCCTTTCTTCAAAAATGAGTCAGCTCAGGAGGGGAGAACCCACATTTTTCTGCTAGGCATTTAACCAATTAATTACATTGGCCAGAACAAGTAGAGAATTCAATTTGCATGTGTGAGAATAACACAAAAGGACTAGTTTTGGCCAGTACATAATGTGCACATTTTGATTAATTGACTGCATCATAAAGGCCTAAAAAAAAGACCAACTTTTTATCATACCATGAAAGTACCAGATGACCCTCCTCCAAGTTTGCAGACACCAACTTGTGTTTAAAATGTAAGTGCACATTAGGGAAGGTCTCGGCAACTAGTCAAAAAAGAGTTATATCATTGCCATTGTGAAAATATAAATCCAGTAAACTTAACATCATTAAACATTATAGAACAAGGATGCAGTGACCAGATAGTTCAAGGGTCAAGAAGTTCCCTGGTTTGAACACTAGCAAGGTCATTATCCCATTGTGTTTTTGAGCAATATACTTCTCTCTCACATGAAATGGCCTTTGCCTTTTCACTGGAGTATAAATGGATACCAACAAACTGTCAAACAAGCCTGAAAAAAATACCTCAGAGGGGGGTAGCCTGTAATGAATAGCATCAATCCTGTCCAGGGTGAGTAGCAATACTCCAGATGGAAGCATGTTATATATGAAAACCACGACAACCTCCAGATAATGAACAGATCAATTCAAGCTTCAACGTTCCTCCCCCTACCCCAGGCAACCCACAGGCATTTCAACTGCTGAACATTGGTTTGTTCAAATTCCTGCCTTCTTGGGGCAAAAATTGTGTTATCTTAAAACTGTGTAAGAACAGAAAAATAATCAAACCATGACTGATTGCGCTTCAAAGCCATACCAGAAAGAAGTTTTTCATTAACTTTCCTTCTTTCCATCGCCATCATAGGATGCTTCAGAAAGAGAAAAAAAACATTGCATCTTATTATACTGTGGATCAAAAGCACCACTATATCCACCCCCAGCTGCCAACACCAAGATGAATACATGTTTTAGTGTATACCAAAACAGTGAGGTGGCAAAGCACAAAAAGAAGATTTTAACTCACTTATTCCTGCAACAATTACGATATCTATGGTTGCAATTCTCTTGTGAGTTGTTCAGAGGTGAACAGCAAAGGACTCTGGACTTTGAGTAGCTAATCAGAGCACATCCACTCTTTTAATATATACTAACTACCAATTATTCATTAAAGTGGAGGTAAAAATCAATCCCTTTCACTATAACACTGAGGTAAATAGCTGCTTTAATGTAATAGACCACACAGATATTGAAAGGTAATTAGTTCATTCTGGTCAATTTATTGGCTATTTTAGATCTTTTTTTTGGTTTTCATACCAGATGATTTTTTTGGTTTTACAGTTTTTCAGTTTTGGTGTTCACTGCTGTTTGCGAATTTTGCATTTTTTAGTATTTGGTTTTTGGCTTTTGTCTAAAATACTGATTGGTTTTCAGATTTGGTATCCAATGTGGTTTCCATCTCTTCCTTTTTGGGTCCTGGTTTCACTTCCATCTGAGCAGCAATTATGTGCCACCACTGATCTCAAATAGACACGAAACCTCCATATGCTCCACTTGTCACCACTGCATTGAGTCAAAAAGGGTTTTGATTACTGGGATGTGAAAAATGATCAGTTTTGACAGTTTTGCATGTGGGTATTGGTTTTGTTCACATTTTTTGCAGTTTTGCAGTTTAGGATGTTTTTTTTTCTATGGTTTTGTGGTTTCTAATGGACCTCAATACCGCTCTCTTTAATATATGATAAGCTGAATTATACAGTCAGGCATTTTGATCGGTTCTCATTTATGATCTTCAAGGGGACAAAAGCATACACGATGTCACCATTAACAACTGTACATTTGGCTTTTTTATCATATAATTAAATAGACTAATCTCTGTCACCTTGGCACTAGATCACAGGGATAGATCACTTGAAAGTAGATGTCAAAATATGCTTGGAACCTTCATGATGCATTCTAATGGATCTTGCATGCCACTCTTTTGTTCATACCACCTTTTGACATCATCTGTGATCTATTACGAACTAGTGCATGATGATGTGAAATAAATGCATGCATTGAGTTTAAAAGATCAGTAATAAACTCTTGCTCACAAGTCATAAGTGGAGGCACATTGGCCTCATGGTTAGTGCGTTAACTCTGGATCGAGTGGTCCCAGTTCAAGCTCTGACTGGGGTCATTGTGTTGTGTTCTTAGGCAAGACACTTTACTCTCACAGTGCTTCTCTTCACCCAGGTGTACAAATGGGTACCAGCAAATATGCTGGGGGTAACCCTGCAATGGATTTGCATCCCATCTAGGGGGAAGTAGCAATACTCCTAGCCGCTTTGTGCTAGTGAAACTGGAGTTAAGTGCCAGCCCCAAGGGCCAATTTGGCCTTTTAGTAAAGCCTTTATAAAGGATTTACTTTTTTTTCACAAATCATATTTAAATTGCTAAACTTCATAATTATTTAACTCCTCACATGTTCTCCATGTTCAAAGAAGAGAGTTGTTATGTCTCCTGATTGGGGATGAATTTTTCGGCCATATATGTCCACACCCAGAGGTGAAATCTGTTATATAAAAACCAAACTTGATTATTCTTGCATTATTTAGTACAATTAGGACTTGTCGAATGGTCTGTTAATGATTTTAATATCTTTAAGACTTCAAAATATATCACATTTTTTAAACATCTTAGATTACATTCTACTTATCCCAACAACATGCCTGGATATGTCCTGCTAAGAATAATGAAAAAAATATTAAAGAAGACTGTAACATGAATATCAGCTCAGCTCTTTATTTTTAGCAAATAAATCTGAACATTTAAAATGAATGAGAATTCTAATGTTTCTCAGCACCTTCCTAGATTCAAAATTGTAGACATTCTACATTGTCTTGGATGGTCATGGAATGGACTTGGAAATTAGAAGCATTTTCGTTTACCACATGGGTGTCTCACTTTAACAAAGACTTAGCTCTATTCTCATAAGATGAGAATCATCCCCAGCAAATGTGAAATTTTGGAAGTTGCAGATCCTCCTAAAATTACATGCCTACATGGTTTGAAAGTAAAGAAATCCTTGATTGCTGAGCTTTTTTTTTTTTTTTTAACCCTTAAAAACAAGTAAACCAGCATTAACTTCTTTAAACCCTGAATCTTATGTTGTCATAAGAATAAAGGAAAGCAATCAAAGAAAACTTCTCTAAAAATATCATCCTCCCAACAATATCATACCTGAATCTTATGTTAAGGTCATAAGAATAAAGGAAATGATCACCAACCCACCAACCAAAGAAGCTTTTGACTGGTAAGCAAATTCTCCCCATCAGCACCTTAGGAGATTTATAAAGAGCAGTATCGAGAATATGCATACTGACGTTAGGGTATAAAGGGTAAGTAACTTACTGACTCCAGTGCCCCAACTGCTCTTAAAGCCTCAGCCCCTCTTGTGGACAGAGCAAGATTTGTACTACGACCACCAACAAACTCCACCAGTCGAGGATCTGATCAGAGAACAAAACACAATACACTCCTATGAGAATGGCACCATTCAGTTCTTATACCAACTCAAAGACCCATATTCAAATTTATGAGGACTGCACCATGTGGTTTTTGTATTATTTATTCAACTCAGGGTCCCAAGCTCTGTTAACCATTTGTGACCAGCATCTCATTTCTCCTTAACCCTTAAATTCCCAAGATCTGATTATCAATTCTCCCTTATAGCTGCCACTGATTTTCCTGTAAATTAGTTACAAGAATTTGGTGTTTGATCAGGGTAACAACTTTTCCTTGATAAGTTTGAGTATTGTCATTACCTTTTTTTGCTGGAAAATGTTTGCAAATCATAGGGAGAAGTTACATGTTCATCACTTCTGGGAATTAAAGGGTTAAAACATCACCACAAAATCCCAAATAAAAGTCACAAGAATAAACAAAATGATATCCAATTAAAGAAGCTAATTTGATTGTCAGATGAGTCCCTCTTAACACACCTTAGCAAATGTATAGAGAACAGTATGGAGAATATGCATACTGATGTTAGGGTTAATAATATTTTCCTTTGTCATCTTTACCTTTCTGCTTGAAAGTATATCATTAGTGGAAATTGTTTTTGGTTTCTATTGGGAGTGACAGGGTAAAATTTCTGATAAAAATGACTTTAAAACAAATCAGTTGACCTCCATCAATGGATTGGAGTGGTAAAAAATTGTTGCCTCAGATATTGAGGAAAGGGTCTCCTAGGTAATATGGGGGCCAACTCTTGGGTTGTAGGAATCTGATAGACACAAACCCTCCCCACTCCCCTAGCCTTACTCCTCTCCCCCACCCCCCTTCTCCACTTTTAGGCTGTCCCAGCATGATGTTTCTGTATATAGTTACCTTGGCGAGCTTCATACAGGTCAACGTGAAATCCTCGTTTAGCGAGAAAAATGGCGCATAATGATCCCACCTAATTATTGTAAGGCAATGAAAAATCAAAAGTGTGCTCTTAGGCTCATAAAGTTTAAATTCCGTCAATTATGTTAATAAATATGTATACCAAATGAAGCTCTGGAATAATTTCCTATCTCATGTCGCAATGACCAGTTTTCGACCCATTATGCAAAGTACAACTATTTGATTCAATTTTGCAAATATTAACAAACTTCTACCAGTCTCTCTTTAAATTTAAGACAAAACTTACCGGGGACCTTTCCACGCTTAATTACGTAACTTAATTCGATCAGACGTAAGTTCTTTAAAAAATATTTGATTCGATTGATGTCCATACAATTTCTGAAAAAGCCAATAAACTGCAAGAGATATTCTAAGAAATCTAGAAAATATTCCCAAAAATACAAATAAAAGAGTCAAATTACCAAACCACCTCCAACGACAATAACTTTTGTTTGTGTAACTTTTTCGTCCCTAACTGAATCCGCCGCCATCTTACTCGTCTCCAGGGCTACTTGGCAAACTCGGTCTTAAGATTACAAAATTTGAAGAAATTGGTAGGTACTTCATGCTTTTGTAGAAGACAAGGTTGTATGTTTTTGTCGTCGTCAATTCAATATGATTGCCTCATACTTTCAATACTTTTTAACACGTTCATTACTAGGGGTGTCGGCTTACTTGAGGTGGTACAAATTTCTTTTTTACCCCAGCCTTCCGCTGTTATAAGAATCAAAGATAGCAGCTACGATTTTCACCCAGAAAATTCTAAGCACTTGCTCGCCAACATTGCGCCTGCACCGCAGGCTAGAGGTACTTGGCAGAATGGGATAGCAAAGGGACGGGACAGGTTAGGGACGAGATGCGGGACAGTTTAGGGACGAGATGCACTTATTTTCAGCCATTCAGACACGCGTAATTTTTTTCCTGTATATTACAATACAGATTATGATTTTTTGCCAGAGTACAGCGTCAGTTAAACTTTCAAGAACACCTTTGATCTTTTAGCGTTAATGCATACCTGCAGGTTGCGTGAGCATACAAATGGATATACTGTTTCGCTGCATTAATTAGGTAACTACCGAGTCGTTGGCTGATTTACAGAGTAAATAAAACTCTAAGCTGTGAAAAAGAGTATCACTAATCAATCTGTATTAGCATAGTACATATAGGGTTATTCTACAGAACAAGCGCAATTTATTTTTTTTTGTGTTTTCCACGCGAGCGGACGCACGCGTAATGGAAATGCAGAGGGTGAGTTATAAGCAAGACAAGGACCAAGGCTAGCTCTTCAGCTTGCTTCGTGCGCGTGTCCACTCGCCAGGAAAACGAAAATAAAAAAAGACGCCTGTTCCTTATAGTTTAAATCATCGCGAATCACAAAAGTCCTTCAATAGGATTTCTGTCTGTACGGCCCTAGTTTCAACAGCTGCACTGTAATGTTTTATTTTCTTTTCAGCTTATTGGCTGGCTCCAAGTCTTTAAAATCACCATGAGTCCAGCTAACTCAGTTAATAATCCCATTACGAGAAAAGCGCGCTCCATCTAATGGTTACGGCAAAGAGTGGCGCTCATGGTACTTGCAAAAACGTTTCCTGATATCCCAATATTGTGTAAGAAACGCAAACGGCGATTCGTTCGGGTTTTCTTTTCCTGGAGCAGTAAGACTTAAGGAGAGAAGGTAAAGGTGAAAAAGGGTCATGTCATCGAGGTGAAGTGTTTGTGTGCACGGAGGACAGCTGCGTGTCCACCAGGATAAACAGGAATAAACTAGAGATCCTGGTATTCCTTTACCTCGTCCGTTTTGACTGATTCCACACAACCACCATCGAACAGGCGATAATTACTGTTCTTAAACGTTGAACTTGGTTTCGCAGAGTTTCCCACTTGCGTTATTACTTGAACTACTCGCTACACATTACGGTACGATACCAAATTTAGTGTGGGAAACAAGGTTTACTCACGTTCTACAGCGATTCTTAGGCACAAATTTCTCACTAAACGTGGGTTTATTCGACGATCTACGCACTTATCTACCTGAAAGTACCTGATCAGATACATCCCTTGACGCACGTACCAAGTTTGATTATTCCGTGGAGGAACATTCCTGCTACATTCTTCGCATCTACTTTAGCGGTAGCGAAAGATCAACTCGCTTGGTAAATAATCAAACATATGATACAAAAAAAGAAGTCAATTTTGAGCATAGAAACGCTTCACGACAGTGGAAATTATTTTACAACAAAATGCCGAAGCCGAAGTTCGTATACTGGTATAGTACTGGATGGCTGACCTGTTTCCGAACTTTCGCGGTTTATTATTTATATCACAAGTCACGTGATACTACACGCGAAAAGGTGAGAAAACATGGCGGCAAAAGTTGTGCAAGACGAGAAACCTACGAAGAAAGTTGTTGTTGTAGGAGGTGGATTGGTAAGGATCTCTCGGAGTGTTCTTGGAGTGTTTTGATGGCAAGTGGAGATCTAGCGGAAATTGTGCTCAGTTGAATTTGGTTTTGGTGCAGCCTGTAACTCAATCAATGCATGCTTTCATGGGTAGTGCGTCTTTCATGCGTTTGAATTAGGTAATCTGAACACATTGCAGATTTCATTCGCCTTTCTTTCGCGTAGAGCATAAAAATGATGAGGTAAATGAGCTAAGAGAAAAATGGTTACGATTTCTTTAAATCGATGGAAATAACTTATGCATAGACAAAAAGCGCTTTGTGTATAAATATGCGTTATTGACTGAGCGTAGTATCTATGCGGCCTGGGACGTTAATTATGGCTTGGGCCTAATTATAAGATAAAGAGCGAGACCGATATTTAGAAACATTTATCAAACATGCTTGGTCAGTGAAGGATTTACTGAATGGCGAAAAGATCACTCTAAAAAAAAAATTTACCTACTAAATTCTCTAAACTCATAGTGGTTTTCTTTGAAATGTTTTGACGTTGCAAAGACGTTTTGATTCAGTATTTTCCAAAACTGCTGGAAAACATTCCTCTCTGTTAACTTCAGAAAGTTGCTTAGGAGTTATGATCATAGAATGTGAACTAACTACAAGCACTGTTTAAGTTTTGAGTGATCAAAGCAAGCAATGTCAATCAAGCTTAATAATGGATTCACTTGTGGGGGAGGGGGGCGGAACTTGGGTCAGTTTTTACCGGGTATGTGTTGCTCGTCTCTCAGAACCCCTACCCCTACCCCGACCCCATTGTAGTCTTTTCTGTCATCAATCATATACTCCATCGCAGTCACTTTTTGAGCAAGTGCAATTTCCACAATCTCAACCTATTCACTTGGTCATTTAAGCTTGTCAGCATGTAAAGCCCACAGTATGATGAATATTTACTAATGTAAGATTACATGGGAGCATTTGTTTGTTTTTTTTAATTTTGAAAGTATAATCTTGCAGGCAGGTGCCTTGATTGCAGTGTACCTTGCAAAACGTGGGTTTAAAGTAGATGTGTTTGAAGCTCGCAAAGGTGATTTTCAAGTTAGTTTTGATTCTGTAGGTTCAGTATTGGAAGGAAGGGGGGGAAGACGTGTGCTTAGTGTGTCACTCTCTTTTGAACCCTTTCAACCCCAAGATCTCACTAGTAATTCTCCAAAGTGCCTGTTATACAATTCTTATGACTTTAGTTTGGAGAATTTGGTATTGGAATTTGGAAGAATTTTTTTCTTTATTCTCGTTACTTGTCAGCTTGATATTGTTTTGATGATGTAAAGAGAGTTTATATGTGGTCACTCCTGGTAGTGACAGGGTTTAGAATTTGGGCCAGGAATTATCATGATTCAAAATGTTGAAAACTAAAACTACACTTCCAACTTGAGACTTGGAAATCATATCCTGGTGAGTGGGATGTACCATTGAAGGCCTGGTAAGGGCGTCCACTCACTTTTCAGTTTTGTATGAATTGATTTATTCCAAGGGGCAAACAGAAACACAAGGCTGGGAAGGTAACAATCTTAGTCCCTTTCTATGATATGCTTTGCATTAAACCCTGTGGCTAAGCAGAGCCATTGTTGTAAGATAAGAAAATAACAATATGAATAATCCAGCTAGAGATAAATTCTGTAAAGTGGATTAAAAACAGCATGCTCTGGAAGATTGAGGATTGTCAAAAGAAGTTGAAAAGCAGAGAAAATCACTGCAACATACTTTTCCTTGAGTTATATGAATGGGGTGCCTCTCCTTTGATTTAAAACTAAACATCTTGTTTCACGGATTTTTAAAGATATGTCTTTTGGATATTTAGATCCTCGCAAGGAGGTGGCCCAAAGAGGTAGAAGTGTCAATCTTGCACTCTCTGTCAGAGGAATTGAATCATTACGAGCTGTGGGAGCAGAAGGCCTGGTAATACTGAAGTATTGAAGACAGAGAATAACACATTTATGATAATGAGCTATCTATAAGTTCCTGAAAAAAAAAAATTTTTCTCAAGCATAATTGCCACAGTGGAACTCTAAATAATACTAATTGTGAAACATTTGTCACTGGTATAGAACAGTGGTAAATCTGAGTTCTCTGAAAGGACAAATGTAATTTCTCCCCTGTAGGATCACCCCTCAATCAAACTTTAAGGTTCTGAGAAATAAAAAAGAAGTGATCACAAGCTTAAGAAGCTTGAAGTGTTTACCTTACAATTAGCTCTTGATTATTGAAAAATTCTCCCTAGTCAGTACTACAGGAGTTTCTGTAGAACAGAATGGAGAATATGTATACTGATGTAAGGGTTTAAAGGATTCAACTGATAGAATCAGTATACAACATTGAAATGGTAGGAAATGAGTGATGTTTAAAGCATTGCGAATAACTTTAATTCTTCCTTCAATTTTTACGTTCTTCATTCTCTAGGTTATGGCACTTGGCATCCCTATGCATGCCCGTATGATTCATTCTCATAGTGGAAACACAACACCCATTCCATATGGAAAGAAAGGACAGGTTAGAACAGAAGTTTATGTGTGTTTAGCCCTTTGACACTTAAGAGTAACTAGCATCTAGTTTCTCCTTAGAATGTCACCCCTGAACCACATATTAAGGTAAGGAGAATAAATGATATGATCACCAAGTAGAGAGGCTCTTTATTATTTAACAAATTCTCCTTGTCAGCACCAGAGGAAAATGTAGATAACAGTATGAAGAATATACCAGTGGCAGATCCAGACCTTGAGCTAAGGGAGGGAAGTACCTGGTTTTTTGTTGCTTCAGCCTTGCCGGCTTTTCTTCCTTCTACGATTCTTTTTTCTTTTACCCAAAATAAGGGTGGGGCTGGGGCCCCTCGGGCCCTTCCTCACCTTTGTATGCATACTGATTTTGGGGTACGAAGGGTGAAAGATATTCTCAACATCCATGTGTATTGTTTCTTGAGCTCACTGATTATCAATTATAGATAGAACACACTTTTTTTATCTATTCAGCATCTATTATCAGTTGAAAGGCAGAAGCTGAACAATGATCTCCTCACAGGTAAGAAAGTTTGGATCAGGGCTAGTATCTGAGTGCACATACCCCAGAACAGTCTGGAAAAAGTGAATACTAATGTTTTGGTGCAAGGAATGAATGGGGAAAAACCTTAAAGACGAAAAAAGTTTTGTTCATTCTGTCTTCTTAATTCACTGATTTCCTATAACTGGTACTGTTGGTAAAGTACTCTTTCTGGCCTGTGTTGGTTCAGTTGCAGAAACTTACCCAGACGTTCGCATACACTTTGAGCACAAACTTATTGCTGCTGATATTGAAGGAGGCCATCTTACCTTCAAGTGGTAGGAGTCACATTTGATACATTTGCTTGTGTGTCTCAAACAGTTAAAAGATATTGCAGGAATGACTGAGTCGCCATCTGGATGATTTGTTTACAGCAAAGGAAATGATGACAAAAAGTTAGAAGTTGATGCTGACATTATTTTGGGCTGTGATGGAGCGTACTCCGCATTAAGAAGAGAGCTCATGAGAAGACCAAGGTGAGGGATGCAAGGCATTCTTTAGTGCAAATTTCAATTGTGTGTTGTAATAAATCTGGGTAGATGTACAGGGATACAACAATGAGAATAGCAAATGGCAAAATTTGAGGGCCTGTGTGAACTGAACTTTTAGAGAAGGACAAGATGGTGGTGTGAGTGGTTTTAACCCTTTGATCCTGGAGAGTGACTAGCATCTAATTTCTCCTTGCTTTATCACCCCTGAATCACTCATTAAAGTCATGAGAATACAGGAAATGATCACCAACTAAAGAAGCTTGTGATTGTTAAACAAATTCTCTTTGTCAGCATCTTAGGAAAGGTATGGAACCCAGTATGGAGAATATACATACTGATGTTAAGGTGTAAGGATTAAGAGATGACATAAATTGAGGGAAATATTAGAAATAGGGATAGATTCATGTAAGAAATGTGAAAAAAAAAATTGTTATTTTCTACTTCATACATGAATGTTTGGATTGAGAGAGTGCTTATGCTTGCTTATCTTTTCTGTCTGGTTTACAGGTTTGATTTCAGTCAAGAATATATTCCTCATGGTTATAAAGAGCTTTGCCTTGCCCCAACTAAGGATGGAGAGGTTTAAGATGTCTTTTTACCATTTACTCCACATTAAATAACAAAGAAAGATGATTGATATATTTAAGACATGCAGGGCTACAAGATGCCAACATTTGGGTTTCACTGATCTTTGTCATCTATGTTCCCAGAAAATTCAATCTTAATGTTGAAGTGGTTATGAAACAATCTCAGTGTATTATTTTTTTATTATTATGCAGTTTGCCATGGCAGTGAATTATTTACACATCTGGCCAAGACAGACATTCATGATGATAGCTTTACCAAATCAGGTAGAAAATAAGTTGATGATTTGGGGTTACTCAATATCAGATAATCCATCCGATGATTGTTTAACAGTACCCAATAATACTCCTTATTATATATTTAACTCACTATCTCTTTTCTGATTGGCTGAGAGCTCACAGTGAATTTTGAAATCAGCACCTGGGACCTCGTCATCTAGCTACAGATTATACAATAATCATGTTGAGGACATTCAAGGTCACGAGTAATCATGTCATGCATGACTGCAGTGCATTATTTCTAAGGGTAATCATGTCAAGTTCTTGCTTTGGGTTGCTTGCTGATCTGTATATTCTTACTTGTTTAGAAATATATTTGCAGTTCCACTTACTATTGTGACCATTCTGTGTTTTTTGTTTTGGTTTTTTTTCGTTCAATGTATAATTAAACAATTATTGGATTCAGTTTTTGTGATATCCAGAATAATCAAGGTCTCAGTAAGGGTTATCAGTCTTCAGCTTCGGCTGATAACCCTTACCTCAACTTTGATCATTCTGGATATTGCAAAAAACCTCAACCAATAACTGTTTATTAACTGAGATAGGCCTTGCAATTTAAGAGAAAGTTTTCTTGTCTAAGATCACGTCACAAGACTTGGCTTGTGATCTGGTGTTTGCCACAAATTGTCATTGAGCAAAGAAAAAAATGATACTGATGATAAATCTGCCTAAAACTGCTCCATTGGTCATATAACGATCAGAAGTAGCTTTATATTCAGGGTGTCAAAGAGTATTTTATTAGTATTTTATTAGTATTTTTTCTAGATGGTTATCAATGATTTATAATATATATGATTTGTTTTCTATTTAATGGTAAGTAATCATTTTTCCTTAAGGATAAATCCTTCACTTGCACACTGTTCCTACCATTTGACCAATTTGACAAGTTGAAAACAAAGGTAACATTTTCTTATTGAATAAAGTGAATTTTAATTTAGACAAATGATTCTTAATGTGTTTTGTGGTTTTTCTGTTTTGCATCAAAACATGTTAACCCTTTAACTCCCATGAGTGACCAAGACAGAATTTCTCCTTACAATTCAATACAGTATTAAGCAGACAAGTGATGAGAATAAAGAACAATCTTAATTAGGGGATTATATATCGATTTTTAACATCAAAGAACTAAACAGTGAGAATTACAAATGAGATCTTGGGAGTTGCTGGGAGGGAGCTAAGTTTCTAAAGAAAGATAATTTGGTTTTATTAAACTGAGAATTTGGTTTTATTAACTGAGTTGATAATGTAAATTGGCCACCATTAAGAGTTTAAAAGCTGATGTTTTGGGTGTTAGCCTTTTGTCAGAGCAAACGGCAATGAAGACATAGACTAGCATTAGATTATAAGCTCTCATGGTGGACAATTTACATCATTAACTGAGTTAATAAAACCAAAATTATCTTGTTATCTTTTTCTTTATTTAGCTCAGCTGCTATTTTATTGATTTGAAATATTATTGATTGATCTTTCCATTTGTTGTTTTTAGGATGATGTCCTGAACTTTTTTGATGCAGAGTTCCCAGATTTCCTGAACCTCATGGGAGAGTAAGTTTTTGGCCCTTTCACTCCCAAGATCTCATTAGTAATTCTCCTTACTGTCTGCCATTCAGTTCATATGATGTTAGTTTGGAGAATTTGGGATCAGTTGGACTTAATCCCCTTATCAATACTTTTCTTTGTCATGGACTAGCATCCCATCCAGGGGGGAGAAGTGATACTCCTAGTTGCTCCATGCTGGTTGGAAACCAGGATAAGCTTGGCTGGGTGTGCCAATAGGCTCCCAAGTACAGATTTAACTCTTTTACTTATGAACTATTGCCTATGTATCTCATGTAATTTCATGTGTTTCCAAGTTATAGTACATGTAAGTATGTCACAGGTCTCTTTTTTTCTTCAATACCTTGTTAATGAAAAGTTTTGGGTTGGTAAGGACAGTCTTTTTTAACCAGACCTTCTATGGTTAATTTAGGGAGATATGAACTTACTTTTCAAATTTGTGTGTATCTGTACTTTTTATTTTACCAGAGAAAAACTGTTGGAAGAATTTTTCAGAAATCCGACTGGTCCTATGGTATCCATTAAGGTAAAATTTAAATGTTCCTCTTTTGTTGGGGTGCATTATGCTTAGTATTGAAGAAGTCCTCCTAGATAAATCAATTTTTGTCAAAGTGAATAACCCCCATGAAAATTTGGAGCCTGAATGTGGCCTGATGTGACCTGGACATAAAAATTGTGTGGCTTTCAGCTAATGAGCTGGACAAATGTTATGCTCTCATTCGGGCCAGGACCAGCTGGACAAGGCTAATAGGAGTTGGGCAAGAGCAAGGCAAAAGCCAGACAAAGCTGAATACCTCTTCACATTTTTAAGTCAAATATTACATGCTCCTTTGTAAGCCATGTACCAAGTCTATGAGTTGAAAGTGGCTCTTGTTACCACTACAGTACAATTAAACATAATTTTCACATTTATAAGTGTGGTAGACTAACATTTTAGGTTGAGTAAGTTGATTCCTTTCAAATTAAATGACCTTGTCATTTCTAGTTGCTTGTTTTTGTTTGTTTTTTTCCTTACAATTTTTTCTTTTTATTAGTGTAAGCCCTACCATGTTTCTGACAAACTTGTGATTATTGGCGATGCCGCTCATGCAATGGTTCCATTTTATGGTCAAGGAACGAATTGTGTAAGAACAAAAAGTTACAAAATAAGTGTAGGATTACTGAATTATTAAATTATCAATAAGGGTTTCTGTTTGCTATTGATTTTCAAGGCGACTTTTCTAACGAATCTTTTCATATTTGAGTCCAAATTGTATGCTGCAAAGATTGATTTACATGAAAGGAAAGGGTAGGGATAAGAGGGAGCAAATTTCATCTGTCATCTTAAGGAGATGCAATGCATCTTGCCATGTCATGCTAATCTACAGCAATAAAAAAGGTTAAGTCTATACTGGAGCTAAGTGGCCATCCCAGCCAGAGCTTATCCCAGTTTCCTTAGCATGATGCATTTACAAGTATCACCACTCCCTTTCCACCCCCCTGGATGGCATGCTAGTCCATTTCAAGGTTACCCCCAAGTATTTCATCAGACTTCCCAGACAACTTACCAGTATTCATTTGTAATCTCAGGTGGAGATAGGCACTATGAAAGGGATGTGTTTTTCCCAAGAACACAACAAATTCATATTTACCAACAGCCCCAGGTTTTGTCACCTCGTCTCACAATCTGCAATAACAGGAACTCATAAACTTGTTTTCTAGACAAACTGACACTCACATGGAAGGTTGCTCTCAAAGGAAGCAATAATTAGAATTATAATTCACAAATATTCTCATTTTCTTTCTTTCAGGCATTTGAGGATTGTCTGGTACTTGATGGAATACTAGAACAACATAATAATGACTTTGGTTAGTGCTGAGTTTTCTTATTTTTTTTTAATAATTTATGTGCCATTACAGGAAATGGTTTGAACTGGGGGGTAACATGTGATGGTGTAGTCTGATTTTTTGGGTGGGTGTAGTCCTGAGAAGGACTGTTGTTGGTAGAGGTTTTGACAACCTGAGCAGAGGTTGTCATCAGAGTTAGTGACTTCATAGTGACTGAAGAAGATTACTTCCGCTCAGGTTGTTGAAATGTCAGTCATCACTACGGACAACAGTCTTTCTCAGGACTACACTCACCCAAACAATCAGACTACACTATCACAATTTATTTGCCATTGACAATTCTTTTCAAATTCACAGTCCCACCAAACTACATAACAAAAAGTACTACTCAAAGATTTGTAGTAGCTTTAACCTTGTAGAACTAACTGTTAAGTAATTGTATTACATGTGTTCCAACATCACCATATTGTTCCTGTCACTTTTATTAAAATCATTACTGTCATCATTAGTATTGTTTAACTTGTTGTAATGGCTGTGTTACTTTATTTAAAATTATCTCTGTGATTAATATATAGATTTAGCCAAGCCTAAAAGCGGAGCTCGCATTTTTTTTTTTCCGCACGTCTCAAGGGCACAATGCCTTGCCCCAGCCAGGACTAGAACCCAGGTTGTCCGACTCGGAGCCCAGTGTACTGACCACTGGACTACTGGACAAAGCTGTGGCATTGGCGTGCCTGTGGTACAGTTGACCACACATGTTAAAAGTAGCACCTTGTATGGTCGTACGGTCGTACAACCAAATTTTTTCGGCTCAATGGTTAACTACTATTTTGTATAATTATGGAGCTATGCCCTGCGAGCTCCGCTATTAGAATTGTCATAATTATATATTACTACTTAATTATTACATGATCAGAATTCTAATATATTAATATGGTTTTAAAAACTAATGATAAAATTTCACCTTACACAGGTGCTGCACTACAGGAGTACTCAAGAACACGAAATAAGGATGTTGAAGCTATGTGTGATTTAGCAATGTACAACTACATAGAGGTATTCTGTCAATTTTACATCAGTGACACACATGGCTGCAGCAGTCTGCCTCTTTTTGTTTTTACCACATTTCTGCATCATTTGTGCCCCATCACTGAAAAGGTGCATGGCATAATGGAATCTATTCGTCAATTATTTAAATTAAGTGTATTAAAAGTAATAGCTTTTAGAGGTCTCACACAGTGTTTCTTGCAGATGAGATCCTTGGTGACATCTCCAGTTTTCCTTATGAAGAAGAAACTGTTCAACTTACTCCACTGGCTGATGCCAAAAACATTTATTCCCCTTTATACCATGGTAAGTACCATAATGGATCTTTCTCTAGCCAGCAGCAATGGTGCTATTTTGGCTAGCTAGTGCTTAATAGTTTCTTGGTGAAAATCATAGCTGCCATCGTTGAATTTTCCAGCAAGGAAAGGCTAGGAAGAGTGGAAGGGGAAGAACTTTGTACCAGGGGGGTGGGTGATAGTTGATAAGAAGGAGAGGGGAGGGTGTGGGTCTTTCCTAGCCCCTTCCTGCTCTGTCCACTAAAAATCAAAGCGGGCTGGGCAGATAAACCATCAGGAGATTACCTAATATGATGGTTGCATTACAGGCTAGTCATTTTCAAAACCTTGCAGTCTGTTTCTGAAGTGTTGTTCTGTTACACAAATACTTTGCTTCTTCAGGTGTCGTTTTCTCAGATACCTTACAAGACTGTCATTGACAGATCAGAATGGCAGGAAAAGGTCAGTACTCAGATACAAAACTTTTCAATTTTCTTTTTTTCATTCTCAAGAGTGGACTCAAAATTCTTCTTGCTGACTACCAAAATAAAACTTTGTTCCTTAACCCTTTACACCCTAACATCAGCATGCATATTCTCCATACTGTTCTTAATATATTTCTTAAGGTACTGACAAGGAGAATTTGTTAAACAATCAAGAGCTCCTTTCATTGTTGATTATTTCTCTTATTCTTGTGACTTTAATGAGTGATTCTGGGGTGATATTGTAAGGAGAAATTAGATGCTGGTCACTCTTAGGAGGAAAAGGGTTAAGCATGACTGTTCTATTAGCACTGGGAAGTTGTCCTTTGATGTTAGTCATCGCTTGTATTTGAGAGGTTGCATGTCTGTCACTTCAGAAACAACAGGTTTTACATTGAAAATTAATCTCATTCTGTCTGTCAAAGGGTAATCATTGGATCTTGTAGCCCCTGATGCAATTAAGTAAACACCTCACAAAGACTGTTTAGATAACAGGGTGGACTGAAAATGGTGCCCATATTTGAATTATTATTGTTTCAGGTTGTGAAGAGGACTGTACTCATGTCAGCATTGATGGCTGGAATTGGTGGATCTTTAATGGCACTGAGAATAGTGAAGAAAGACATCAAATTGTTTTGAAAAGTTATTTAATAACTGTATGATGTATGAATTATTTAAATAGTACATAATTTAAGACGATGGGTGTTTTCTTTGAAATATGTTATGACTGGGAGATTTCTAGATGAACCTAGACTGCTGAGTTCAAGCATTTAACTCTTTTCACCCTAACATCAGTATGCATATTCTCCATACTGTTTTCTAGACATTTCCCAAGGAGCTAGCTAGGAGAATTTGTTGAACAGTCAGGAGCTTCTTTACTTAGGGATCATGTCCGTTATTCTTTTGACCTTCATGGGGTGACTTTATAAGGAGAAGTCAGCTGCTAGTCACTCTTATGAGGGACCAAGACAGACTTTCTCCTTACGATATCAATACAATATCAAGCAGACAAGTAATAAGAATAAAGAAAGATATCAGTCAGGGGATTACAAGTTGATCCAATGACAAATTCTCCAAACTAACATCACAAGAACTGTATGGCAGACAGTAAGGAGAATTATTACTAATGAGATCTTGGGAGTTTAAGGGTTAAAGGGTTAAAAATCAAAAACCACCAAGACAAAAATTACAGTTCACACTTCAAGTTAAGCTGTGTAATATTCAAAATACATCAATATTAAAAAAGAACAATTTTGATATTTAATTTTTTGAATGTTTAAGAACAATTTGTATGCAGGAAATATACTCCTTTGAACTGGGTGATTTTTTTCTTTTTTTTTTCTCATCACAAGGCTCTGAAGATCATAACTTTTTAAAATGTTACGTTGTGTAATATTCAAAATACATTGATATTTAGTTTGAATGTTTAAGAACAATTTTGAACCATCTTGGAATTTTGACAATGGAATCGTTCATATGAATCAATTGCATGTCATAGAATTGCAAGAATCACTATAGCATTTGCATGTGGGAACATTATAATACTCTAACAAAATTGTATGACTGGGTGATGGGATGTAGTTTAAAATGCTGATAGAGTGAAATGGTCAAGTGATAAAGAGACTTTCTTAGAAGTTGCGTGGTTCTCATCACAAGGCACTGAAGAGCATAACTTTTTAAGATGTTATGTTATGTAATATTCAAAATACATTGATATTTTGTTTGAATGTTTGAGAACAATTTTGAAATATCTTTGAATTTTGACAATGGAATTGTTCATATGAATCAATTGCATGTCATAGAATTGTAAGAATCACTATAGCATTTGCATGTGGGAACATTATAATACTCTAACAAAATTGTATGATTGGGTGATGGGATGTAGTTAAAAATTCTGATAAAGATACTTAGAAGTTGTGTGGTTCTTATCACAAGGCACTGAAGAACATAACTACTTAAGAGGAAAATCAAAAATAAATATAATCTTCATGGTTTCCCTGGTTTTAGAATAACTAACATGTCACACATCCACAGTCAATGGTTACATAATTAAAAGTCTGTAGAAGCTGAGACTGGGGCACACAACTGGAGCTCTTTCCAGTTTCCTTGTCATGAGGAACTGATCCTTCAGGAGTGACCAATGAGGAATTTCTCCTTACAATGTAAATACATCACTCAGAAAGGTTACAAGAAGAAAGAAAAAAGTCAGCATGAGGCCATTTACCAAATCCTCAGAGCTACAATTACAAAAAACAATTAAAGGATGGAGAAAAGAATTGATATTGAGATCTGAGGGCAAGGTTGACCTTTTCACTTTCAAGATGAAAACATCAATTCTCTGCACAGTCTCTGATATATTTCTCATGATTTTTGTCTTTGGGAATTTGGTATTAGATCAAACAATATTTTTAAATTTATGTTTTTCTTTCTTATCATGACCTTTTCTGCTTGGAAATGTATTGATATTGTAAGGAGAATTAAATCATTGGACACCCTTAGGAGTGCTAGGTTCATTATTACAGGTTACTCCTCAACATGTTATCAAGTTACCCATACAGTTTACTGTTAGCTGTTTATACACCTGAGTGAAGAGAGGAACTGCAAGGGAAATATTCCTGTTGAGAACACAATTACAGTACCCTTAGCCAGCACTGGAACCTCATCTTGATGAAGAGTCCAAGTTACTCACCAGACTCCACCATGTCTCCTACATCACAATGAGACCATCTAAGGGACTGATCATTACTTTGAGGGAAGGGAGGCTGGTGCAAAATTAGGTCTGCCATCTCTGCTTTTTCCCAACCCCCCCTCCTTTCACTCTTCTCACATTGTGTTCAAATGCCCCAAAAATCAATATTCCTAAAATAGATTCTTTCTTGAAACAAAAGTAGCTAATTGAAAATAGAATGTGATCTAAGCATCTTTGACTGCTTGTAAAAATTCATCTTTCATTTCTTTTAGTAGTGATGGATCATGCAACACCTCAATTGCAGTAAAACAAAGAGATTTGGCAGCAATAATAGTTTGATCATGAGCATACTGTGTGCCTGCAGCAGCTCGGAAGACATGGGAATGAAATGGCACTGAGCTGTCAATACAGAACTGAGCATGCAGACCAGGAACTACCATGGACACATTTCCAAAATCTGTTGATCCATCCACAATACTTTCTTGTTCTTCTCTTGATGGAAAGACCACACCCATTTGCCCAGCATACTTTTGATACAAATAGGCCAGCTTGCTGTTGGTGAGCACTCCTGCATGAGGAATGGGATCCCATGTTATCTCTACCGTGCAATCAGTTGCTTTTGCAGCTGCTTCAAAGCAAGCATTCACCTTAGATTTGAGGACTGCACATTCTTTATTCTTCACAGTTCGCACCCAGAATTCAAGCTTAGTTTGCTCAGGGATGATATTAGGCTTAACTCCTCCCTCACTTATAATGCCATGTACTCGCCACGTTGGTTTCATCTGTTGCCTGAGCAGGCTTATAGAGTTGTACGCCATGACTGCAGCATCAAGAGCATTGCGTCCTTCCCATGGGAAGGCTGCTGCATGAGCTGCCTTCCCTTTGTAGACAATTTCAGCTTTCTCAAGAGCTTGGCTCACGTAGAATGCCATATTAAAAGGTGCAGGATGTACCATGATGGAAAAATCTACATCTTTGAAACAACCGCTACTAACCATCTGCACTTTTCCACCACCTCCTTCCTCAGCAGGGGTTCCCATGGCAATAAGCTTAGCGTTGAGTCCACCCTCGATAGCTGCTTTTATCCCCAGTGCTGCCCCTACCCCTGGGGTTAATAAAGAAACAGTTAATGTAGAACTCTTAAGGTGGCTGGGAACAGGTATCTGAGATGAGATGCAAACCAACTACATTCAAAGTGCTCAAATACCATCTTTCCCTCTTCACAGTCAAACCAATTTCATGCTTATGTCCACCAAACAATTGAAATGACAATCGTTATCATTATGCTAACGTCCCATGAAAGTCCAGTTTTTTATTTTTGGGGACCATCTTGGGAAATTCCTCAATAGATTTTCCCAAAACTTCAGAATTTTCTCTTTTGAGATAAGACTTCACATCTGAGTGAATTTGAACAAATTAAATCTAGCCAGTTTAAAATTCTGATGCTGCTAAGATTACAGTTGATTTAACTGCTGTGACTTCATACTGTTCATGGAGAACTGTTTCCAGTTACCTTAAAACAAAGTCACAGATGCCCTGGTCATGTATTGAGTATAGTCTACAAGACTCAGTAATAATTAGTTTCAAAACAACAAGCACAATCTTTACTTTATTTTTACTCTTTCTTGTCCTGAGTACAAGTTCAACCTAATTGAATGGATGAAGTAGAGGGTACTGACTACCTGAGATATCCATGGGGGATATCTCAGGTATATCTCTTCCCCCCCACTTCCTGAGGCAGGTGTAATCCCAGGAACTTCCGAACCAACCAAGTTCAGTGATGGTCAGAGCCAGTCATAGAGACTGAACATCATCTCTCATGACGGGCTGATTGAGCTAAATAATGACTACAGAGCAATTCCCAGGGTGGAAATTGAAAACATGCCAGTTCATTGGGTCAATCAAGTTACATTTTGCTTTTTCTTTGGGGGTAATACCGTTTGTTATCGGGTGTGAAGTCTGATAATAGAAAAAGGTGAAGATCTAGTTAATTATGCTGTTGAATAAGTAATTATTAGGTAATTTTGGAAAAACTCCGAGTTCGTAGTTACCCGCTATGGCTATGAGATTATGCCCACATCCATGTCCGACCCCAGGTAATGCATCGTATTCAGAAAGCACGGCAACCGTCGGACCTTCGTTCTCAGCTCCAAACACCGCCCGATAAGCTGTTGGCATTGTGTAACCCCTTGTTACCTCAAAACCTTGTTCCTCAAAAAAGTCGCACAGAATGCCATGGGCAAAATGTTCTTCGTAGCCAAGCTCTGGTTTTTCCCAAATCTTCAAGCTCAAGGCTTGAAGATCTTTAGCTTTACCGTCGATCACGGGTGAAGCGAGGGTTATGAAATTTTCTAGCTCGTCGGCCATGTCGAAGACAAATCGCGTGACTAACTGGGGTGAAGTGTGTTTGACCTTATCATTTAAATCCCAAATACGCATGCGCATTCTCTTGGCGCTCCACTGACGTCACTTGTTCCCAGGGGCAAGGATCATTTTACGAACGCCAGCTAATTTACCCGGCGTCCATATTGCCTACGCTGTTGTTGTCTTGAGCGTAAAATCGACTTAATATTGAAGCCTACAATCAGAGGAAAAACATTGTAGTAGGTTGTTTCGTCGACGGAAAAACCTTTTTGCTCTAACAAGATGCATTTGAAAGGATTCCGTTCGATTTTTCTTCACGGCATCATATTGGCTTTCCTCTTCGAAGTCTGTTTTTGTGATGATGACTTCAGATGTCCGTACAATATTCACGTGAATAAGGGACAGATCATTGAGGCCAAAGCATCTGTAGACAATGGTGCCTCGTTTTTGAAACATTATGAAGTTCGCGATGCTCGAGAGTGTTACAAGTTGTGTTGCGAACGAAAGAACTGCGATCTCGCGCAAATGCAATACAAAAATTATACGGATGGATTCTCCTCGGAATTACAGAAGGTTTGTTTTATGTTCCACTGCGGAAAGCCCAGTAAATGTCTCTTTGGACAACACGATCACTACGCTACGATATCTTACGACAGACCAAGTGAAGAACTATCGTACATAGACGGCAATCAGTTTGGACCTTCATCTGTTAAAACTGGGGAAGCAAAATTGGGCACCGCGAAAGAAATTAAACCTTCTGTTCGCGAAGGTAGGAGTTGTGGTTTTTATGTCGTATGTTATGTAAATCGCTTAATTGTTTTCTAGCATCAGTTACTTGAAATTGCGATAGCAAAATCATTACTATTATCTGATTATTCGTACAGTCTCTTCACAAATGGAAACATTTCTCACAGTCGTGTACAAGGGACACGTATTCTTAATTCGCAGGGGTATTTCCTCGTTCCAGTCTATAATTTTGATATCAGGTTTAATCCTGGTCCTCTAGTTCCTTATTATTTCACTCGAGATGAGTGAAGGGTCAACAGAAACATCACACTTTAAAATGTTCAAAAATATAAATATAATATTTTGTCCTAATTTTCGTATTTCTAAACACCTGCAGATCTCCTTGGTGAAAGTGCTTGAATATAGTTCGCACTAGTAACCGAGAATCTTTGTTTATCTTTGTTTTTTGTGCTCTTTCTGTTGATTTATTTTTAGCGAAAATTGATTTCAAGGCTGTTTTTCTAAGATTTATTTCCTTTGTAGAAGTTAAGCGTCAATTTTTGCTCAAAACTCTCTCCAATCCTGGCAATTCGGACTATTCAAACTGTCTCTGTAAAGTCAGTTAAAGGAGTTGCAATGTTGTCTTTCTGCACATTTCTACAACTGATTCATTGTACTTTTTCACATATAAAATACGTGACAGCGGTAAAAGGCCCAGTAAGACCTTCTAAGTGGTACAAAACTACTGAAAATCCTAGCTTTTGATTACTGAAATGGCAGATATGGTTAAGGCATTGGAATGAGATTTTTTCCACAAAAATTTTTTCCACATAATTGTGTGCTCATAAGAATTATGCAGCCAATAGTTATTTTGTAGTTCAGTTTGCTATTCTTTGTCTTCTTGAGCCCTCACACACATAGCTCCTGGAAATAACCAAGTTTTATACAGATAATCAATTTATGCTTTGTAACCTTACCAAATAGTTGGTCTCCTGTTCCTGTAGAATCAGCAAATTGTTGGCTGGGTTTTTTTTTTTTTTTACCTTTTACGTCCTAAAATTCACATTCTCTGCTCTGTTCTCTTTATTTTCCTTGTGATATTGACAAGAAGAATTTGTTTGACAATTAGAAACTTCTGGAGTTGGTGATCATTTCCTTTATTCTCCTGGCCTTTATATTTGATTTAGAGGTGATACTGTTAGGGGAGATTATAAGTCTGTGTCTGTTAGGGGATGTTGGGTTAAATGTTAATTTTTCCTTGATTTATCTACTAGGTAATACAAAAGACAGAGTTCAAGGATCGTCACAATACAAACCACCTTCAAGACAGTACACGACTGAGGAACAAGACAAATATGAAGAGGAAGAAGATTTAAGGAGTCCTTGGAAACAGAAATCCTATGAAGGGAGCACTGTGCATTCAAAACAACCTTTTGGAAAAGATAGGTATCATAGCAAGAACACACATGAATCATGGTCAGCGAAAAAAATGGCAAGGCCAGTTCTAGATAAAGATGAATACTCAGAAAATTCTCAAGAATCTCAAAAGCCTTATTACCAAGTTACCTCAAATCATCCTGATTTCCCTACAAAACACCAGCATGTAAACATGAAAGGACCTGTAAGACCTGGAAACCCTGTGAAAGAAGTGGCTGAGGAACCAACTGAAGAGAAGGCAACAACACACGATTCTGATGACGTGGATAGGGAACTTGAGAGAAAACTAGAGGAACTTATGCCAAAAACAGACACTCAACAATATCAGCCTTCTGGTGGTGACACGAAGGCTGTGCCCACAACTGTTAAACCCACCTTTCACCAGTGGAGGCAATTTGTTGACAATAACCCAAATTTTCCATATACAATTCCAAGCGAAGTAGAACATCCATTAGAACAAGCAGTGGAGAAGCAGACAGAAAAACCTGTTGAAAAACCAGTGCAGAAAAAGCCAGTAGAGATTCCTGCACAAAAACAAGTTGTGCAGAAACCAGTGGAGGTGCCTGTGCAAAAGCCAGTACAGGTACCGGAGCAGAGGCCAGTACAGGTACCAGTGCAGAGGCCAGTAGAGGAAACTGTACAGAAGGTACCTGTACAGAAGAAACCAATAGAGGTACCTGTGCAGAAGAAACCAGTAGAGGTACCTTCACTAAAACCTGTGGAGAAACCGATACAAACCCAAGTACCCAAACCTTGGCAGGAACCAACAGAACCAGAGACAGAACCACCCAAGCCAACAGAACCTATAATAATGACAGAAAAAGCAAGAGTTCATGATGGTATGGAATTGATTCCAATATTTACCCCTCCTTTTCTCTTTATCCACACTGTTGCTCCTTTTTTCACAACCCTTTCCTTTCCTGCTCTTACTTTAACACACCTTCCTGTCTCAACCCTTTCCTACTCCATTCCTTTCACCCTCTCCCATTTTCTACCTCACAATCTACTCCACTTAAACTTTCATACAGTTCTTAAAGTTCCCTCTTCCCTTATTTCTTCCCTCAGACCCTCTCATACTTCCTAATCTCTTTTATCCTCTCTTTTCTTTTTTCTCTCCCCTTCTTGTCCCCTTTCTCTCCAACTTTTCAGTCCTCTTCTCTGTTCTTTCTGCTCTTCTAAGCTCATAGTCCTTCTGACCCCACCCTTGATTCCTTCCTCTGCTTATAGTTAACCCCTAAAGATCTCTTTTAGTTCCCCTGTCACCTTGTTCTTTCATTTCCTTGCTTCCAGTTCCATCTCTCTCTCTCTCTTCCTAGAGCTTTTGTCAAGGTCCAAACCTTAATGTTGATATATGTGCAAGAGCTTCTCTTAATTAATTTCTTTTTCCTCATTCTTAGAACCCAAACAGCAACATGATGAGCGTCCCTTGATTGAAGTGCCAATCCAGAGCAAGAACATCTCTGATGTAGTGGTAATTGAAACACATAGGCTAAAGATCATTGAGAACAAGGCAGTTCTTCCACTAGCAATATTCCTTGTGATTGCAATTTTATTGCTGTTTGTTGTGGCCCTTCGTTTAAGAATTGTCAAAAGCAGATTAAAAAGGCGGCCATTTGCAACAGATGATGCTGATTATCTAATCAATGGCATGTACTTGTAACATACTGCTAATGGTGATCAAGCTATAAATACTTATATTAGTCATTCTTCTGTGAAAACACCATGTTTTCAAATGGATAATTTCCTTACATGATAGACCCTCTCAGGGCCAAGTTCCAATATTACTATTATTACTAAGGTGGCCTAATACAGATTTGTGTGAGCTTGGAAGCATTTATTTAATTGCCACACAGAGATTTCAAGAAATTTACATGGTTCCAGTACCCGTAAAAAAGGTTTCTTTGTTCAATTGCAGCTTTATGTTAGGTATTTTTATTCAAAGAAAAAGTATGCGTGATCATGAGGTCTGCCAAAAAAGACTTTGAAAATTAACAGGGCTTTTTCTTGAAAATCTTGTACACTTCTGATCTGAAGTAATACAAAATGCATCTGTTAGAAGTCAATTTTCTGTAAATAGTAAAGCTGCATTTGCCATGGAAACAGCAAGCACTTTACAGAAATACAAAATAAAATAAAATAAAAGTAATACAAAATGCATCTGTTAGAAGTCAATTTTCTGTAAATAGTAAAGCTGCATTTGCCATGGAAACAGCAAGCACTTTACAGAAAATGCCCAAATATTACACTCTTCATGGTAACACTTGTACATTTTATTGAAATTGCTTCATAAGGTGTGTAAGTTAGGGACATGGTTGAAATTTGTAATTCAGATTATTTAAGCTGTTGGCAAGTATCACTTCCAGAAGTTGGTTACATATTTTTTGAACTGTTGACCTTTGTTGCCCTGTGGATTCAATTTAGAAATAAGTTAAAGAAGCATTTGGATTCTCATTTCTTTGTGGGAAATGATTACTTTATCCATATGAGGCAGAGTACACAACTGATGATTCATATGAAATTAGGTGCATTTCTCTTTGAATGAAAGTAGAAATTAACACCCTAGAAACAAAGGGTGGCAATTGTTTTGGAAACCTAGCAATCAGGGTTCTCCAGAGTTATCTAACACCTTCGTTTGAATTATTTATACTTGTAAGAGGAAATTGTACAATTGTAGTCAGTATTTGCTGCAATGGCACAATTCTTATTGTGACTCAAAACTTATGATTTGGAAAAGGACTTTCTCTTTTTTCCAGAGATCTCAGGTCTAACATAATTTGTGTTAATGCTGTGTAAAAGCTTTGGTCTTAACATAACATTTAGTTGGTAATAAGATTATTATGAGTTGTACATACTCTTTAGGAAGTAGGATGTAATAATTTTCTGAAAAATATTAATGTAAGGGTATTGTAATGTAATACATTGCCAAGAACTGTAAGTTCAGCCAGCATTTTTCTGATAAGTGTTTAGCTAAGGAGGAACTAGAGTATGTATTCATGACTGTGAGAGGTTGATTCAAATTTTGAAGGCCACTGTAAGATAATAAACACAATACAGCTGTCAAGAAATTCAGAGAAATGTGGAAAAAAAACATATTTGAGAAGATTGAGGCAAGAAGGACAACATTCAGACAATTTTCTTTGGTAGCATTCTTTGAATGTAACAATGTTGTTATTCACTTTCTAGCAAAAATATTAAGCTGCAGATTTTTGATCAATTAAGGGACGATTGCTGAATAGATTCAAAATGGGAATTGAATTTATATCAAATTTATTTTCGTAGTAAAATATTGAGTCAGTTAGATATTGCTGTCATCAAACACCATTTATTTCTTAGCTATTGAGTAATATAAAACATGTATTTTCCCTTCAATGATGGCTTATCAGTTGAAACAAAGTAGTAGTAATTTGTTTCATTTGTCTGTAGGCAGATTTGCAATGCAGTAAATAAAGTTAAAATTCATGTGAGAACTTGAGTCTTATCTTGCTTTGAAGTTGGTGAGCTAGAAATGTAACTACATTCTTTGATAAATTCCACAAATGGCCAAAATGTGCCATACATAATTGGTACTACAGAGATCAAAATTGTATCAGCAGGTATTGCAATGTCTGGTGGTTCTACCTTGATTAAATTTGAAGGCATCTTGGCAATTCTTTACCCATTATGCAACACTTTAAATTCATACCTAATAGTCCAGGGAAAAATGGTTCTCAAAAGCATGATGACTGGACACAGAATGGTATAATCCTTAATTTATGCAATCTAAGAGAAATAATACATGATTTATTAGAAATCTAAGGAAGAGCAATTCTTGAAGGAAAAATGAAATTACAATTCTTAAAATTGAACTGGTAACAAAACAAATTTACTTACCTCTGTAGTGATATCCAATCAAAACTATTCCAGTATATGTATCAGTTCAGCAAAGTGGGTCAGCAGATTGAGCAGAAAAACACTAATTCAGAACACTTTCATGAGAATGTGTCATTCCTTTTGACTGGAGATCAACTTACTTAGCAATTATGCCACTGATATGTCAATCATGCAGTTAATGATAAAATCAAACGCTAAACAATAAATTACTTGTCAATTGACGAAACACCTGTCACCCTGTCATAAACTGAAACTGAGACCAGTTCAGCTAAGAATTTTCAGGGACAAGTGATAGCAACACCAAGGAGTGTTGGTGGGTCAGTGAAAAGGATGTAGGGGTGGTCACAGTACAAGAATTTTGCCCATTCCATAGCCTGGTTATTTTCATCAGTAAAATGCAGGCAGGTATTAACTTACTTTAATGCTTTCCAATCAGAGCAAAGATTATCACATTGATTTTTTAATTATTACACTGTGAACAATCATTAAATGAGGAAATGAATTAATTTGCATCCATGGATGACCAATTGAAAATCAAGGGTCCATCAGCACTTTGATCAGAATGCCTCTTAACAGGCTATTCCAACCTGAAAAAACAAGGATCAACTTAAGGTTATAAGTTTCTCCTTCAAGGGTGACCATGACTGCTTAATGAGAAGAAATTACAGTAATCAAGGGGAATTAACAACTGCATAGCTAAGTGAAGGTTGGGTGCCTGAAACATTCAGGAGCTTCCACTATTGGTGGCCAGCTCATAGATGGAGACTTCTCCCATGGCTGGCAAATCCTAGCAACCCAGCTATGAGGGCCCACACAGAAAAGGGAAACAGGCACCTGTCACGCTGAATAAACAGTGGAAAGAGGGAGGGAAGGGGTGGGGAAAACTGCCTGGATGTTGAGCTGACACTCCTCACAACGCTGCAAGTTCACACTCAAAGCAAATGCAAGAACACCTCAAACAAAGAGCACATGGAATTCCAATGAATGCACATATACAAAAACCGCTGACTGCTATAGAGTGCTAATGCTCTCAGTAGTCAGCAGCAATGTTTACTCCATTAAACTGCATTTTACTGCACAGAATTTTGGGACTGACAACTGACTGCTTAGCACAGGGTAACCACTTAACATTGTCTCACCCAATACAGGTTCAACTGTATTTCTTTAGGGCCCAGTTCAGACATTGTGCTTCCAGCATGCCAAACTTAATTGCAATTACAAATTTAGGTTAGACTATAGCACAGCAGAAGCATAACTCTGATTGAGACAATGGGCTAACGCTGTGCAGAATTCAGTATTTACTGAAGCACCCTCAGTTTTTTTTTCTGCAAAGTGTTACAATGATTGTCTTATTTCAAGTTCCATGAATAAACATTACATAACCTTGTGGTAAATAGAGACTTTTAATGTTACAGGGAGGAGTCTTAGTTTATAGAGCTTTGAAAGTGAATGCTGCTGATCAACTTGCCATGGTAACGCCATATATTTCACTCAGCTCTAAAAGTCCTCTTGAGTCTTTTCTCTTTTCTTCTTCCCTTCTTTGTCCAAAGTTTCTCTACTGGAGATCACATCTTCCAGTCTTTTGATGAGACTAGATGCTGCATTTTTTTCTTTCTTCCCAAGAAACTTTAGAGAAAGCTCAAATCTGTTTGTCTTAGAAAGTCCTGTTAGGATGTTAAAAATATCACTAGAGTCCTTTTCGTTCAGACAATTGTTAAGAATCAGGAGAAATTCTCCTAATAGCCCCATACTTATCTCTCCCTTGAAAATTGTTCTGAGCTCGTTGCCTCCAAGTTTTAACAAAAGTTGGTATTTTTCCTCTTCTGTTTTGCAGTAACGTTTCCAAATTTTGGTGAATTCATGAGCAGTTTTAGGATTTTTTGATGAAGTAGACAATGTGGCACTTTGTGCTGTTGGTGTTGCTACCACTGTCTGTGACTTGCCTTGAGCATGTGGATTCCAGGGTTGTTTGCGTGTATTTTCACCTGTTGAAGTGTAATTCAACATAATTTTCAGTAACTGGGTTACAAGTCCGTTACACTTCTTTGGTTAAAAGAATTAAACTTCTGCAAAGAAAGATCAATGCCAGACAAGTCTGACCATGTGCCACAAGAGTTATCCTGCTTAAGCTTACTCTGACTTCATTATGTTCAGTTACATTACTGCACCTATCAATGGTTTTAATACCCAGGATGAGGGTTGCCTATGGGAAATCACAGACAGGACCCCCTTATGAAATTTATGCAAAGTCTCAGGGTCAGGAATTTGACCTGGCCACCATCTTGGAAGACCAAGTGAAATTGGAGACAAAATTTTTCTGTTGAAATTTGTACTGTATATGGTCCTCAGGGTCAGAATTTTGACACATAATGGACACCCAGATGTGGAAAAAATGACTTTTGAAAACCTGAAAATGTTTAATACCCCTGGGGTTTTCCACCTCCCCATCCTGGGGCAAACCAATGATGGGTGCATATGTATGGCCTCAGTTGGTCCCCCTGAAATTAAAGGTGCTGTTCAGTAACCTTGCCAATACACACATAGCAAGTACCCAGTATGCTATGCTCTGGGTCTGTGGTGACAACTGAAAACATGGAGGAACAATAGACTCAGGGAGACCCAGCCAAATTTCTCCGCCACCCAAAGGAATTACACAGTTTAACGTTTTTGTGAATCTCAGAGGTTCTTCATAGAAGCAAATACTCTGAGACCTTGGAGTCAATCTCGCCCAACTAAACTGCAAGTCAGTTTTAAACAAAAGGAAAAAAATATATACAAAATAAATATGGGAATTTTTCCCATCACTTGATCTTATCCAGTATTGAGGGACATACTTAAACTAGTCCCCCTTCACAAACCTGTAATATCTTTTCTCTCCAAAGGTTTCAAATGAGCTGCGCTAACAATGTCTCGAAACTCTTCATAGCTACCAACTCTCTGGTTCACAGCTCGAAATTTCGCATCGCTCTCACGAAGATATTTTTCGTCCGCTTCCACAGCTAAAGCAAGCTCCTTTTCAAGTTTACGAAAGTCGATTCCTTCGTCGTCATTCATAATTTTACACCAAAACAACCGCGAACAGCGATCGACAATAAATCAATAAAGCAGCCCTTTTGAGCTTGATTCGTTACCAACCAAAATTTTAGCGCGGAGACTGAAAACTTGTTTCCAGGTTCGCGCGCGGCATGACTTAGGGGTTACTCCAGGAGATTTACCCTCCCCTCCCTGATCCCAAAAATTTCACCGAACCAAAACGGTTGGACTTCTAAAGGTTCGTTAGCCTCCTTCAACCCCAAAGCGAGCTGACTCCCGCTGCTTAACGCTTAAAAGTTTCTGGTGTGCGAAGAAACGCTCTAAAACAAAACTCAAAATAATTGTTTAATCTGGGCAAGCAGTACTACGCCTGGTGTCGTGTTTTCCTACAAGGTTTACAACCCCTTGCGAACCTCAGATTTTACCATTCGTTAAACCTAAGTCTAATTTTAATCAACTTCGTTTGATCGACTGATTTAAGAGTCGGTGTCAGTTTTATACATAATCACCCCTTACACAATTGCACAAAAGGTTACCACTATATTAAGAAAGATTTCGATTACTCGACCTTTGTGAAACTGGAGCAGCGTCCAGTTTTATTTCTTTACTCAAGGAGTTTTAGATAATCAAGTAATTGAAGTGTCCTGCGCGTTTTAACATTAAGTGAACAATCGACCCCACCGGAAGAGTAAATGTTTGATCGTTGAGTAAACAAAACTCAACAATATGCATCAAAATAATTACAAAAAAATTAGCAATTCTATGGTCATTACGCTCTCAATGGAGTTTCGAAAACTCAATTAAGTTTATCCAGCTCTAAAAATATTTGTATTCAAGAGGTAACAAGCTTAAAATCATGCTGGAGAAAAGCCAACATAATGCACTATTTGGAGTCAGAATCTTCAATCGCACTTAGTATGAAAGCTCAGTCTGATAAAAGGAAAAAACTTAACAACATTTTTTAGGGTAAGATCCTATAATTAAAAGGACAATGAGCCATCCATACCATTGGACAGCTGAGGATTGACAATTGTTTCACAAAATCCCTTGAATTTCTATTCTGAGGTTGTTTTCCCAGGTTTTTATTTCGTTTTACCGGCAAAAAGGCAAAAGAACTTTGAAGACTGAAAAATAATACCGAGACTGTGACAGTTCTTTGAAACAATTTCAGTTCTGTTGAAGGCTAGTTCCATTTGCAGATTTTCGCCAGTCTTCAGCATAGAATTACGTCATCAGAAACTGGGAAGAACTGACCCACAGAGCTCTCTTCAAAGTACGAGGAATTCAGAATGGCCTCGGATAAAATCAGAGTCAAACGACTTTATGCGATTCACTCGAAAAGTTTGAGTGAAAACGAAAGTTCTTCATCGACAACATCTCATTTCCTCCGCGTTAGGGAGAGAAGTGGCAGTGTATCGTCTACATTCTCCCTGGTTCGTATCAAAAAGGACAAAAACGATGGAAAGGAAGGCTTGGCAAAGATGTCGAGAAATGAAAACGACAGCTGGTTTTCAAGCCTCAAATTGCAGTCGAGACGCGTTTTCAGTGGCGACAAAAACGAGGGAGACCCTGGAAATGCGCCTTGTGTGGAGAAAGACCACATAGTAAAAAGATCCCGCAGTGGTAGTGGTTCCATGATTTTTTCTGCTATAAAGTTCAGGAAAAATCTTACATTTTTCAACGCACAGGGTTACCCAATTAATACACCTTCGTCTGAGCCGCTTCAAAGAAAGAATTTTATTGCAGTAACATCTAGCAACAAAGACATCGAAATCATCAAACAAGAAAAGCCTCGACATCGCGCAGTCTCGTTTTCAAGTCGGTCGCTACTTCATTCATCAATAGCTCGTAATGACGTCTTAGAGCTAAGCAGCCTAATCGACAATGATAGGGACCTGGACCTGAATGAACCGGATGATCTGGGCATAACCATGATGCACCGTGCAGCAATCGATGGAAGCTACCGCTGTCTGAACTTTCTTCTCTCTCGAGGCGCAGACGTGAATGTCACTGATTTTCAAGGCTGGACTCCACTTCACGATTCTGTTTTCCATGGGCATATCCGCTGTGTGGTTATTCTTCTTATCTCGGGCGCAAACGTAGAGGCGGAGACGAAGGATTATCTGAAGCCCATAGAAATGGCAGAGGACGAGGAAATGATTTTAGTGGTTGGTAGAGCAATGGCCACAAACAGAACTGGACAAAATCCAAATTATGACAAAGAAACTCTCGTGTGAATACAATGAATAGTATATCTCACAAATTAAAACAACTCAGATGAGTATTGTGATTACACATCGAAAATTTGTCTCTTAATTTACCTGTCGAATCTACTTTCAAATTCGTATGCAATTCAACTTTACCTTGCCATGACAATACAATCTGATTGGTCCAGATCGGTCAAGCATGCATTATCCGGCTCTCTTATTGGTTGTCCTGTGGAAAGGAGCCATTCGCTACTTAGAGGGCAAGCGTTTTCCTGCGCTTTAGGCAATTTGCTTAGCTTTACTTTGAGTTCTCATTGGTTCTTAAGATTATATTCGTTTCATTCGATTGGTCGTTGTGATAAATTTAATTTGGCTTTGTTTATACGACAACCAATCGAAAAGCGCCCTAATAAGTTAATGATTATCATCCCTCGGCTAGAGTTGCAGGGAGTAATTGTGCTCGTATTCTTGAATTCTGTTCAACAGAATTATCAAAGTAAGAGGTATCAGACAGTTTCTCAAAAAACTGTTTTAAAACAAAATAAGTGTAAAGAATCTCTTTCGTTGTTAAATTACAAATTATAACTTTCGCTTTCTCTCTCTCCTTTGTAATTTTTTTTGTTGTCGCACGTGGCGCACGTGATTTCCAAAATTGGGTGTTGTTACGTAACCTACTATTTGCACGTGCATGCTTTTTTTTTCTGCAGGTTTTTTGTCTTTATCATGGAATTGAAATTTTTTATATCTATAATGGAACGTTCAAAGTGCTTTCAAGTGTTTTCAAAAGGGTTAAGAGGATTTAGAAAGGGTTGAATAGTCTAGAAAGAGATCGCCTTCTCGTGTAATATAATTAATTGGAATATATGGTTACCAACTTAGCGATAATTTATCGAAGATTAAGAGCATGGTAACATAACGGTAAATTTGACAGAATATATTTTGTGCAGTCTTTGGAGTAAATCTAATCCGAGTTGGTGAACACGAAAACTCTTTTCGACATTCTTAAGATAACTTGGCAGTTGTATATTGTGTGGGCAGGGAAAATAATTATTTTTGTTGTTAAGACCGTCGCTATAAACTGTGACATTTCAAGCGGTACAAGCAAAAGAACCAACAGACTTGTGGGCGAAACAGGAAGGATATAAGTACAAGTTGTCGCGCCAGGAAAATTCTAGGGCTGTTCATTAGACTAGACCCGACGATAATCGTACTTCTGTATAAGCTTTTGTTCATATTTGAAAACAGCGGAAGACATAAAGAGATTTTTTGTAATAGTCGAGATAAAAAGGTCGGTAAGTTGAAAAAGCCCCACAATAAAAATACTGTGGGCGAAAAACAAAAGTTTACTTCTCGAAGCTTTAGCAAATTTGCATATAAGTAGCAATCGAAATGGAAGTGATTTCTGGTGCTATCTCGCTATTTTTCTGGAATAAAATCTTACCAACCATGGTGATCAGCTTTATGAAATTAAGTGTATATTCAAGGTATCACTTAGATAAAAGAGGAAGTCGGTTTTAGCGATGTTCTCTTGAACCAAACATAATACCAATTACACTAACAAGCACACACATTAATTCACTTTGATCAAAAGGTGGAGTTCTACTTAATTTCCAAACACTTTATCGCGTTAAGGGTGTCATGTCGAAACTGGTCTTGACTCAAGGAAAGAAAACCGCACTATTAATTTCTTAATAAGCTTTCCGTGATTCAAACCTTTTCAATAAACGGTGTTTAACTTTAGCCAGGAACTGAATTTTTATACTGAATTGGTGATTACGAATGACTCCAGGGATTTGCGTCAGTGGACTAATACCATAACAATATAGTCTAGGTGTTTGTTTATCATAATAAGTCATCTCCGGTCGTCAAAGTATATAGTGTCCATGAACTGCCTGGCACAGACAAAAGACAAGCTACGGTCGAGCTGCAAACCAGAAACAGGCGGTTTTGAAAACAAAATCCCCTAAGGCGGAGGAGGTCAGATTCAAAACTGACAAAGCAAAGATCTTAGGAGAAAAAACGTGAGCCTTTTTTTATCTGCTGTAGTGACGAAAAGTGTGATTGATACACTTGTCACATGATGTTAGCATTGCATAGAGCATCTCAAGAGGGCAATTTAATTCTGGTGTCGATTCTGCTCGAGAGAGGGGTAAACGTAAATGCAAAAGATAGACAGGGGCGAACTCCTCTCCACATAGCGGCAGAGATTGGAGACAAGTTATTAGCCGAGCTGTTATTTCAGCGAGGAGCGGATACGTGTTCGGTATCCGCTAGGGGAAATATTCCTCTAGACTGCTCCAAGGATGAAGAAATGACTTTGATGCTTGTTCAGATGATGGCTAGAGCGGGGAAAGCAAAAATAGCCAAAGAGAGATTACAGTTTGAAGAATTGTCCGAAAAGGCCCGGCAAAAAGCCGCTAAGACATTAGACTTGAAAAGCCCCAGAAAAAAGGGACCTCCAGTGCCATTTTCTCAGTTTTGGAACAAGCGTTCCATAGCAAGCTTTCTCGGATTGAGAGAGGCTGATTCAAGGCTTTCAAGCCTGTCAAACATTTCTGACTGTAGTAGATTCAGCGAAAGTGAGTCCGGCTTTTCTGAATTGGACAAATCTCCTGAGAGCACATCTATGGAGTCTGTACAGACGAACGAATCACTTTCAAGCGGCTTCGCGTCCGTGGACGAATTTTCACCGCAATCATTTAATAGGCGCGCGACTACAGCACTAACGAAAGAAGAATTCGCAGCCTTGAACCGTTCTCCTTTCATGCCACGGCGCACTCGTGCCGTATCGGACCCGCCGCGAAAACGGACAATTAAACGATCATCAACGTGGAATATCAGCAGTAAAAGTGAGAGCACATTCCCGCGTTCTGCGCTGAAAAGACGGGTGGAAAAGTGTGTGACTTTCCCGGCGGATGTTCTCTTAGACATTGCAATCAAAAACGACGATTTCGTTGAAACTTGCCACTTGATAAAATCAAAAAAAGTCGACTTTAATCGCGTTGGATGCAATGGGCTCACACCGCTTCATCGAGCGGCCATCGAAGGCAGTCACGAATGTCTGCAACTGTTAATTGACCTCGGAGCAAACGTGAACGCGCGGGATGGCTCAGGATGGACACCTCTTCACGACGCTGTTTATCACGGAAATTTCAACTGCGCACTGGTTTTATTGAGCGCAGGTGCTGATCCAGAAGCTGAAACGGACGATTTTACATCGGTGATAGAAATGACAGACGATGATAAAATGCTTCTTGTCGTTGGAAGAGCGTTGATTCTAGCATTCAACAGTGGGTACCAAAACGAAGTATCTTTCTGCGGGCAGGAAGTACATCATCCTGTTTTTGACCCAGATAGGGAAACATGCGTTTAATTAAACATTTTCTAAGGCAGCTGGTTCGATATTGAACGAAGATCTATGCATTCATGTTTCTAAGTAAACCTCTTCGAAACCTTCTTGTATAAAAGTCAAAGTACGCGATGGAAATTACTTTGATATGTAAAATAAAATGTAATTTATTGTATAAGCGATATAAAGAATCGTTGAACAGATACTTTTGTCTGATCGTCTTCGAGTTTTTACACGCGCTAGAAGGGTTTGTTGGGCTCATAAAAGATCAATTATATCTAAAGGATATATCAAGATATATTTGATTTAATTCCAGAAGTTTCCCATCACTGATAACGAGCGCGCCATACATTAAAAGCTCTGATGGTGCCAACAAATTGGTTTATCTATTTACAAAACCATTACAACAAGTACAAAGTTTGTTCAACTCAATTATCGCTGAAGCTAAAGCGACAAAAAAATCCCAAACACTCAATTTTCTTTAAAAACAACCTAACAACCTCTTAATGAGGTTTACCTCTACGGCAAGTGTGTCTTTTGTCACTTTATATTTGTCTTGTATTCGACCAAGCAGTCCAAAACAAGTGTTAACCAAATATTCCCAACTTAGAGATAACAGCGGTATGTTTACAAGCGTTTTTAAGTGTGTGCAAAAGGCGTCGAAATAACCCTAAATTCCTCGCAAACTATACAACTGATTTTCTATCGCGTTTTCGCCATTATTTCAGGTTTTTATATTTATGTCGCAATCTGGATCCGGAAGATTTAAATATCTAAGAAAAGTAGTGCAAAAGAGACGCCAATTAGTTCTACGTCGTTATACTATGGCGGGCAACTCTTTTGTCTCTGATTGCGTTAGCTCTATTCAAGTCTACACTTCGCAAACAAAGGCTTTCTTATTTAAACCGAAAGTCAATCACTTCAACCATCAGCTTACAGTTCATTCATTGATTAAAAATTTCATCTTATCAGTATCTATCGCACAGTCATATTTATAATTGTACAGACGAAGGGGAAATCTTTCCTTCAAGAGTGAGGAAATGGTCGGCTTTGATCAGTAATTATTGCGCACAACAGATCAAGTTGGCGAAGTTTTCATTGAGTAGCACGTTTTTTCCGCCAAAGCCAATATCAATTCTAAAGTGTTGTCTAGGAAAGTGAGGCAGGATAGTGTAAATTATGAAAAAGTTTTATTAACGACGGATAAAAACAACTAATCACTCAATTAGCTCCAATTCAAACACTGTGGGCACACTACGTTTGCTACATGACCACACTTTGTCGTTGTCGTTTCAAAGCACTGCATTACACTCCTATTGTTAGAAAAAGGGACAAAGTCGAATGGGATGACAATTTTTTTAAACTGAAAAGTGTCTGGAAGAGGTAAAATTAGGTGTTAACGAGGAACGTTAGCCCACTTTAAGACACGCAAACGAATGTTAAGAATTTGGCGTTGAAAGAGATTCTTCCATCGCAAATAACCGTAAAATCTTTAATAAGTTCCCATTTGTGTTGATTCTACTACCGTTTAGCCACACTCTTATTGGTCAATTGGTGTGTGTAGATGAGAGCTCGTGAAAACGGTCGTTATGGCGTTTTAGAAAAACGAGTATTTTTGAGATGACGTTTAGATGATCTAGCCTCATCTAAACGTATGGTGGTAGTTGGGGCGACTTATGAAAATCTTGAGAGTTAAGCAAGCCGTCGACTCCGTCTCAACCTTTCACGAGTACCTCGAATCCTCTCAGAAGATGGCTCTAAGAGCGTAACAGTTAAGATGAGTCGCGTAAAGAAGGAAATAGTCCTCTATTCCTTAAATATGGAGCATCTCCTCAATATGTTGAGAGGATCAATTTCTCTAGTTCCGCATCTGAAAGTGGAAAATTGTAAATGAAGATGTTGGTCACATTCTTGTTTAAGAACTTAACTCTTTCACTCCAAAGATCTCAATATTGATGTTCTCTCAACTGTTTGCGCCACGTTGCTTAGAGAATTTGTTTTTCAATGAAATGCTGGGTTTCCTTGCTGTTATTTTAATTTCTTCTTTTAGCCGTACACCTTGGAAAGGTCTCTCGTAACATGTCAATATATTGTGCGGAGAAATCCCTTTTTGCTCACCTCTAGGTGTGACATAGTTGATAATGGGACAGACATAAAAATAAAAGGAAATTTTGGTACAAAAGGTGAATCAGAAATTGAGATGTCAGTACCGCGGGACAAGACAAGAAAATGAAAATAAAATAGAAAGGTTTTAGCATCGTGGGACAGGAAAAAAAAATGCCACACCCTTGAAGGATTTGAACTCCAGGCAGTTTTAATTTCGTGGCCGAGTGCTTATCAATTGAGCTAGAAAGGACTTGTCAATGAGCTTCACTCCCAGACACACTTGTTGGGAAACCTGTAGACCTGACAACTACTCACCAGTCTCTCTCAATAAAGGGGTAAGTTTCTAAAGAAACTGTGGTGCTGCGTCGGTGGGAGAGTATAACATGGTAATTTGGTTTTATCAACTGAGTGGAAAGTAAGTTGGCCAAAGCTGACGTTTCGAGCGTTAGCCCTTCGTCAGAACAGAAACGTCGGCTTAGAAACTCTTTACGGTGGCCTACTTACATTATCAACTAGGTTGATAAAACCAAATTAGCTTTCAGTCATTCTCAATTTTGGTCTGCAAGATGGCATTGATACATTGGCATATAAAAAAATAGGAAGAGGGAAAAGGGACGCGAGAACGCCATAACCGAGAAATGTCGCCATCCATATGCGAAGTGTCCACATCGTGAGACAAATGACTCTATTTCTCTTTTTAAGTGTCATTTACCATGTTGAATAATCACAACCTAGTCTACGTCATAGCCCGGCGTTGTTCTGGAGAAGTGTTTTAACCAGTTGTCTGGGAGCGTAGATTATTACAAGGTCCACGTATGCTTCATACATTGCATATGGCGCCCACAACATCAGTCTCCACTGATAAATAACAAGTGCGTGCAGGAAAGTAGGACAGAGAATACTGACACAGCACAGGGATTAAGTTTAAATAAAGACAACTAACGTCATCGTTTATGTCATAAAATTGTATACATCACTTTTTTAGAATGTGCATAATGGCAGATAATACTTTTAAGTGCTTACAATGAAAACAAACATGGATGAACTCGTTAATGTTTGTGGCATTTGTGGAAATGCAGCGTTAGCTTTCACGTCATCGCCGCCATATTGGGGCAAGCTCTTCTAAATTTATCTTGTATACAGTATTTATATAATATTTATATCGTTTTTAATTCGTTTACCAACATAAAAAATGCAAGGATATTTTAAGTTATGGTTGTAATTACATGCAACTTAATAATATGTAATATCTCAGTGATGTTCTTTAACGATGAGCTATGACACGATTTATCCATCTCTTGGCACTGATTCACGTGCATCTTCAATTCGTTAATCCCTGGCCATCCTTCATTGTTTATCATTGCCTCTTTTTCGTTTTTCAACCTAACTAGACAGGTATTTTTTTATTTTATCCGAGCTGTGAGTAGTTTGGCACAGCGAAAAAAATTCTAAAATCACATGGTGTTGCTCACTTCTACCAGGCACTCACGAAGCTTCGGTAAGATTTACGTTAGAAACTAAAACGCGAAGAGATGCAGAAACTAACAGGGAGCCAGTGGAAAGTACGGGGGTTCCTATAACGTTTTCCATGAGCGGCTGCCGATTATGTAATAGGCAGCTGCCCCAGAGAGGGGACTTAAGGTGAAACCCAAACACGAGAGCCTGATCGTAAGCTCAACAGACGGCGGTGAAAGGTCTTGTGGGCGGCGGTAAACCAGCGGTAATCGGCTTTTACTAAACACCCCTCCATGAAATAATACCAAGATCAGGAAAGCATCAGGAAAGCAACATCTGCTACGTTTTGGGATCCTTTGATCCTGTTTTGTGTCCTGAAATAAAGAAAAAAATATTGAGTTCATAACATTCCTCGAGTTGGTGAAAGAGATACAAATAACGTTCCACAAAAGAATTCAACAAAGTTGGATTTATTTTTTCCGCTTTTTCTCGGGTTCTCTAGTCAGTTTTCCTTCAGCATGAGGCAAACACTCCAAATTACACTTTCACCGAGGAAAAGTGGAAGAAAAACCATCTCACAGAAGTGTCACCTTTAAGTTCACATAATTATAAGCTTTGCTGGCCCACTGAAGCGCTACCTACAATTGCGAGCACTCCAAGTTACGAAGCTATGTTATCGCAAAGTAAAAAAATTGGAAACTTATTTTGGAGCTCATTCGCCAATTTGGCGATCTATACTCGGCGGTCATGCTCCGAGCTGTAATTTGTCTATTATCAAATGTTTATTGACTTGTATCAAATTGAGATGTGTATCTGCATAAAATAATATTTAAAAAAACTCAGCCGTTCTTAAAGTTTTAGTATTTCTCTCTTTGTTGTCCAAGAATCAAGCCTTAAGATGTGATCCTCAGGAAACGCTGGAGTTGCAAGTAGATTTCTTTGCCATCAATTCCAGATTTTAGCTCACCATATGGCGCCTTTGAAAGAAGTTGAACTTGGAGCCCTTAAGAATGACTAAGATTCAACTTACCACTGATTCTGGATAAAAACCCAATATTATGAGTCCAGCCATTAACAGTTCTCTTCATGCTCCCAGGCCTCACTCTGGTGCTAGATGTAACTATGGCAGCACGACTGTTGCCTTGCCTCGATCCCAAGGGATGATATAAGTCCATCGCCATGTTATATGACATGGCGGCTGGAGAGGCAGGATCATGTTTTGTAGACCCAGGCTTTCGTTTGAAAGCGTTGCGCGAATTAAAGCCGTTCATGGACGGAACTTTTCGAAGAGGGCGCCCGTATATGTGTATTCCATTGTGTTTCTGTTTACACGAAGCGGAACTTAAAAAGGACGGTTTTTTCGATTTCTGCTGTTTAGTTCCAGCGGAGATTTTCTCAAACTCGAGTCTATAATGTTTCCTCCACGCCAGTTGAATTGTAAGCGCGGCGACTTCCTTGTTGAGTTCTTCCTGTTCATTTTTTACCTCCGATAATACCACATCGCGTTCGAAACGTTCACGTCTCATCGAGATCCATTTTCTAAACCAACGTTGAATCAATACCGCTGCGTTCACTTTCGAGCGTATTAAACGAAGCCGTTCGCGCTCCCTCCGCGCAAGCTCTGCTTTTGAAATACCGCTGTGTAACTTTTTTGCTGGCGCCAAACGAGGCGGATCATTTTTCGTGACATTAACTCTACGCACAGTATTTTCACCCTCATTTGCGAACGAAAATTCTTCGTCTAATTCGAAGTCTTCTTCCAATAATAACGACGAAACCACTCTCACCATCTCGGCATCATTCTTAAAATGAAATCTGTCTTCGGATTTCCGCCCTGGTGATGCACTTTCCGAGGAAGACCAACTTTCATCCATTTTTGCTTCTTGTAGTACATTAGTGACATGTCTTTCTGTATAATCTCGTGGACAAGTATTGTCTGGTAACAGTTTATCTTTAGCGCTACCTTCATTTTGTGAATGTCTTCTTTCTTCAGTAAACGGCGGCAGTACTTCTTCCATATTTTCCTCAGGAAAGTCTTCAGTGAAAACTTGTAGGTGTTGCTCATTGTCAAAGGCGTCAGTTTTCGTGAAATCTCTGACAGCACAGAAAAAAAATTCGGATCAATGTTAGTAACAAAGCAACTACACATCTACCTCTCCCCTAACCCAACATTAACCCTTACCTTGTTATTAGTTGACTGTTGTTGAGTTAGGGGAAGGGTAGGTGCGCCATAAAAAAAATTCCGCTGCACGGTACAAAAGGAACAAAACTCCTAGCTTTAAGCATCTAACACTTAGATCCAGTGGGACGATTCGCAGATTTGATGCGACTTCGCAAAGTTTTCATCAGCAAAAGTACAGCAAAAGTAGGTGAGATTGCTGTTGATCACGACAACTCTCTCTCCCTCTTTCAAGGTCGACAAACCAGAAGAAAGTTAGAAATTATGTTAGCTGCATACGAAAAGAAACCAGGACGCCCTTTTTCATAATAGGTGATCCTTTTTCGAGGTTTTTGTCTTGTTCTAAGGCAAACCTGGACGTATGGGGAAACACAGTGGCTGATCGGTTAGTGAGTCGAGGGGCCTGGGCTCAACACCAAGCTCCGTTCAAAGTGTTGTGTTTTTGAGAAACAGACTTTACTCAGATGGTGCCTCTCTTTACCCGGGATTATAAATAAGTACCGGCGGCAAACTGTAAGGGAAGTCTGATGAAATGCTGGTGGTGGACTAACATTCCATCCGGGGAGGAGTAAGTAATACACTTGGTCGCTTCACGCTACAGAAACCAGGGATAAACCCTGGCTGAATGGGCCACTTGGCGAAAGTGAAGTCTTGACTTTCACTTTTTTTAACCCTTTAACTTCCAAGATCTCATTAGTAATTCTCCTTACTATCTGCCAAATAATTCTTATTACGTTAGTTTGGAGAACTTGGTATCGGCACAATTAGCAACCCCATAATTGATATTTTTCTTTATTCTCATCACTTGTCTGCTTGATATTGTATAGATATAGTAAGGAGAAATTCTGTCTTAATCACTCACTTTAGGGAGTTAAAGGGTTGAAGCGACTGGGAGCATTATTACTCACTCTGAATGGGACGATAGTCCATTAATGCTATAGCGTAAATCCTCGTCATTTAAGAGGTCTACACATGAACAGTTTCAGATTATCGTTTCTCTGATAACATCAGCTTCTTTGTTTGTTTTGATAAGCCTCTTCCATCTACATTTAAAATACCTTGGAGATGCACTACCAGGGGATACGCTGTAAGGAGACTGGTTTCCAAATATGTCCCCAGTCCTTGCAGCACTTGCTCGTTTCTGCCCTTTCAACTGCTCGTGTCTCAAAAATAAATTTTTCTTGTCTTGAAATGCCTTGCGGACAGTGTAACCACGCCAACACTTCTGAACTGTCGTAGCAGCAATGTCCTGGATTCCGTTAATAGTCAAAGCTCCTTGTTCGATCATATACTGTTCAAACGACAAAAAAGAGAAAAATTTTGCGTTCAGCATCAACTTTCTAAAGGATCAATCCCTTATAAATGACGATTCACATAGAGACTTTTGAGCAGCGGAACTTCCAAAATCACTTTTTCCATTTGTCCTGATCAGAACTCTGTGCCGATTAGAAAGTTAGTAAATATTCAGTTAAGCACAAACCAGGGTTTGTTGCAAGGCAAAGCTTTGCGGGATTCCGCGATTTGAAAAGAAATGCTGCATAAAACTTACGTCTAGGCGTCAAAAGGGGCGCAAGAAACTGTACCCAAGGATAAGTACTTTTTTAAAGTACTGTTCATTTTTTTAAAAATAAGCGCTGAAAATAATGACTGACCACAAGCTCTCACCAAGCCTCTCGCTGTTTCATTTGCTCTTCTCTTCTTGTTATCTCACTAATGTGACTCTACAAATACGTTTAAGCATCCTCTGAGGTAGCACCCTCTGAGGTAGCACCCTCTGAGGTAGCACCCTCTGAGGTAGCACCCTCTGAGGTAGCACCCTCTGAGGTAGCACCCTCTAAGGTAGCACCCTCTGAGGTAGCACCCTCTAAGGTACCCCATTGTTGAGCCACTTTTCTTGAAAAGGCCCATTGACATTACAGTGGGGAGCCTACAAGGCCCTCTTTGGCCATTTTCTAGAACAAACCCTACAAACCTGCGCTACATCCTGGTGGTCACCAATAATGGCATAGTCGAGAGGAGTTAACCTGGAAGAAAATACGAAAAGGTTAGTAGCTGGTCATTGGACCATCATCTTCCCCAGCAACACTCGGAGTAATAAACAGTAAGGCCTTTGGAAGGGATACTGCATGGGTAACCCTCTTTTACACCTCATAGAAACAGACCGTGGTTTAACATTGAGGGTTGTTGAAAGACTTGAAGAAAGCTGACTATGTTGACCCCACTTTTCCGTGTGAGAAACATAAGGATGAGGGGGGTCATTGCGGTTTTTCCTTAAATGTGCACGGTCTTCGAACGCAAGACTATTTCTATTTTGACGCTTTGGGCCTGGAAAGAAACTGAATTTACCACAATGTTACAATCCTTATTTAGTGAACCCCCAGCCTACCCCCCCCCACAATATTTTCCAGTTGGCCCGTAATTATAACCTACCTGTCAGCGTTCGACTCTTTGAAGTTAGGGAAGGCCTTGTATCTTAGCAACAGCTTGACAGCATCCAAATGCCCGGATGCACAGCTCCAGTGCAGCGCAGTAATTCCGTCGTTGTCTTGGTGATCAACTTCGGCACCATGCTCCATTAACACCGTCATAAACTTCACGAATCCTCCATGAGCGGCGCACTGCAGCGGAGTACGACTACAAAACACGCAAACAAACCGTTACGCAAGAGCTCTTTAGAGATTTCCAGGTCTCGAACCCAGACCTCTAGTCTATCGCAACTCCCACGTCATAACGGATGAGAAGGTTTAGGAGACTGGTGTGTAGGAGACATTCCAACTTACCCCAAGTGATCTTTAGTGTCCGAGGGCACACTCTGCTCTATCAGAGCATTACATATGGGTGCATGACCCCCGAGAGCCGCCCAGTGAAGCAGTGTACGACCATCTTGATCTTCCAAGTTGACAGTGGCACCATCTACAATGAAGGGGTTATAGACATTATTGAATGGAGTCATGATACAACAGGTAGTATCTACTTGAAAATCGGGTGAGTTATTAAAATGATCTTTAAGTTAAGGTAAGATCGGACAGGAAAATCTGTAAGCGCCTTTTTGGAATGAGAATTGGAAATAAGCTAACTCAAATTATCTACGATTTTTGTCCGCTTGCAATTAAATACGTTGACAACGCAAAAGCAACAGGTTTGATGAGGAGATTCACATTTCTGAAATTTTCATATTTCTGAGAAAGCTCGGGCGTTCCAGAATTGGGAGAATGGAGCAATTAAAGGGCCAGAATAAATGAAAACTTAAAGAGTTTCGGGAATCAAGGACAAATACTGCAAGACAATCTTTGATTTCCTTCAAGGAAATAGCACAGTAATAAAAGGGCAAGAAATTATACGGTCAAAGCTGAACTTACGCAGAATCAAATTGTTGACAACTTCAGTGTGTCCCATCTCGCATGCGCGAAATATGGGTGTGTGCTGAAGCATGTCCAGTGCATCAACGCAGGCTCCAAATTGGATCAGCAGCTTGACACAGTTCACGTGACCAGAGTAGGCAGCCGAATGCAGCGCTGTTCCTCCTAATTTGTCTTTGGCGTGTACGTCTAAATTGTGCTCTAACATTGTCTTTAACGCACTCTCACTTCCTGGTGAAATTGAATAATAAAGCACTATCGGCGTGAAGAGGACAGCCTTGACTAGAATAATAGTTATTTAAGGTGACTGGTTATGGAAGCCGGAAATTTCAAATCGAGTGTCAACAGCAATGTAGCATTGCATTATTTTGTCTCACTACGCTTTGATTGGTCACGAAATCCAGCATCCTACTCTAAAATCCAAACAGTTGCAACAATAAAACCTATCACGACTTGGTTACCCGCGTTTTCCCGCGCTTAGCACCAGTTACACGCGTTTGATCTGAACTCTCATTGGTTCCTTGTGATGCTAACCTCCGTCCTGATTGGCTTCCGGGATAAGTTTGGTTTTAGTTTTATGACACTTCCTCGAATTACGCTTTAAATGAGAAACTAACCTTTCCCTGCAGCCCACATGAGAGCAGTTCTTCCTTCATTATCAGGAATATCGTTGACTTTGTCGAAAGACAGGAACACTTTGACCGTTTCACAATAATTGCTCTGAGCCACGTAATGAAGAGCAGTAGCCCCATTGCTGTCTGCAGCGGTGAAATCCGCATTTCTCTCCAGTAGCATTTTCACTAACTGAGAGTTGCCTGGAAAATGAATTTCCACGTAGAGAATTAAATTTCAGAACTTGGAATTTATTAATACCATTATACTAAAAGCAGCCAATATGCTATTTTCAGTCCACACGTATTCCACCTCATAGAAGGGTTTATATGAACTATGAATAAACCGTGATAACTGTAATTGAATTAGCTTTATATTCGATAACTCTCGAGTTTTACTTTACCCTACTTTTGTTTCCGTTTACAGATCTCTTAGACGTTTCTACGTGACAGCGGTTTTCTCTTATGTCTTCTTTTAGAATTTAAGGCAGGAAATTGGCGCGCGGCCGGCTAAAAATTGGTCCCCTTGCGCATGCCCTACGTTTGACTGCTGTGTCGCTCTATCCTTCAACCAACCTAACACCGCTGCCCAGTGTAGAGGTGACCGGCTCATGTTGTCTTGGGCTGACACTTTACACTTGTCAAGAGCCAGCAACACCTTAACAGCCGCCTCATTCTGCTCTGCCACAGCAAGATGCAGAGCAGTCCTTCCTTCATTGTCCTGATGGTTGATGATTTCCGAGTTTGCTTCCTAGGAAACGAAGAATTAATAACATTTCAGTCATGAAGTAGCTAATATGATAAATAGGGTAGCTCTAATGTCAAAGCCTGTTGATGAAGTTTAGTAAATGACCATTCAAATGAAAGCTCCTAAGCAGCTCGTTCGTCTGTTGAGTATCGAAATTGATCCTAGTTGCTTGGTTTTTCTTTCCTTCGCTGTATGATTGGTCTAAAAACCTTCACCACCATCCTAACTAATCAGATACAAAAGGAAAACCAATCCCATTATTGGATACTCGCATTTTCCCACGCTTTGAGCAGGTTACCTGTTTTTATTTTGAGTTCTCATTGGCTAACGATGATGTTCTCTTTGCTCTGATTGGTGATTGAGATTATTTTGGTTTTTGTTTTTCGACATTCAGTTGAGAACTTTGTCTGTTCTACTGCCCAAGGAGGTCCTGACTTTGAATTCTTTAGATAATATTCCAGAGTGTGGTCATTCAAATGACAGCTACCAAGAAATGCAAGGACAAGATTGTGGATGAAAGTTTCTGTGCCTTACCATCCAGGTGGGGGAGGGGGGCATTTTTTCGTCATCTATAGTACCTTAATAGCGACCCTTTCACTTCAACCCTTTAACCCCTACGAGTGACTGGCATCTTATTTCCCCTGACCATATCACCCCTGAATCAAACATTAAGGTCAAAAGAATAAAGGAAAAGATCACCAACTAAAGAAGCTCTTGATTGTTAAACAAATTCTCCTTGTCAGCACCTTCGTAAATGTATAGAGAACAGTAAAGAGAATATGCATACTAATATTAGGATGTAAAGGGTTAACCTTCTCCTGTGATAGGTAGTTCTCCAGATGAAGCCTTCCCACCAGTCCACCTTTATATTTCTTTACTTTACATGTCTAATCATATATGAATTCAAGTTATGCAAGATTTCTTACCAAAATGAGTTTCACAACAGCAGGATCTGGATTTGTTATTGCCCAGTGAAGAGGTGTCCTCTCTGAAAAGTAAATTAATAAACATCTTTAATCTTTGTAAATTAGTCTCTCTTTAAAGGTTCCAGTCCATTTAATGATGGTAACAGGACTGAGTGGAGTCCAATTTGGTCTGTAATCATATGAGTGATTGACAAAATTGGACCACCACGAGGCGTGAGTCCAATTTGTCAACCACTCATATAATTACAGACAGATTTGGATGACACGACATTCTATTGCAAATTAATCATAACCATTATAATTTCTGCGAAAAAATACATCTAGAGCAAATATCTCCTATGGAAACAATGTATAAAGCTAAAAATTCCTTCATTTTGGATGCCCAGTTTTTCTTGCGATAAGTGGTTATTACTAGGGTTATTGGGATCAATTCTGTGATTGGTGGATTTAGCTGAGCGGACTTCAACTATCCCATTACGCATTACAGGTGTCCGGTTCCAGCCAACTGTCTGATTACACTGTCGGATTACAACTGTACAAAATGACTAGTGAAAAATAAAGCAGTTAGTGCACTAATCACATTTGAGGAAATTGTAATGGTTATTATTAAATAGTTACTCATTCCTTCCATTCTAATGAGAAACTTCTAGACCCTGCAAAAAAGTTGTCATTTTTTTGCGTTTTTTAGGCAAGCAGAGGCATGAGCAAAGAGTAATTAAATTCATGTGCTCTTCATGCATTCACCTCACACTTGCCTCCACTCGCCGGAAAAATGCAAAAAATGACCCCTCTTCTGTAGTAAATTGTTAATGAACCCAATTCTCTGTAAATTAAATGTCCTGATCCAGTGTTTGTTGGAACATACTTTCCAAGTCAGTAACCGTCACAGAGCATCCTGCCTTTAGCAATAGCTTGACATGCTCAGCATTCCCATAAGACACACTCCAGTGAAGAGATGTCATCTCATCATTATCTGGTTCATCTGCTTCGCCCTTAGGGACTCGCTTCAGTAAGATGCTTAAGCACTGAAAGTATTTAGAAAGAAAGAGTTAAAATAAAAAATCAGATAAACACAGTCACAGTTCTTTTTGCTGCGAACAAATTTCAGATTGATTAAATGTATACAATGGGGAAGGGCAAGCTGACCATTAATGTACATAAGCACCCTCAAAAATAATACTAACATTTATTTCGGGAGATAAACATACATCAAATTTTACTTGAAAGATTATTTTTCAGTATAAGTGGTTCCACTCTAAGTGACCATTCAACTTTAACTCCCATGAGTGACCAGGACAGAATTTCTCCTTACAATATCAATATAATATCAACCAGATAAGTGATGAGAATAAAGGAAATTAACACTTCGGGGATAATTAGTTGATCCAATAGTAAATTCTCTGAACTAACATTATAAGAATTGTATGGATGACAGTAAGGAGAATAACAAATTTGATCTGGAAGTTAGATGGTTTACAAAAGTTTGACTGTAGAACAAAAAAAAAATCAACAGCAACAAAGATGGCAACGGCAAGGAGTAGTTGACAAACCTTGGGTGATTGATGGCTTGTGGCAAAATGGAGTGGAGTTCTAAAAAGTGGCAGACAGATTTTTATTTTGTGGTTTTAAATGAATTTTTAAGACGAAGGTGAGTAAACATGAAAATTGGTCATTTATATAAAACACAAATTCAACTCTATTCATTTTAACACCCACATGTCACTTACAGGACAAGGTACCATGGCCTAACACAAAGTAAACTTCCCATCAAGATGACTGGGAATAAAAGAAATTGCAAGAATCAGACTAACATTACTTAAGAGTCATGGAAAACATTGATATTCAAGAGTATAAAAATTTCCCTGCTCTCCTCAAAAATCTACAAGTCTTTTGGTTTTCCATAAACTTCAATAAATTTCCTTAATAGAAGTAAATTTTAATATTTTTTCTGTAAATTTGACCTCCATAAACAAACGTATGTTTTCCATTCAAGATTAAAGTGACTCTACTAAACCTTTTTCAATTTTGGATAACATGAAGGAACATCCACTTAACAACTTTTAGCCATAAACTAAAATCTTCAAGGATCTCCAGGTTTCAGAAATTTTTAGAGATTGGCAAAGCTGGAATTATTCATTATACATAGTATTTTCTGGAGTGGCCTATATTAGGCTACCTAACCATGTTCACAAAAAATATAAAAAGGAAATCAAAAAGAGATGTGATCAGAATTATTCAAAGATTGTTCTGAAGATGCTATATACCTTCCTTTGTTGTCTTTTACTTTCCAATTTGCTCCTTTAGACAGCAGTAGTTTTACACACTTCACATTTCCCTGGGTGTAAAAATAACAGGCTAATTATCAACTCATCATTCTCTGAAAAATTACTGACAGAGGAGAACATAAACCATATATGCTGTTGCTTAAAGAGAGATGTAGGGTACTTTTGCCTTATCATGAGAGTGGGAAGTAGAAAAAAAATCCTGAATTCCTCTGCAGAATCAAATCTCAGCCCTTAATCACCTTAACCCTTCAACTCTCATAAGTGATCAGGACAGAATTTCTCCTTACAATATCAACACAATATCAACACAATATCAACCACATAAGTGATGAGAATAAAGAAAAATATCAATTTTGGGATAGTTTGTTGATCCAATACTAAATTCTCTGAACTGTAACATTATAGGAATTGTATAGTGATAGTAAGGAGAATTACAAATCTAGGAGTTAAAGGGTTAAAAAGATAGAAGAAACTTACCTATCTCATAACAGAAGAGAGGAGGCTTGTGTGCGACAAAGAAAGAGTAGAGGAACATACTTAGTTGTCCCTACTTGAAGCACTATTGTATCCCATTCTCAACCTAACAGTTAACCAACCCTAAATTGCCTACTCTGCCTTTTCAGCATCTCCCAGTTACTAAAGGAGGCTTCAATTTTTAAACCAATCTGTGAGATTTTTTCTGGTAACCTATTCACCCCATGCAAATGATTACATTCAGATTTTTACCACATTGTACCTGGTATGCAGCCCAGTGAAGTGGTGTTCTACCATCCATATCACAAGAACCAACCTATGGCGTAGACAAAACCCACACAAAAAAATTGTATTCTAAATATCATATCAACTAATAATAAGCCTTAATGAGCACCAATCTCCTTTAAAAAAAATATTATAATCCTCAATGTTCTCCTTTTCAGGCAGTAACCGGTAACATTTACTGTCTGTAGTACCTCTTTTTACCAAAATAAAATTGCTTGGAATTCTTGAAAATTCAACAGGTAAAAGGATTGCTTTACTGGTTTGAAAATTTAATTTACCTGTCATGCTTAAAATAAGGGAGAACACTGAATCCTCCCTTTTCCCTTCTCCTGGACCACAAATAGTAAAACCGCAAAATGTAAAGGTAAAGGGAGTGTATCTTACCTATAATCAGAGCCCTTCAGTCAAACTGTTGGATTTTGAAATGTTCACTTCCTGCCATTTTTTTCTGTTGCTGTAAGTTGTAATGTGTGATTCTTGTGGTCCCAAAAATATCTCTACCCACTTGAAAATGTTATTTGAAAAGAAAATTCCAACCACACACCTTCCCTACCCCGGGGAAGAGCTCAAAATCAAAAACATCCATGGAGGGGTATAAGATGATTTCTAAAAAAATATGCTTTGTAAGAATGAAACTGAATCTAGGCCTACTAATCTTACGTTGCCTCCAGCTTTCAACAACAGTTCTGCACAGTCAAGTCTGTCTCCCAAAACACTGTAGACCTGTGGAGATAAAGTCACAAAGTTTAAACTTCCAACTCCCAAGATCTGATTGTTAATTCTCCCCTCTAGCTGCTAAACAATCAGAGCATGTATACTATTTGAATTATTTTATAAAGTTTCTTGTTATAATTAGAATACTACCGATTAATTTATTAAGATCATGGGAATGATTCAGTACCAAAGGAAATGCATAGGAAAGATAATTTACAGAGAATATGGATACTGATGTTAGAGTGTACAGGCTTAATCTAATTATTCAAAGATTCTCACCAGCGGAGTGCGGCCAAACTGGTCTCCATTATTGATAAGACTTCTTTCCTCTAACAAAAAAGAAGACTTATTTCAATTTATTGAATGAACCTTTGATTAAAATTATTATTAACAAATCAATTGTTGCCATCATCCTCCACTTCACTTCAACCCTGTTAACCTTCTTGATATAGCTTTTCATTGCACTGCCATTTACCAACTGGTTGTACTCAGGTAGTAACCCATTGGAAGCCCTTCAATTTAAGAACACTGGGAGGTTTTATCAGGACACACATAGACAGAGAATTATTGTCAATCACCTTCTTGCAGTAGCCTTTGAAGAAGAGACTTGTTTCCATTCACCGCAGCAGCATGCAAAGGGGTTGGCAAAACACCTTCAAAGCAATTATTTGTGAAAAAACTCAAAAGTCTGTATTTTATCTTTACTGTCACCTATTTTCCTCAAGGTTCTTGTTATTAGACAGCCATAGCAACAGATCACGACCCAGTTTGGGAGCCATTTGTTTCACTCTTCATTTCATTTTGGTTTGTCACAGCTACCTTAACTTCAGGTTGGGCAGATGCCTCCATCTCCATCAAATCCTATCAAGGACTTGATAACTACCAGACTGAATATACAAATTCATATAATTCCCCACCCCTTCCCCCACCAGAAAAAAAAACCTAATGTCAAATATGTCTTTTCTGTTTCCTTGACCTTGAGACAAAGTTTGGATCAAAGTATCTGAGCACCTACACACCTACTCCTCCCCTATCCCAACAACAGTCAACTGATAACAAGTTAAGGTTAAAGTTGGGTTAGGGGAGGGGTAGGTAGGTAGGTGCAAAGTTGCTTACATTCTGACATTGATTGGAAGTTGCAAACAATGAAATTAAGAGTACTGCTGATAACACAATTGCAAAACAAAACAACTATATTTGTCAAATACTTATTTCTCCTTGGGCAATCGCTGAAACAAAGGCAAGTATAAAGTGCATTCATTTACCATCTTGTGATGAACCAGACTGAACATGACTTTCAGAGTTTAGTGCCAGATTTTCATCATCCTGAAAAAAAAGATTTTAAAACATTTAACTGGTTGTGGGCTGTACATTCCCGTTGAAACAGAAACTCTTTTTTTGCTTCTTGCTTTGGCTATCAAAATAAATACCATAAATATCATCTTGATAAAAAAATGATTGGGTACTTTGCAAAAAAATTTTATCAACTGATGACAACAGGAGAAAAGGAAATAGAAAAATACAATGAATCCAATCAAATGAAAAAAATTTGAAATCTTGACCAATAATCATGGAAGGAAATTACATTTTTCAAGTCTAAATATTTGCAAAACACACTGTCAAGCAATATTTAAAATGATATTGCCTGCCAAAGGCCTGACAAACCGTTAAAAACACGACTTGCTTCTGACACACAAACTAAATGTCCATTTGCAAAAACAGAACATTAGATTGAAGAAAAAATAATGTCTTAATGAAGAATGTTTCCTATTAATTAGAGATTAAGAAGAGAATTGAAAAGTCTCAAGTACAACTACATCCTTGTTACCCAAATGGCAATATCAAATTTGGCACAGCGAGGAAGACTTTTCTATTATCATAAACATAATTTTTGTCCACTAAATATCGTCACGTCGACCGAATTATTGATTCATAGGCACCTTTTTGAAATACAGAGTATTCCAGGAGAACACATACGGAAGAGAGAATAGATAATTTGTAATTACATCTATATAATTATATAGTAGGAGACCGAATTGCTATTATGGTGAAAAGGTTCGTCAAAACTTGTTTCCTATCCATCCAAGCACTAATTTCTTTGTATTATAAAATAAAAACTGTCAAATCAATACATAGGTTGAAACACCTGTGTTTTATGTAAGACTTTAAGGGTGATTCCACATCAAAGAGAACATGGAATCAAGGTTACTTGCACACCCTGTCAGACTACCATCTGGACTCGATCGAATCTCACCTAAAAAAAGCGATTTTGAGTATTTTCACAAAAATAAAATGGTAAGGTACTATTTCATTCCATACTTACGCTTTCATTTGAAGTCATTGGTGCAGTCTCAGGAAAACGAACAGCATAGTTCTCTTCTTTGGGTACGAGTTATTCCGTGATCGATCATCAAAACACATGTTCAATACAGAATTCAAATTGTTGGGGTTCACCGCTAATTTACAGCAATCGCTTTGATTAGATTGCACGCCATGGCAACATGAACGTCAAATTAAACATTACCGTACTATAAATCTCTAAAAAATTAATGAGTTCGGATTGATCAAGGAAACGCTGTCCTTCTAGAAAAAATCTTCGAAAGAAGTGTCAAAAAATGTTTACAGATCAAAACTTAGATTATTTTCTACCCATGGAGTCTGGGTATGAATTTTTCGACGCATGCGAAAATGAATACTTCCGCTTCCTGTAAACACGACGCGGAGAAAACGAACGTCAAATTTTCAACATGGGGGGAGGCGATTTGGTAAGTTTCAAGTTAAAATACCAAGCGATCGAGCTTCTATGAGGTATTTTTGAGAATATTTTAATGGAAATTATTTTTTATTTGACTCTTTTCCTGTTTTAAACAGAATTTGAAGAAGAGCTGGCATCCACAAACGTTACGAAATGTGGAAAAAGTGTGGAAAGCAGAGCAAAAGGCTGAAGCGGAGGCGAAAAAGATCGACCAGCTACGAAAGGAACTGGAGGAAGAGAGGGCTAGAGAAGGGATGCAGAGACATGCAGTGGAACAAGGAATAGCTAAGTGAGTGAAGGGATAGAAGATACAGATGTAACTGATTTCAGAGAAAAGGGCTAACTGCATGAAAACTCTTACTGCTACCAGCTTGTTCTGATAATTCGATAAGTTTGCTGCGTTCTTCAATCCATGAAGATCTGATTTTAATTCTCTTCTCTTGCTGCCACAAATTTCCTTGTAAATTAGTTACGATAAAAAGGTGTTAGATCAAGATAACTTTTACGTGATAAGTTTTGAGCACTCTCATTACTTGTTTGGCCACGGTTGATAATGTATAGTTGTTATATTATTATAAGTTGCATTTTATTTACTTCTGTGAGTTCAAGGGTTAACTCCCAAAGCGATCAAATGTAACCTACCCTCACAATTTCAATAGGTTATTCTCCAAGCAAGTGAGGAGAATAGACAGACTTGACAGTTTTGCTAGACTATCTTAAAATAACATGAAATTATCATAACCTATTTACAAGGAAGTGTATAGCAGCTACAAGGAAGATTTACCAATTATATCTTGGTGTTAATCTACTGTTGTGTGTCCACAAATGGTGCAATCTGATTGGCTGCACTACCTGCTCTCACTTCCTCGGTACTAAGGAAAGTGAGTAACCTAACAGAATTTTAAAATAAAAGTAAAATGAAAACATGTTAACTTGTTAAATTCGGAAAAAGAGGAGATATATATTAAAACAATGAAATGTTTTTCTCTTGATTTTTATAGGTGATAGTTTCTTGGTGTGTCAATCCTATCAACCATCATGCTTTATGAATCTCCAGATTGGGATCTAATTTGTTAATTATGCCTTGTGGTAACTTTTTTTTTATCTTGTAATTGCATCGCAGGAAAAAAGGAGAACGGCTTGATTGGATGTATGCTGCAGCTGCAGGCCAAGTGGATCGTGAACTGTATCTACTGGGAAAAGCTGTTGATAAGGCAGTAGACCCCATGGCACAGGATGATGAAGAGGTGTGTGAAAAACTTTAAGCTATGGTTTACAAAGCTCAGAGAATTGTACAAATTTTGATCAATTAGAAAGCATTTATCATATTTCTTTGGTCCTGCAGCAAAGCTGGAACAGTTTTGACTTTAAAAACTGGGAGAAATCCAAAATTCTGAAAGCCAAAATTATGTTCACTTGATGAATGCCTTTTTTTCACCTTGTGAAATTCACTTGTAGCTGGCTCTTAGCAACACCCCTATGTTTTGAATTATTCCAAGGCTGTTAGTAGGAAATGTAATAGATGTATGATCTGAACTGGGTTGACAACTTATACAAGCATTGTGTTTGTGTAGCAAGCATAGTGTGTTGCAAAGCAACATGGCCTTCTTGGAGGGCCAGGCTTTGTTCCCAAGAAAAATTTGAAATTTTATACTCTTTCAGTTGTGTTTCCAGTATTCTGAGACATATTTGAGTAACTTTTTTTGGTCAGACATTGATGTTAGAATCAGTTCAAAAATACTCATTTTTTGTCCTAGATCACAATTCACAAAATAGCAAGCACAAATGATCTGACTGCAAGCAGCTTTCTTCTGCTTACCAGCTTCTAAAGACAAACTTGTATTTCTGTTGCAGGAATCATCTGCCCCAGGTGCCTCTTTCATGAATGACACCACTGCCAACACAGCAAATGACTTGGCAGCTAAGGTGCGAGACGATCCACTGTTTCTGATCAAGAAGAAAGAAGAGGAGAAAAGGAAAGAGCTGATCAATAATCCTGTGAAGATGAAGCAGTTAAAACAAATGCTTCAAGCTAATTTGGAAAAGTCAAAGAAGAAGAAGAAGAAGAAAGATAAGAAAAAGAAAAGTAAACAAGAAAGAGAGGAAAAGAGAAAGAAAAGGCATGCTGACACAAGCAGTGAGTCACAAGAAGATGAAAGGGAAGTGACACCAGAAAATGGGAAAAAAAGAAGTGGTCGAGACAGAAAAAGGAGTGGTGATACAGATGAGAATTTGAGAGAAATGTTGAATGGAAAGAAGAAAAGGAGAAAGGAGAGACACAGAGATAACAGTGATGACTCAGAAGAAGATGTGGGAGAAAGAAAAAAAGAAAATGAGAAAAAGAGATCAGTGGAAAATGGAAAGGATGTGAGGAATGGTTTTCACCGGGATCAGCAATATTCACAAAGGTAAGTTGCTGATTTATGAAAAGCAGTTACATCTATTATCTGTTCTCCCATGGACCCTGTCACCTGTCTGTTTTATTAAGTGTAGGTATTTTTTACCAGAAATTACCTCTTGGTCTCTCCCGGGGGTGAAAGGGCCAACCAGTCAGAATGCTATGGTAATTTTTCTTAGAAGGAGAATTAATAACCCAAATTCATCTGGCTTCAGACTTTGCTAAACCCTTTTCACCTGTTCTCTTGACATTTTCTTTATTACTGACAAAGAGAATTTGTTTTATGATCAGGAGCTTCTTATCTGGAGATCATTTCCTTTCTTCTTATGACCTTAATCTGTGATTTGGGGCTGATATTGTAGGGAGAAATTAGATGCTGGTCACCCTAAGGAGTTGAAGCGTTAAGGAAATTTATTCAACAGTTAATAATAATAATAATAATAATAATAATAATAATGATATTGATAGAAAATTTACATATCGCTTAAGACTGTGTACACATTCAAAAGCACTTTACATTACATTAAGGATCATAGGCTAGTATTAATCACTTTCCTAAAACGAAATGTTCTAAGTTGTTTCTTTAAAGTAGCCAGGCTGCTACAGGATCTGATTGGTAAGGGCAACAAGTTCCATAAGGCAGGAGTAGCATGAGCAAAGGCGCAATCCCATGAATGAGATCTTTTTGATCCAGATAAAGGCTAAAAAACTTTGCCATCTGAAATTTTTTTTTAAAGGAGAAGAATTGATGATGAGAATGAAAGAAGGACACACAGAAATGGAGACCATTTCTCCTACAGACACAGGTAATGAAGGAATTAAATTTGTTTTTAAACATGGCACCAAGCTCAATTTTTTTCAAACCCGCCATTTGGCGACCTCAAAACATTAAGTGGTGGCCAGGAAAAGAAAAAGAAACTTTGTGGAATATTAAATGATGTACTTAATCTTTGACCACACTGCTGTCTTTGGAGTTGGTAGGAGAGTTGTTTCTTTTTTGTTGAAAGTTTATCTCAGTTTGAGTCTAGACCATAAATCTTAGTTTTGACATTTCACAAATTTACAACTTGCTTAATGACTGGTGAACAGTGGCCTCGAATTTGGTTTTCTATTCTCCATCGTGACCAAAACTTCCGCGGCAGAGACAAATTTCTTGTGTACTAAATGCGTTACACGGCTTATATCTTTAGATCTCCCATAAAGCGAAGGCCTCGAATGTGGTCTCGATCAAAATCACCACAAGTTAGGAGAGGAGATGAGAGGAGAGATGAAAGAAGAGATGACAGAAGGCGAAGACGAAGCCCGTCATCTTCGCCATCAAGGAGCAGAAGGAATAGAGTCCCATCACAGGTGGAGAGAAGAAGGCGCTCTCCCTCACCATCTCCTCCTAAGAATTCACGAAGATCTCCTTCACCGCGCGGAGCAAAACCATGGCAGAAAAGGGGATCAGCAGCTACAAAGTAAGCCATGATCAATTCATTAACTTTCATCAACAGATCAATCAGGATTAGTCTATACAAAAAACGCACTTTTTGTTTCTATCCCGACATCCAGCTTCATAGCTCAGTTCGTTCATTTATAAGGGCCAATCAGCGCGGCCCATTGATGTTTGCCGTTGTTTATCTTCGGCGTCTTCTGCATCAAGCACCAAGGAGTGTGTGTAGCCTATCGCAATTAACTCTTCCCCCCCCCCTCCCACCCATTATTTTGTCCAGTTTCGCTGACATTTGGCTGGTACTCGGTTATACTCCTAGGTGACTCTATGAAAATAAAGTTTCTTGCTCAAGAACACAGCACAATGACCTAGCGAGGGCTATTTTCGTATTCTCTTTTCATAGTGAATGAACAGATCGGAGACCTCGAATTTTAATTTCCTATATTTCTTTTTCTCATTCGAACAGACACATGGACGATGATGAGAAACAGAAGCGGCTTGCCGCCATGATGGATAATGCAAAGTACGTTTTATTTAACCCTTTATTTAACTCCCAGAAGTGACCAAGGCAGAGTTTCTCCTCACAATATCAATACAGTATCAAGCATATAAGTGATGAGAATGAAAAAAAGATATCAATCAAGAGATTATTAGTTGATCCAATACCAAATTCTCCGAACTAAAATCATAAGAATTGTACGGTCGACAGTGAGGAGAATTACTAATGAGATCTTAGGAATGAAAGGGCGAACTTGTTTACCCTAGAAATTTGTTTGCTTTCTCAGCCTTCCTACCCTTAAGTTACAACTTGTAGAATGCTTTTCTATCGAGTGTTGGAAAACCAAAACCAGAGCGTCAATGAAAATTCCGAGGAAAAACAAACGAATGACCTAAAGCGCGGGAAAACGCGGGTTATCAAGTGTTGATTGGTTGTAGATGTGTATCTGATTGGCAGTTAGGTTGTCGCGAGGTTTCCAAATCAATCACAGAGAGTAGAGCGGTTTTTAATTGACTGTTCTAATACCAAACGAGGGTAATCACACGTACCAATCAGAAAGGTAAACATCGTCGTTAGCCAATGAGGAAACGAAGAATATAGAGGCAAACTGCTTAAAGTGCGGGAAAACGCGGGTGACCTAGTGATGATTTGTTTTAATTTTGCGTCCGAGTGGTTGAGATGATGGCGTGATTTTTCTTGACCAATTTTAAAGCGAAGTAAAGTATCTCGGATTACTTTCGACACCTGATTGAAAATTAGTCGAATGAAATGGAACCAACGTCATCCTACGTATGCAAAGTGTAGCAACTGGTTGCTCTAGTTATATAGCAACCAGTTGTCGACAAGCAAAACAAGCCAAAAAAACATCTTATCAGGAGAAAATCTTAGAGTTAAAGAAGGCATATCTTAAGGTTAGCGGGAGGTGAATTATGTGATTCCACAAATCGAGACAAAATCCCATTTCTTAGTAAGGTTTTGTTGCAACTAGTGTCTTGAACGCTTAACGTATTTTTTGTAAAACCAATTTTCTTTCATTGCACTCACCTAGGTGGCGGGACGAGCAGCGCGGGAAAAATATTAAGCGATACAAAGTAAGTAACGAACGTTTCCAAAAAACTGGCCAAGGTTACCGTGAACCACCGACGTTACAATTGTGCTGTGTCACAACCATAGTTATTGCAACAGCCAATCACGATAGAGGAGAGTTACAGAACGAGCCGATGAGAGTTCGCAGACAGAAGAACATGCCATCACGTCATTGCTTTTCACCAGGATCTCATTTTATCTTGAAATGTATTTCTTTCCAGGAAGAAGACGCGAAATTGGAGGAAAAGGAAGCTTTGGATAAAGATAAAAGTGCCAGCTTTTTACAGTAAGTTGAACTGTGGCTAATGGTTTTTTTTCTTTTAGAGGACATATTTTGTCGACGTGAAAGTGATTTTTTAATGGATTGTCGAATATACTGGATTTTACCTCTCAGGCCGAGTTCAGACATCGAACCTTTCATGGTTTAAATAGCCTTTTGACTCCAAAGAGTGACAGGCATCTAATTTCTCCTTACAATATCACCCCTGAATGAATAAAGGAAATGATCACTAACCAAAGAAGCTCTTGATTTTTAAACAATTTCTCTTTTTCAGCACTTTAAGAAATGTATAGAGAACAGTTAAATTTTGGTGTCTCAACTCGACCTCATGAAAAACTGCCATGGTTCGAAACTTGATACCACTCTTCCATGCACATCAACTTTGAGTTCTCATTGAAATAGATGTCGGAACCCACACAAAGATGGCGCTATTGTAGAATGACTTCTTGTTGATGAGGGATACAGCTTATTGTTTGATTTATTTTACCCTCAACAGAGAGATGAAAATTCAGTCGTTCTCTTCTAAGGAAACCTCCAGTGTTGGTGACCGCATTCGTCGAAATATCAATTCTGTTCAGAGGACATCAGCGGCACTGGAGTCTTTCCTTAGCAAATAACTCCGCGAATCTGACTCCGAAACTGAGCCCTACATTTCATGTACATTAACGACAAAGGTACTTTGGCCCTCGAAGATGTCAAGTATTGCCTCGCTGAATGAAATCACCGGAAATGTGGCAAAGAGCGAATTGAATTTTAGGCATGTTCACCGTCGCCGTGAAGACGTGTGCACATCCGCTGGATAGACTATGCAGTGAATTAAAGCTCTAAATGTCCGAGCCATTAGAAAAAGAATTGAGGATGAGCACAGGGATTAACTTGTGGAGGTGAATTACCCTCAAGTGTTTATCATCAACGTGCTGTCAAACTATAAACAGGGAACTCATGTACTCAAGTTTGGTTTTAAGGAGACCCAAAGAAATCCCAGGGGAGTTACCGGGCACATTCGTTTATCATCGTCAACTCTCGTCAGTCGTCGTAGACTGTCGTTACCTCTTATGAATTCTTTATATTATTCCGACTTTTGTCACCTGCCCTCTGCCCTCTGCCCTCGGCCCTCGTCAACGTTCGTCAAGTCTCGTTGGGAAAAAGACGAACAAAGCCAAAAAAGGAAACTTGAAGATGCATGCACATAGAGAAGTTAACCATACACTTAAGACTGACAATCTTCATTACTGTAGATGGATCAAAGAGTTTTTAACAGACAGATGTAAACAGTGACAAACTTTCATTGTAAATATCTTAAATTTATTTTATAAATGTAAGTAATATAACGTTGTGTCCATTATAATATGATGACCAACTGTCTTAAAATTTGTTCTTTTTAGATGTTGCGTAAAATATAACGCTAACGTAATTTATTCTCGCGTTATTATTTTCGTCTGAGTGAGTCTAAAATGAAATTTCACATCTTTTTTATTTCACGAATTATTCTGACTGAGAAAACTTTGCGCTCTTTGCGACGGTAAGTAAAATGTTGTTTACTGTCCTTAAAATAAAATTTTTGGCGAGTTTTAATTTTTTGTATGATGAGGACATAAATATTTGATACATTTTTAACTGCGTTAACCCTTTAACTCCCATGAGTGACCAAGACAGAATTTCTCCTTACAATATCTATACAAAATCAAGGAGGCAAGTGATGAGAACCAAGAAGAGTATCAATTAGGGGATTAACAGTTGATCCAATACCAAATTCTCAGAAAAAACATTAGAAGAATTGTATGGCAGACAGTAAGGAGAATTTTTAATGAGATCTTGGGAGTTAAAGGGTTAAATTAAGTGGACTTTTAGCCTAAGGCCAAGGTTAGGTTTTGAGTGTTCTGTGATAACCTTTGAGGCCTTCTGATTGAAATATGTCAAAGTATTAAATATTTCTGTTTGTTGGGGACGATGCCTAGCTATCTACAAATTCTTTTCCTAAGTTGACTGTGATTTGTGTCAATTAAAACCTGGTCGAAGCAACTTCCCGGAAAAAAGGGAAAGAGGCTGTCTTAGGCGCACATAACCCTACACTTCTCTTGTAAGAGTTAAATTCTCTGTCTTATAAGTAAAGAAAGCCGATATGGCCCTAAATGCCTGCGAGACGTTGGTATTGGAGCTTCCCCCTGCCACGCCCATACAAAGTAGCCCCCCCCCCATTTTCGACAAGTGTGGTGAGATGCGTTTCACAGATTGCTAAACAAGTACTTGAACAGACTCGTAAATTTTCCCTTTTCCGTCTCCGCTATTTTTCTTGACCATTTTCTTCAGGGTTTTTATTTTGTCGTCTTTCTTTTTCAAGTCGTTCTGCATCTCGCTGACTCTAGTCACAAGATTCTGTATCTGTAGCGTTAGGGCTTTGATATCGTCTTTGTAATCAGTTTTATTGTCTTTTTCCTGCAAGAAATAATGGAGAGGAAAAGAATGGTTCGTTAAAACAGCATCACTAACCCAGGGTGTAACATAGGGTATGCTCATAGACAAATCATGTGTTCAACGTGCGAAAATTAATAATTAAAGCGTTTATTGATCATCCGTGTCGTGAATTTCCATGCAAGAGGTACGTCTTACTGTATGTTTCTTGACAAGCAATTTTCAGTGAGTATCGAAAAGAAATACGGGATTGCGTTGGCCTCGCATTCTCCGCCCTGTAATTGTTCTAAAACCCTCAAGCCAGCCTATTGACGAATCAGAAACTGGACTTAATTTGGCAGCAAGCTCACTTAGGTTTTCCAGCGCAAAGGTCGTTTACAAGTACTTCTTAGATCTGAATCGTTGATGGATCGTTAATAAGTTGTGATTTTTTTTTTGTTCTGACTGGTCGTTTTGACTACATAATGATTGCTTTTATGAAAGTCGATCGAAATGTTCTCTGATTATCAATAGCTGATCTGACTTAGATATAGTGAATACTTACTTCCGGTTTTACTTCAGAGAGCTTGGATCTCGCCACAACAAGAGAAACTGAATCAGCTTCTTTCATCGCAGCGATGACAGGTTCTAGTGGAGAGTTGAGCACGAACTGGCCATTTATCTGAGGAGCAATCGCGAACCTGAGTTAGTATACAGGTGAAAAGGCATTAGAAATGAAATTCTGGTGTCAGGAAAATCCATTTTTTTCCTTACCTCGACAATCAAATCATCCACAGCCAGTTCTTTGCTTCTCTCCGCCACCCCTCCCTCCGTCAGTGCCACAATGCGCACACCAGGACGAGGCTGAGGACTGCCCTCCTTTTTCCATTGCGCAAGTGCGGAAGAGGGTCTTGGCGTTAAGGGATTAGAGGGTCGCATTTGAGTTGCTGAACAAGGCCTCGATGAAATGGGACTTAAGGCAGGTTTCATTATGGTACCCATTCTTCTGTGAATGTTCTGTTTGTGTACAATATGTCGCATGTCTTCACTCGACTTCTCTGTCACAGATCTTGATCGTTCCTCTGTTCCTAAAATGGTCGCTATTTCCTGCTCGCTGGAACCTGATGAGCTCTCGGAGAGGGGCGAGGTCGGCTCAGACAACTGATTACCAACATTGCCTGCGCAAGACGCGTTTATAATCGAGTTCTGTCCGGGTCCATTATGTTGAACATAAACTACTTTCTCATCGTCACAGTCTTTCTCGTTATTATCATTCGGGCTCACCGAAGACCCTGTTTTAGTGACGTGAACTAGCTCTATGCCCCAAGACTCCTCTGCTTCTCTGTTGAGAATCACAGTCATGAGTTTACAGCGTTGAAGAACACTTGCTAAACTAAGACGTGGTAGATGTGATATCTCGGGAGCAGGATCCTTCCTGTTGTTCTTAATTTTCAAGTCTTTAAGTGAAGCGTCGTTAATTTTACTGCTGTTGCTTTTGTTTCTGTCACTATTATTATTGTTGTTGTTGTTGTTATCCCTGAGGTATGGAGGAGGTGAAGACGAGAAACGTGGTAGTTCTTCAGCATCAGAATGTTCACTCGAAGGGGATCGCGATGGAGACGATTTCTTTTTTAGTCCATTTTTGCCAGCAGTTTCGCTTGCCTTCACAATCTCACTCAACGGATCCAAATCGCCAGGCCCTTCCATTTTACCACCATAATACGCTAGAAATTTGCTCCTGAAGAGATCAATCTGCGAAACTTTGCGTTTCTTAGGCTCTTGAACTAATGCTTCATTTGAACTCGATTGAGTGGTCTTCTTGTGGTTCCCATGGAATTCCTGGTATTCCTGGAATTTGTGTCTCAAATTGTCTATCTGCGAAACTTTACGCTTGACTTGATTGACAGTCTGTAAGTCTAACGCATCGATTGAAGTTTGGCCCTTGCGCGCTTCTTCCATATTTTCCTTGTCTTCTGTTTCTGAAGCGGAAGAGGTAGTTTTTTGGTCGCTAACACTTGTGGTGTTCATTTCGTTGTCACTAGAAGATCCTTGTTGATTTGGTGGATTCTTTTCGTCACTAAGGAGGACACCCTGGACAAAAGAAAGAGCTTATTAATTTCACTACCATATAAGACTATGACGACGACCACTACATCGAAGGTCTGAGGTTCGAGTCCTCAGATTTTAGATAGTGCAAAGTACACCATCCATCAATGGTAAGATTATTTTCGTTGTCCCACGCTTACAACAAAACATTTCTCTTTGGCAAATCCAAAGTTTTGAAGAACTTTTATAACTGTTAACAATGATTACCTCAAACTCGGCTTGAGTTAAAGTGAACGTTCCCTGATCACCAGTCTCCCACTGAGACTGTACTTCTAATGGACACTCGTCTGCCTCTAAGATACGACCAGCTGAAAGAAAAAATTAAGTAAAAAAACTTGTTTAAAGCATGCAAGACCACCATTAAAAGAAAGATAGTTTTTTAGAAATATCACCAGAGAGAAGAACTCTCGAAAAACTTTGCTGATCACCTCTTTAATTCAGATAACTTTCTCAGTGTCGCAAAACCAAAACCCAATGTAATCACAAGTTTTCCAACGGTAACCAACGTTGGCCAACCGAAACTAAGGTAACTATCACAAGGAGCCAATGGGAAGATAGTAAAGACGGGAAACAGCGTCAAGCGCGGGAAATTGCGAGGCGTTTGGGGATTTTAGACCCATCAAATTGCGAAATAAAGCAAAACCATAGCAGTCTAGAATTTTTTTACTTTTGACGAGTAATCCAAAATTTCTCCTACAACTCTAGTTATTTGAGCGCAGATTTTGCACGCATTTTCATGGTCCTCTACGGCAACGTTTACCTTCTGAATCTGACAATCTTTCCACTAGGACAAACTTCTCAGGCGGCGCATCGCTGCCATAGCTAGACAAAATCATCTTTACGACCTCTTCAGCTCTGGTTTTCCGAGATATCTGCACGCATTTGTAGGTTGCCTAGAAGAAGAAATGAAGAAAAGAAACAATAAATACGTTGGGACTGAGAGGCACGATAAAGCTCATTTAAAAAAACCTTCCTTCGCTTTTGCTGTGGGCAGAATTGTGCGATTTCAAAGGTCGCATCGCCATATCTGTCTTAGGCACAGTTTTAACCACACTGCAATAATGTCAACCGGAGAATTTTTATTCTCATGAAGGTGAAAAAGAGAAATCTATCCCTTGCATGTTCTGTGTTTGAATTGTAATAAAATCATAATCCTTTATGTAATAAGAATGGTTTTTTTTAAATCTCGTCCAAAATAGATCGAAAATGTAGTGATAACAGTCGATTCAATTGATTTTAATTCATTCTGCTGATCTAAGAGATGGTTGACATAATAAATTAAAACAGGTGATGAACGATCGCTTGTGGTTAACCCAAACCCTAATAAGTACTTCAAGCCCAGTAGTATAATTCAGCATAATTATGTTATTTACTGTTTTCGAACGAACATGAGAAACTTTAAGAGAGGCCGGCTAACTTCCCTTACGTAATGACTGTTTCAGTTTAAAAAAAACTTACCCCAGGGCTCAAAATTCCAGCTTGAACTCTTAGCAGTCCACCGCTTCTCATCTTCAGATGAAATCTTTTAACAAAAAGCGATACAAATTTAAGTAATGATTTCCGATGGTCCCTTCACTTAAATGAAGAGGGGGTGGAGTGTATGAATTTTTTTTCCCCGGCATACGATGACTTATGCTTAGGTGTCAATATTAACAATCTTCAACAGAAATCATGATACTTATGATATTTGTCATGGCATATGGTAAATGCAGCTCACGTAAGTACAATCTCCCGTGGCGTGCACATGATTTTAAACAACGCCCTTTGTAATAAAGCTTTTATCTTTCTCTGTTGGTTTGTAAATTAGTCATATCACTGAGCCATATCTTAATCACGTTTTACTGAAAGTGAAAGTACATCTAAAAGTCGCAATTGATATGATATTCAGCAGAATAAAATACGGTGTTAGACTTCACTTTAAGCTACTTAAATCGAGCCAAGAGTGAGGCTTTCCTAAGACAAACTCTAACTATAGATATTTTATAAAAATCATTCAAGCGAGTGTGTTGCGTGACTGCCTCCTATGATGGTCACAGATGACCAGTCTTGCGTGACTCTATCGTGTAGATCTGCACGGCAAATCGCGATTGTTTTGGTTACACGTATCTTGTTGTGGATACGATTAAGTAACGTCATAACATATGACTCATAACTCTTGGCTTTTCGTAATATCCCTCAATAGTTTCGGTTTTGTTGGGAAATTTTCATTACTATGCTTCTCTTGTGTCTTTTTGACATTTAAAAATAGTTGTATGCTATGCAGCAGTTTGACTGTAGGGTAACCTTTCCTTGGAGAATGGCATCGATGTGGTTGACTTACTTGGCCTCCCCTGTTGGTTGACGGGATTGAATTTGCAAAGGACGGGCATCGTCAGCCAGTACCATCATCTGTGACATCGGGAGACTAGAATCTAATCAAAGGAAAGAGAAACTATTGTATGAGAAAGTCTGCTACCTGTCCGTCAGTCAGTCTGTGAAGCAGTAAGTCAGTCAGAAAAGCGGTAAGGCAATCAATCCATCGGTCGCTCGGCTAGTCCATCAATCAATCAATCAATCAATTAGTAGGAAGTCACGAGCTCCTAAAGTAGCTAAGTTAGTCGATCAGTTAGAAGGTTAGAGGTCAGTCAGACAGTCATACAGCCTAACAGTTAGACGACAAGTCAAATCAGTCGATTGGCCTCCCAGTATGTCAGTCTGTTTGTTAGTAGGTTAGCTAGACAGTAAGCTAGGCATTTAGTAAGTCAGCCGGTCTGACAGTCAGTGGGACTGTCACCCAAACGGTCAGTCATCAGCCATGCAATCGAGCGGGCGGACAGTCAGGGCTTCAAACGATCAGTCAATTAGGCAGTCGGTTCGTCCGTCAGTGTGTCTGTTAATTAGTCAGTCAGTTAGTCAGGTAGTCGGTCAGTCGGTCACTCAATCAGTCAGTCAGTAGGTCAGTCAGTCTATCAGTCTATCAGTCAGCCAATCGAGCAGTGAGACAGCCAGGGAGGGCTCCAAACCGTCAGTCAGGAAGGTAGACAGAGAATCAGTAGGTCGTCGATCAGTCAGTCAGTCAGGCAAACAGTCAGTCATTCAGAAGTTAGTCAGTCAATCAATCTAACCAGTCAATAAAAATACCTTTCTTCTGAATTTCAATCTCCACCGCAATATAAAACAGATTATGATCCTTTGAAAGCTCGTGATACTTCTCTAGCAGCATATGGACTAGCTCCTTACTGGAACAAAGGTAAAATTGCACAGAATGAGCAAAAACTCAGCGTAACATTTTGCAGACAAAGCAGAGTTTGTTATGTGGCTTATTTTAAGGTGGCTCGAAACAATTTACAATACTTGAGCTACAATGGAGTAGGTGCCACTACCCTCTGCCAGTGGATGTCCAATTTTTAGATGGTATGTATTAAACGTTAACCATAGCAACGACACAACCTGTCTGAAAAGTCCTTAAATTTTGCATTTAATCCTAATAACAATATTTATTCACTGAAGTAAAAATTGTGAGAGCCACCTTAAAATGCGTCGGTTTGTAAAGATATCGTACCTTGTTGTCCGATTGGTGATTTCGATGTTTGTAATTTCGGTGTCAGGGGTTAGGCCAGGTGTGCGCACTTGCACTGTTCCCTAAAAATCAATTTAGAGTTTAATTTTATTATCAGAGAGTCTGCTTCCACAAAATAGGTCAATCAGTATTATGGTCTATTTCCGTTGGAAGCAGGAAGGGAATAGAAATTCTGCTTCTTCCCCTAAACAGTAAAATATCCATTGTAAGTGACCTCACGGGATTTTAATAGGTTTCACTAACAGTTAACGGATAATCATTTATGCTCATGGGTGGCCATAAAAAAGGGGTACTGTAAAGCAAAGCGTATTATTCAGCACCACAACACAGCAACATGGCTAACACTCGAACCCGGGCCCCTCGAGCTGGAGTCCAGTACATTAGCCTCCAGGCCTAAGCGTCTCCCACCTTTCTTAAAAACCCAGTGCTATTTCGTTCTCAATGACGTAGTAAATCACCTTCTCTGGCTCAGATAACATCTCCTCAGTCTGTTCTTGAAGAACCCTCTGCGGTGTTTTCCTCTCCACGAGTTCTCTCTCAGAAACCCCTGAAAACAAATGCCAGAAAAAGGAATTAAAACGATCAGAGCTTTTCTACAGATGTGACATCTTTATAGAAACTAGATGACCCACACCGCCAGATCATATTTCGGCTACTGTAACTTTAATTTTGTTTGGGTGACATGACGCAAGTTCGTTGCCGTCATATCTCTAGCATTTCGCCAGGTCTCCTCAACATTTTCCGGTACTCGTTTCTTGTCAGTCCCAGGAGAAATTCAGAATAAAAACAAACTGCCTTGCCCATGAACATAGCAGAAAGACCCGTCACCTCAGTGCTCAATGCTTGAGCCCGGCTCTCCCGAGTCCAATGCACAAACTCCTAAACCAGGCTCGCTTTCCAGACATCAATCAACTATACTAACTGCTGAGTTACCTTTCTCTGTCGAATCGGACAACGATCCCTTTAGTAAAATTTCTTGCATGCCGACAGGCCGGGCTGGAAGGGACCTCCTTTTGGGCCGTGGACTGCGAAACATTCTCTCATCTGGAATAGAGCCCCCAAACAACTTGAGTTCGTGAACAGCTGCTAAAAGCTTATCACGTGATGTTGGGTTTGATACTCCGAGGCGATCTGGAAATGCAATAAGATATTTAAGAAATGAAAATCAAAACATTCTCTTTCCCAAGTACTAACGAGGAAGGCTGTTTCCTCGATAAGCTTGTTTGTTCCACGCGCGCCATAACCTTACCCGTGTTTCAAAAGATCAGTTAGAAAATGTCTTTAATTAAACGACACGTAACAAATACCGTTTTTTTTTACATGTGTTCTGTGTACTGAATGAATGAACTGAACGCTGGCTTCATCTCCAGCATTACACGTATTAGAAATGTGCGCGCGTGCAAGGGAGTCACGCACGCATGGATGAAAGGGGCTCCGCGTGTGTTCGCTTTGTCTCTTCGCCCGACTTTCTGATCGCTACGCAGGCAAATATCTTAATCCTTCGACCAAAAAGTATGATAATGTGTAAATAAGGATCCTTAAAAGATGGACGGAAGCTGTTGACACATTACTTTTTGTGGTCGGCATCTCAAGGATCTGTCTAATCAGGTTAAACTCACGCAGCTCTATTTCGCTATTAATTTATTCTGAGAACCTGGCACCTTCATAAAAATGTTATTTATTTTGGCAGAGTTTTAGCAGACACTGCAATGATTCTCAACTATCGCCCGAAGGAGGTTACCAAGCGAATCAAGCTCATGTCTAAGGCAGCCTAAATATTATTTCTTCGGCATTTTACTTTAATCTTTAAAATTAGAAAATCCCTCAACGAGAACGTAGTTCATTAATTTGATTTGACGTATCGAATGCCTATGAAAAAAACGGAGACAAGGCAAAAGAAATTAACTCAGCTGGGTGTTTACTGTCGGGGAAGACTGAAGACATAATAAATTAACTCAGCCGAGTATTTACTGTCGGAGAAGACTGAAGGCATTTTGAAATTATTTGATCCGAGGAATGATATCAAGGCCTCCTTGTGAGACGAGGATAAATATGCTAATTTTTCGACAGTAACCTATTAAGGCGAAGCGCGTGTGTGATAGCCATTCCTTATAACCCTTTATTTTCGATGTATAAGTCATCTTCACAAGCGGTCTAAAATGTAGCACTGAAATTGAAATACATTGGAACACCAAGCTAAGATCACACACACGTTAAAAGTACTCCTGATCGTCGTAACGATGTGCCTTTCCTCTGACCAGAAATCACAATTGTTAACTCTTAACTATATAGTCTGAAAAACCCACGGCAAGTCAAAGCAAGAAAATTCGTGTGAATGGTTTTACAACGCGAAAAAACTCCCACAATGAGATCGTTTTAAACAATGGTGTATGGGCCGGAAAACAAAATACCGCAGTACATTTCGATGTGTTAAGTAGCATTCGGAAATGAAAACTTTTAGTCGGTACAGGGCGAGATTATGGACCCAAGATTTCTTACCTTTCGTAACTCCATAGTCAGAGAAGAAAACACTCATGTTTTACCCGGGAGAAGATGATCATACACAAGCGACTTGGTCGCAGATCTTTTTGCTGCTAAGGTACTAGAAATATTTGTAATAGAATCCGGTCGGTAATCTGTCTCGAGAGAGAACACTAATCATCGAGATAATTGATGGCAAAGGAATTTATGCAGACATGTGGTGTGGGCAACGCCATAACCAGATTTAAAACGATAATATTTGATCTGTATTCGGTGACTTGAGTTTTAACAGAGCAGGTACGCGACTTTTGCACTCAAATGGCTTCCGTCCAAGGTGTAAAGTATTTGACAATTTTGCCAGGCTCAACAGTGCGTTTAAAAACATTTAGCGGTTTGTTTGGGGATTAGCACGCTAATCCGAACGCCCAACAAACGATGGAAGATTCTGTCGCGTTTTTGTACGGAGAATCGTATGAAGATTTTTAAAAACTTGGTTGTTTTCTTGAGGTAAAATCCGTGTGATTTTAATGTTTCAAACATTTTGTTTGTTTCAGACATTCGAGCGTCAAATAAGTCACGGAATCTAGTGAACCTGTCAGTCAATAAGTAGGATTAGTGGTGTTCAGTTTCAAATATCGATCACCTAATAAAACACGACATGAAAAAGAAGGCTTAAACTTCAGAAAAACATAATGTGATCTGAGCAAAAAAAATATTTAAACCATTTTGTCCCTTTTTTCGCAATCAAGTATAACCGACCTATGATAATCTAATTTTTGAGAGAGGACTCAGCCAATTGTCATATGACTCCGATTATCCTGTTTGCCCCTTTGACAAGGAGACACAGTTCAACGCTACACTGTTACAGTTTCTAAATACATAAAGAATGTAAATCTTTTTTCGTTCAGTGCTTTTCTTGTTGAAATATAACAGAGGAAAAGGAAAAATAGATAACTGAACATTGTTTATTCGAAAAAATTTCCCTTTTAACATTAAAACCAAAATTGTTCAAAAAAAAAAAAAAAAAAAAAAAGAAAAAAAAAAAGAAATGAGGAAAAAAACATATTCGTTTAACTGAAGATAAGTGAATAAAAGTCATTTTTTAGAGGACGGTGGTGTGCTATTGCGTCGTAGAAACAAATTTTAAAAAGAGCGAAACAAATAAAAGATTATAGAGGGAGATTAAAACCCCACGGGTTGTTTTTACGCAGCCTTCCCCTACCCGGGTCTCTACAGGGTTTACCCCTCGTTAAACGAATTGGCCTGTCTTTTGTTATAAGCAAAAGTTCACAAACACTCGCCTTCGCTTTTCATTGGTAGTCAAACGTATCAGAATGGTAATATGCATTGTTCTTTTTACAGGTAGAGTTACACACAACTCTAACTGTAAGCACAATTGAAGATTATTTCATCTTTTTAATCAAGACTGGGCTAGTGAACGAAAGTCCTGGAGCAAAATGCGCTGAAATACGTCCAACAAGTGCTAATCGGCCATGCAACGGAGAGCAGTTAAATTTGCAAAACCCCGATGGTGAAAATAACGAATGTCGGTCGATTCTGATTAACTATCCTCTGCAAGCTTTCAAAAGTATAGTTCTATGGTTTACCACATTTAAAAAGTTGATTTGAATGAGATAGTTCAATATTTCAAATGTTAATTTACCGTACCTGCCGTTTAGCAAGTAAGACCTTTTTAGGCTGGCTCCACAAGCAAGATTAAGCGAAGAAGTGTGCTATTGGCTAACTGATCAAGTGCAAGTAAGATTGACCTATGCTGCTCGCTTTGAAATCATGACAAAAAGAATGATGGTCTTTCATCGTGTTGAATTTACTTTCGCTAAAGTACTTACAAATTGACTAGTTTGTCTCGCGATGCACTGGTGAGTTCGTGTGGATCGTGTCGTTTAATTGAATGAGTCACGTTATGGGGTAGTATCTTTCACTTCGAATTAAATGCTCGCTTCGAATCCTTCATTATCCAAGCTTAAGTTCGAGAAAGTCGGGGACCTTTTTTTTGTCATAGTCATTACCGTTTCTAAGGACCTCAGTTTCATTGCGGTCCACAATTTGGCCAAAAGGATGGTTCGAAAAATAAGCTCAGCCAATATCTAATTAGTAGAATATACACTTTCGAACACTCGATCAACAACGCATATGAGTTTGATGAAGATCGCTAATTCAACACGTGACTGTTGCGTAACTGGGAAGGGTTGTTTGCCGAACGCGTTACGTCATCCTTAATTTCCTGAGTTAAGTTTGCTGACAAAATATTTTGAAATTATATCCTGTACGTGACTTAGTGTCTAACAATACCAGGAATCTTAATATGTCAATCTGCTTGTACACATATGAAGGGTTTTGGTAAAACAGTCGGACAATGATCGAACGATCGGTTACATGGAAAAATATTGCACGTAGTGAGACTTGTTCTTTAGTTGTAGCGTGAAATAATATGAAACTTTGCGATTATATGCCTATGCGCGTCATCTGATCACGTCTTAAAGAAAAACAAAACGTATTCCACCAAAATACATGAAAGTGATAGCTGCTGAGTTTATTTATAGAAGTTTTTGCGTGCTAGGATTAACTAGATATTCTGCGACACGAATCGCGTGTGTTTAAATGGATTCAGATGAATGGTTTTCTGTGTGTTGGTAGTATTCAGAGACGCACGTTTTCAGATTACATACATAATTATGAATTTTACAAGCTGTAACGGCTTCCTAGCGATTTGTTGATGACCGGGTTTAAGGTCTTTGACCGGCAGATTGGGCTTGAAAAAAATTGGCCGAATATATCGTTGTTCAAACTATTTAATGTAGGAAAGTTCTGTTTAGATCATTTTAAAATGAATGGTCCAACCTATAATGTATATTGTAATGTATACTTACCAAGATATTGACTTGTGATTTGTAGTAAAACTTTGCCATCAATCTTTTTATCTTTAATAAGAAAAACAAAATTAAAAAGTCAATCCTTTAGAGTACAGTGGTTTAACTGCAAAAGCTAATTTCCTCGTGAACTTGTTTGTCTTAAGTTAAGTGGGGCGAAGAAGTCGCGCAGCTCATATAAACATCTATATGCCTACCATGGAAATTTCTCCAAAGTTTTCCTAACCCTCTTTTCTTCAGCCATCTGCAGACATCTCGCTCATTCCACTTATTTACTGGATGTCTCTGAAGTCCTTTTTGCGAGAACATTGTTGCGAGAGCTCGCTTCAAGTCTTAATATCGCAAATTACAATCCTGAAAACTTGAACTTTTCACTTGCAGCGCCAGTCGTTCCTTAACAAACTGAGAGTCACGCGTTCTTTTATATACAGATATTCTTAGCCTTTGTCAAAACAAAAGATCTCTTACAGCTCACGAGATCAAGAAAGTTTGTTCCGTGTTCTAGCCCTACGCGTAATCTCCACTGATCCCTTGAACGGTTCTGTCGGGTACAATTAAGAATTCAAAATCTGCACCTTTTGAAAGGAGCTTTGAATGATTTCTTAATCGGCTTGACAGCTTCGAACAAAAGAACAAAGCCTTTTGTTTAATTGGCCGAAAAAAGACGTCCGTGTATTTGTTGATCTGCCGTATTTTTGATTGTTTGATTTGCCTCGGGTAGGCTTGGAATTGCCATGATACAGCATGTTTCATGCATGCTTCAATAATATGTTTATTATTAATACACATTGTTAAATCACGTTTAAAATCACAGCTGTTCCAAATCCTGTCGAATGAAGAGCACCCTACTTATATATTCTTTCGCAGTTCCTGTATTCTTTCGTAACTTTAAGCAAACAAGCGATCGCCGTGTTTGTGTACCATTCGCTAACGTAACCTATGGCCTCGAACTGCCACCACACGCACCAGATGACGTCATTCTAGTCACCCGTATCGAGGTGATCAGTTCCGTCTGTATTTATTCTTATAAAGTTTGAACGAGATAAAACTCAAGAGTTTGAAGAGCAACCTCAAATGCCTGGGTGGTTTAAATTGGTTGTTTGATGGGCAGAACGATGGAAAGGATTTCATTTGAATTAAAATTCTTCGCATTGCGCGCATTTTATTAAGTAATTACAAAAAGGTTCGCAACGGAACGTGATTTGCGGTAATCACGATTTTTTTTCATAAGAGTAAAAATATCCCGTTAAATACTGCATAAAATCAAATGAAATTGAGACAAACAAAATCGCTAAGTGTCATGCTATAGACTCTCTTGCTCTTAAGAAATTGCACTACGCATACATAGTTACTCATGCTTAAAGTTACAAAATTATAGAGTTAAATATATATTTATAGTTATAGCTTGGGATAAACAAATCGATGAGAATAAGCTAGTAGGAATGGGCGATCTAATTATTTGCTAAAAGATTTCACGCCTAATTGAGATCCACTCTGAACAAATAAACTGAACTTCAAGTACATTACTACATGAAAGATCTGCTCGATGGCATTTTTCAAATGGTCAATCAACATTAGGTTTTCCATCCACAGACTTAAAAGAAAGAAAGACTCGTGAACTAATTATGAAATTTCTTAGATACTACGAGCACCCCGATTGGTCAAAAACATATCGTTTATTGAACTAATAACCTTGAAGTCATTTTACAAAAGCAAGAAACCGCACCCTCTAACGGTTTCCGGCGTAATAACCCATTTAGGATTTTGGGAAAACACTCGAAAAGTTTGCAAATCACTCGCCCTCCGGTTCGTGAATTACAAAATTTTCTCGACTAAGAGGCTTATTACGCCGGTAAACCGATAGAAAGTGCGATTTGAATGGTTAAACATTTACGGTTAATCCACTGACTTAAAAAATTAGAAAAAATTGTACAGTGCAATGAAAATAAAGCTCGCCCTAAACTCCCGGACATAATTAGTTGAGACATTTCTCTAGAGCAACGTCTATGGTACCCTTTCACCTCTTTCATTTTAATCCTCGCCAAACGGCTCGGGCTAAAATGACTCTGTGTCAAGTCCAAGACATATTTATGCCCGCTAACATAAACTCTACTGTTTATTGATAACTGCTACCGACAACTGTCATTTTCAAGGCTATGATTTAACCACATGGTATGACCTTTTGGTTATTATAAATCACAAACGAATTATTTACCAAACGTGTTGACGATCATAACGCGAGCGGCTGACTCTCTTTTCATTCTTCAAACTTGAGATCGAATAGATAACAAATTCTGGCCTCGCAATTCTATTTTTGCATCATGGAAAACAGGTGAAGTTGTTGTCAAATTGAAATCAAATCTGCCTTGGTCTGCTAAACCTTTTTAAATGCTGTCTATCGTTTTTTTCGAAGCACATAAATGTGATACACGGCAAAAATCTGGAGTAGAATTTGATGAACATGGAAAACTACTTTATGGATGAAAGTTACAGCGCTATCTTTTGATCTTTATTTCATGAAGACTGTTTCGTAAAACCGTTGTCTCTCAAGGCTGATAAAAACAGGAAGTTAGTTTACTCTAAATTGATTCATTATCAGCATAATTAAGCTTATTAAACGAGCAAACAAATTGCTGGGAACGCAATAGATAATTCACTCAAATTGGCCCTCTGTGTTTAGGCTCTTGTTTGTGTCCGGTGAAACTGTATTTTTTTTAATCAAAGTAGGACCAGAAAGGAGAAATTTGAGGCTTCCTCTCTCACTGATATTTTGTCTAGATCAACAACTCTGAACTAGTTTGCTTTGCGGAAAGATCAGAGAGATTGTAAACGCACACTTTCATCTAAAGTGCGATATAAATGGAGGTAACTAAACCATAGTAGAATCTATTTAAAATGTCCTGACTTGATCAAGGGAATTCTGTTCCCATGGGTCCCTCTCAACTCTTCTGTTCTTTTTGTAGATATGATGTTTACCTCATCGTAAGCGGGACTTAACTATAGATTCATTTGAATAACGCGATGTTTGTAATGCCTTCAAGAAAGTGATTGACTCTAGCCTACAAACTGTAGCTTGGGCTTAAGCTGAAAGGCGACCTTACGAGACACTTCAAGACTTAAATAACATAGCTACCACATTTAGTTGGTACAGCATTTCACCGCAAAATCCGAGGGTCTGACCTCGAACTAGACTTCAAAATTTTCCTTGTCAAACGCTCTCGAGAAATAATAACCACCCTTATAAAGCCCTCTAAACTGTTGAAAGGTTTGAAAACTTCACTCTGCTTCTTCTGTGAGCTTAGGATTGTACGGTTAAATTATATCCTTACTCGTGAAAATACCTGGTTTTTTTCGATCCTCGTCTTTTCCGCAATCCATCCTGATCGGTTGGAGCGGATTGCATCTACAGCCCTGTAAACGCAACAATTTGATGCTAAAACCCTTGTAATTCTTGTAAAAGTAAACACTAATTAAAAGTCACGGAGGAGCACGCTATGGTGTACAGTCGGCAAAGCAAAAGTTTGCTTTAGTATTTTGTCTGTCGACCGTGATATACGCACGGCTAGCCATGCAATAAATTTTGTCATCAGTTTGAGTCAACAGGTGTTTTTGCAGCATCACAACCCATGCTGATACTTCTTGTGGAGTTGCTGTATAAAAGCACATTTATACGATGTTAATACTTTATACAGTAACTGGTGAAGAGAAAAAAAACCGAGCTTTTTAATTCAGTTACATCTTATCTTGATGAAGAACTAGTTTCTCCTCAGTAGTTTACAAGGAAATACTTAGTAGTTGGAGGGAGAATCTAGTTAGATCTTGAAAGCGTGAAGTTCGATAAACCAAAATCTTCAGATGGTATGAATCCCAAGTTCCTTTTCCATTGAAGTGTTATAACCTAAGGGCCATCTTTAGTCAACAGTCGATAAATTGTAACCCAACCCCGCCCTTCGCATGCCCTTGATGCAGCCGCTTGAGATAAACCGATTGCTAAGGGCGTTGATATTATCTTATTGGTTGCAACATTTTATAAATTCTCGATCAACTTCACCGGAAACCTACCATAAAATGTACCATTCAAACGCATTTCAAAAAATGAAAAGATTATTCAAGAGTCAACTTCTATGTTAATAGCCCACGTAATTAGTTTAATAGATCTTCCCTTAACGAATCAAACATGACTGCGTATAAATGGACAGAAAAAACGGTAACATTAAGATTTTATCGATATTTTAATTGGTTTACAGTTCAACCCTGACAACCGCAACATGACTATTTATACTGATAAGTGAAAAAATAAGAGGTAACATCGAATAATAACAATATTTTATATAAGTAAATTTTGTCAATAGAATTACATCTTTGAAAGTTTGTTTCCAGATTTTAGTTTTAGCAGTTTGTCTGAACCAACTTGCTTAACTCTATTTTAACCTAAAAGAGCCAGAACGTACCGTGTTTTTTTTTATGATAAATCGCGTACCAAGCAATTTGATTCTATCAAACTGGTGGTATCATTTCAAAAACTCTCGATCAACTTTCCCGGAAACCAGCCAAAGAACTTGCAATTCAAACGCACTTCAGTTGAATTAAGAGGTTCTTAGCATTATGGATTAGAGATCGGTGTTTATCAAATAGTGCACATAATGAATATTCATTTATAGAGAATTAAATTTGTTTCATAACTCGACTCTTGAGGACCTTTACACAAATGGTAAATGGTGAAGTGAAAAAAACAAAGATAACAAAACAGTACATATTACGAAAATTTATCAAGTGTTTCATTCGTTTTATTCATCGACCCTTGACGACTTGAGCATAACTATGCAATAGAGGATAGAAAAAATGCTTAACGTGAAATTAGACCGCATGTTTATCAAGTTAGCTTATATCAAGAGAAATCCACATTATCTTGATTTTGTACATGTTTTTGAAGGATTAATGATTTTTAGAGGAAACAAGTGTTTGTTAATTTGCCACGAGCAATTCCTTAACTCGCTTTTAATTGCAATGAGCCAAATATATTCTTTTGTCGTTTGACCTTAAGATCCCACAATTTCTTGCGCATTCAAAGAAGTAAGACACTAAAATTGCCTCTTTGTCGTTTTATGGCGAAATTTTGTTTCCCAAAGGTTTCACTGTGGATCAAGTTAAGGGCTTCTTTCCAATGATTATATCGAGTATTGATTCTTCACCCTAAATAATTCTTTGGTATTTAACCACAGAAAAGAATTCAACCAGTCAAAAGTTTTGTATTTCAATAAGTCGTTTGATTTTTCATGACTGCCAACCATGTCGGTCACTTTACAACTTCTGAAAACCTGCGAAACTTACTGAAATATCCATTAGTATAAATTGTGTATGGAAAAAATCGATCTTTCCAGAAGACAAGGCATTTATCTGACGCAAAAATTTCGCCGATCAATTAGGGAATATAAAGACTCATTGGAGGTATGGCTTTACTTTTGTCGGTTTGACGTAAATGACAGACAATACCTAATGATATTAGTAAGGTCGTCAAATCTTGGAGGGGTATATTCAATATAGGAGCGTATCTAAACATATATTGGATTTATCACATGTTGAATGGGTGTATAATTGTCACTTAGATTAGGCTTTGTGGAGTCGTATTTTTTTTTTCCAAAGAATAAATCATTGGCTCGACTCAGGTGCTAACGGCGAACGAATTGGTTAGATAAAGGATAATTGATGGTTTGCAAAACAACAAAAATTTCACACAAAGAACATCCATGCTGACTCATTCCGTCAATTAGCTGAGTCATCTACTTCATAAATAGATATTCAGTTATTAAAATCGAGGCTGTTGATTGATAAGCATAGCAGTGGTTATTAATCTTAAATAATGCTTTTGTACTCTTGTAAAGTTGGCTGCAGCAACCGTGAACAAAATGTGGTCAAGGAATTCGTTGATGTATCTTCTATTACTCAGAACATTGAAAAGCCGCTCCTGTTTTGGACTACGTGTCCATCTGTAGTGCCGTATTTTGAGAACCACTCTCAGGTTCCAAGTCAGAAGTTTTTGCATTTACAAGTATAACCAACATAGATATAATGAACAATGCTTAGAATTACGTTTAAATCATCTAAAGCCAGGAGAAGCTTAGCATTAGTAATCGAAAGATTACACAACTTTTGTTGTAGCTTGTGTAACTAGCGGTTTTGCGCACGTTAAATTGATGAGCGGCGAGACCGTGAGGAGCTTAGGACAGAGGAAAGTTATCACCTGGCGCACAAAAAACTGTATAAAGAACGCAAAACCACCTAATACGCTGGTAACGTTTGCTGATATTCGGCTTTTTGCAAGGTTTCCGTTGCTATCTTCAAGGCGTTTAGGTTTACTAAGTAACGATGTGCGATAGAAGGGCAGAGCGGAAAAAAGAGGGTCAGTGCTTTGTAACCAGTTCATCGCAGCTTGCTCTCCAATTGATGGGTAAATTCATTACTCTGTGTCGTAAAATTAAGTTCTGATTGTATCAAACTTTAATCCAGGGGTAGTTTATGCTTATTTTCTACCGTCTCGTTAGACTGGTCTTCAGATCCCAAAACCCGCAAGAATCCAACGAGTTCTACCGCGCGCAGCAAGTGTAATTTTCCAGTTTAGTAATAAACCGAGTAATTTGACGAGTTAGAACAGTTACCACGGTCAAGAACTTGATTATCAAGAATCTAACAAGCTCCACTGCAGCAAGCGCAGTTTTCCAGTTTAGTAATAACAAGACAAAGAAGTTATTGTCGTCATAACTTAATAATTATCATCCCAACTACATTTTGTTTTGTTTTTGATTCATAATTTACACATAGATAACCCTAAATTTACTTAAAAGGTTATGTCTAGGATTTCTACATCATGGGCTCTCTTGGAGAGGAAGGGTAGATTCGCATAAATATTGTTCATTTAGCCACATTTTTTAAGGGCAATATTTAACGTCACCAAGGTTCATTCTCATATCACAAATATTTGACTCGCTTAAAAAACCGTACTACTAAACCGCAAAAGCCAACTGACACTTACTGACCGACTGCAAGGGCTGATCGAATGATAGCCCTGTCAATAGATTTAGTACTTTTAAAATGCAAACACTTCTATACCCCGATGCTATGCCCTTAACTATTCGTGGTGAAACTTGAAATAATGGTTGACACAAACTGTTGCCAACAGTTACAAAGATTACCTCGATTGTTCAGCAAGCATTTAGTCATTCTTGAAAGTTTTTTGCGCTGCCTGTTTGTTGCTGAGTGTAGTACAAAATCGAAAGGCTTTGTCACCATCATTTAGCCATGCGGCGATCCCTACATAAATATAACGTCTTTTTTGATAACCATCCTTGCAGCCTCTCTTGCGCAGTTAAGAATACATTTGACAACTTTTCAAAGCCATGGCCATCTGCACTTAGCTCTAAGCGATTCAGTAATCGCCAAACAATCAGCTCTTTGTGATCATCAAACTAATTTTGTCTTTATACTGACCCCGCGAAGATTGACATAGAAACTTGATATTTCGTATTGGACACTTAGCTTGTTATCTACACAGAAATTGACCTTTAAAGTAGCAAACCTCTATGTGTTAGAAGTGGTCGCGTTTGAAAACAAATTAAGCATTTTTGCTTAGACTACTTAGAGCACTGAGTTCGATTACCTTGGCAATTATTGTTGTTTTGAGCAAATTATGAACATCATTTGTTATTCATGTGTGCTGGGCCAAGCTTTTTTAACTGCCAATTTTGCAAATATACGTGTTTGGTAATTTCCAAGTCGTTATCTAAAAGTGAGGGTGAATCAGTTTGATACGATGAAGTGACTCTTGAATATCACAAATTGATTCTTTGCTACCTTGTTTGCATGACGTGAGTTATATAATCATTCTAGGTTCCTTAAAACATGCCGCAGAACATGCACGCCTTTCAAAGTCACGGGATCCATTAGTACCTCATAACACTAATTAAAGATTAATCGATAAGAATTGATATCTTGTAACATACAACCTGACCGTTTGTAACAAGTGTCTTTTCCAGTAGCCAAGGATTCGATCTTCAGCCTGATGACTCTTCTGTGAGGCGCACAACTCCTTTTGAAAAATTTCATTAAAAGCCGACTGTGCCTGCCGACATCTCTAGTTATTTAGTCTAAAATTGATTAAATTAATTTAATGGACAATGCTTTAACGCATGGTCTCTCATGCCGTATTTATTGTTTAATAATTTGGAATGCTAGACGAAAAACGAAGTTGTGTGGTTTGTAATTGTTGCAGTATGGATTTTTCATTTATCGAAAGGTGCGCATCGAGCGAATATACGTTGTCAGGAGCCCATTTCTGTGAAAATGCCGTAACATAGGCTCAGTATAGGAGTTGAACGCTCCAAGTAATAGGCTCCTGACATTGTATAGAAATCACCGACTTTGTCGAGACATTCTGTGCCTCAGTCGTGGAAAACAAATTTATCGACTGAGAGCAAGACCCGGTAAAGGAAACTCTCAATTTCAAAATTTGAAATAGCCACTATGATTAGAAAAGAAGAGCGCAAAATTTAAAACAGAAGTTGAAACCTTTTGCACAGACGCGCGAGTGTTACGAAAGGATCGAGTACCACACGACTACCTCGCGTGTGCTATGGGAAGTTTGATTTGGCTCGCACAAGAGATCACGCATGTTTTTCGTTTCGAGAGTGTTTGTGCTTGTTTTCTAAATAGATACTCTATTTAGTAGTTGAGTAAAACATAACAGTACACAAGGCGAAATAGAAGTGTAAAAAAAGCTAACGACATTGAGTCACAAAAAAAGATGCCAAGTGTTACAAATTGTCGAAAGATTTATTGTATAGTATATCTGTATCTGTATCTTTTTTAATTTATCTTTAGGCCTCAGTTACTCGAAACATTGTGGTTAGATATTCTGTCCGAGCATTTCGTCAAAAATTATATAGAAGCTGAAGGTACTATCAAAAAACATTTCCATCAAAAACTGTCGGGAGTGCATTGAATTATCCATCCAGAAAGTTTTTCTTTACTCGTTTAGTTGTTTGTGAGTCGTTTACCACTGTTGTCAGTTTTTTTTTATGATTGTATTTAACAACGCGGGAAGTGGAACGAAGAGAAAAGTCTAAACGCTGGGCTCCCTCTGAGGAAGCCGACAAGGTACTGGGCTTGAGGTTGGGAACGAGGCTGATAAAATTGACATTTTCTGCAGCGAAACTAAAAAAAAATCAGTTCTAACGAGGATGGAGTTACCACGATGCATGAAAATTTGCGGCCGCTTTGTGTGGTTGATCCTCTGGTGGGCTCAGTTAGGTGTCTTTTGCTTTTATGTTCACCTTTGTTGGGACTTTAGTGTGCTGGCATCTATGGCATTTGCTTGGTTTCTCGTCAGCTGCATATTGAGGTTGGTACTAGGCCCGGTGATTTTGTTGTTTTCGAAAAGGAAACCTCATTATGACCCTTACATTTGGCTAGGGTATACTGTTTTGTTTATAGTGGATTTTGTCTTAGTATTTACACTGGTCGAAGATAGGCTCAATGATGAAAGATCTCCCAGACCAGTGATTTTCGAAGCCGTACTGTGTATCACACCACTTCTTCTTCTTCTATTGTTGAACACGGCTGACGACAACGACGTCAAACGCCTCGGAGACTTCAAATGGCTGTGTGCCTCTTTGACGCTACAAGTATTCGACGCCATCGAGATGATCGACATCGCAGTCAGCGAAAAAGGAAAAGGCAGTGAGATAGATTAAGTAAATGAAATAGGGATGATTGCACTGGCCTGCACAAGCCTGCTTCTTTCCGCATTGCAGCTTATACATTCAGTACATTACAAGTCCACCGGTGCCCTTCGTGATGGAAAGAAGATTCGACTCGGCTTGGTGATAACCGCAGCCATAATAAACTTTGTGTCAATGATTATTCGAGTGGTTGTGTTGGTCGAGTATGGGACGAATGAAACAATTTTCATCGCCAAGAATATTATCTCGATCCTTAGACCAAGGAGAGAAATATGCAGTTTCACTGATACTTATCAATCGTGTCCTGATGAAATACAACTTGGGTCTGAAGCAGCTTCCAGCGACAGCGACAGCGATGAAGAGGAACCATTTGAAAAAAAATCTGATATTTGAGGAGAGATTCTCGTTCGAACGATGCGTTGTGCTCACTCATGTTCAGCGCTGAAAATGACAACGTTTTAGTTTTCGTAATGCTTGTTATGCGAGGAATTTCGCTGTGACCACGCGGAAGAGCATCAGAGGCAGCCTTATTGGTAAGCCGCGCATTTACGTTCGTCTTCAGTTGGTACAAAGTAATCTTTGCTATTATTGATTTAAAAGTAAAAGTAAAGCCTTTATACAGGCTCAAGTGGCCCATGGGGCCGGCGCCTAACTCCGGTTTACTTAGCATGAAGCGGCTAGGAGTATTGTTACTCTCCCCTGGATGGGATGCTAGTCCATCGCAGGGTTACCCCCAGCATATTTGCTGGTACCCATTTGTACACCTGGGTGAAGATAAGCACTATGAGAGTAAAGTGTCTTGCCCAAGAACACAACACAATGACCCTGGCCAGGGCTCGAACCCAAACCACTCGATCCGGAGTCGAGTGCACTAACCATGAGGCCACCGCACCTCTTATAGTATATTGATTTAGCCAAGCCTAAAAGCGGAGCTCTTGCTAGTTTATTTTCTAGCCCTTGATTGTAATAAAAACTGTAATAAAACTCTTTAACAATGGCAGTAGAAGAGTTTCTTCAAGGGGATTTAGGGACAAGTCCGGGGGGTTGAGAGGGAAGGGAAGAATTGACGCGGTTTGGAACCTGGGGACGACGTTCTCACATTTTGCAAAGCGATCAACACGCCTGCTAGTCAGCGGTAGCTTCAAGCAGCTGAAGACCTTCGTTTTTGTTCCTGATCTTTTGAGAAAATTTTCGAAGATAAGGAATCTTTTCTTCTTCAGCTTTTCAACTCTTGTTTGAACCTGTAATTTTTTTAAACTTTTTTCGCTTTTGGCTATTCTTGTTTCATGTCCTCTGGCTGGAAATACACGAGGTTTTTTGAGATTTTGTTGTTATTTAATTCGGTAACCTCTGCTGTAACTGCATATAATGTGGGTGTCTTTAAGAAACTTGAGATAATACCTGGATTTCATTTTTACATCACAGAAATCAATTCCAAACGTCAATCAAGTTTCCTCTTTTATATGAAGGTTGAGTTGATGTTGTTATTGGCTGTATAAAATATAGATCAAGTCTTTGTATTATATTTCAACCCAACCATTTTCAACAACTTATAAACACCATCACAAAATAATTAGTCAGGGAATGGAAAACTTGTGGCATAAACACCATGTCTGAAATGCCATGTCCATAATAAGCCAACAGGATCGAGGAGAGGTATGTGGGAATAGGCTCTCTTTTCCCTATGATCAATTCACTAATCGCTCCTGTTGGCAATGTTTTTATGTGGTTGGGCTGTCAGGGCAAAGGAACTGAGGATTTTAGTGGGCAGTGACTTCTGGAAACCTGGAAACTATCATTTTGAAAGCCATACTTGTACCTGGTAACTCATTCTTATTCTGATAAACTAGTTTTAAGAAGGATACAATATTTTATTACATAAATTTGATGCATAGGCTGTGCGCAAAACTTTAATTTGACTATGCTTTTGTAGCCAATACCAATCCCTTCACATAGTAAAATGTTAGGAGGATCAGAAGAAAAAATAATTTGCCATACATCTGCAAGATTTCATGTTATTATTTTAATTACATGAATATTAACTGATACTAGGAGATCTAAGAATATTCAGTTAACAAAAGAAAATAAATTGCGAAGATTTATCAAGAGTTTCATTCGTTTTATTCATCGACCCTTGACGACTTTAACATAGCTATGCAATAGTGGATAGAAAAAAAGGCTTAACGTGAAATTAGACCGCATGTTTATCAAGTTCAAGAGAAATCCATATTATATTGGTTTTGTACATGTTTTTGAAGGATTAATGATTTTTAGAGGAAACAAGTGTGTTAATTTGCCATGAGCAGTACAGCAATTCAGTACTCATCTGCAGCCACTATCAAATCAAGGCTTTGTGGAGTCGTGTGTTTGTTTTCTACAGAATAAACCATTGGCTCGACTCAGGTGCTAACGGGGAACGAATTGGTCAGATAAAGAATAGTTGACGGTTTGCAAAATCACAAAAATCTCACACCAAGAACATCGATGCTGACTCATTCCGTCAATTAGCTGAGTCATCTACTTTATAAATAGATATTCAGTTATAAAAATCGAGGCTGTTAGTTGATAAGCATGGCAGAGGTTATGGATCTTAAATTATGCTTTTGTACTCTTGTCAAGTTGCTACAGCAACCGTGAACAAAATGTAGTCAAGGAATTTGCTGATATTTCTTCTATTACGCATAACCTTGAAAAGCCGCCCCTGTTGGTGAAATAGAAGTTTGGACCACATGTCCATCTGTAATGTAATGTAATGCCGTATTTTGAGAACCACTCTTAGGTTCCAAGTCAGAAGTTTTTGCATTTACAAGTATAACTAACGTAGTTATAATGAACAACGCTTAGACGTATGTTTAAGTCATCTAAAGCTAAGAGAAGCTCAACATTAGTAATCAAAAGATTACATTACCTTTGTTTTAGCTTGTATAACTAGCGGTTTTGTGCACGTTAAATCGATGAGCGGCGAGACCGTGAGGAGCTTGGGACAAAGGAAAGCTATCACCTGGTGCACAAAAAATTTTATAAAGAACGCAGAACCACCTGATACGCTAGTAACGTTTGCTGATATTCGGCTTTTTGCAAGGTTTCCGTTGCTATCCTCAAGGCGTTTATGTTTAGTAAGTAACGATGTGCGATAGAAGGGCAGAGCGGAAAAAGAGGGTCAGTGCTTTGTAACCTGTTCATTGCAGCTTGCTCTCCAATTGATGGGTAAATTCATTATTCTGTGTCATAAAATTAAGTTCCGATGATATCAAACTTTAATCTAGGGGCAATTTATGTTTATTCTCCACCGTTTCGTTAAACTGGTCTTTTACAGATCCCAAAACCCGCAAGAATCCAACGAGCTCCACCGCGCGCAGCAAGAGTAGTTTTCCAGTTTATCAGTATACTGAGTAATTTGACGAGTCAGAACAGTTACCACGGTCAAGAACTTAATTATCAAGAATCTAACGAGCTCCGTTGCAGCAAGCGAAATTTTCCAGTTTAGTAATAACAAGACAAAGAAGTTATTGCGATCATAACTTAATAATTATCATCCCAACCACATTTTGTTTTGTTTTTGATTCATAATTTACACATAGATAACCCTAAATTTACTTAAAGGGTTATGTCTAGGATTTCTACATAATGGGCTCTCTTGAGGGGTAAATTCGCATAAATATTGTTTATTTAGCCATATCATTTTAAGGGCAATATATACGTCACCAAAGTTCATTCTCATGTCGCAAATATTTGCCTTACTTAAAAAACGGAACTACTTAAGCCAACTGATACTCACTGACCGACTACGAGGGCTTATCGGATGACAGCCCTGTCAATAGTTTAAGTACTTTTAAAAAGCAAACACTTCTATACCCCGATGCTATGCCCATAACTTTTCATGTACAGTTCAGGTGAGACTTGAAATAATGGTTGACACAAACTGTTACTAAGGGTTATAAAGATTACCTCGATTGTTCAGCAAGAATGTAGTCATTCTTGAAAGTGAAGTTGCGTTTGCAGTCTAGCTGGTCGGGTTTAGCTTTTTTTTAGCGCTGCCTGTTCGTTGCTGAGTATGATACATAATTGAAAGGCTTTGTCGCCATCATTTAAGCATGCGGTGATCCCTACATAAAGATAACTTCTTTTTCGATAACCATTCATGCAGCTTCTCTTGCGCAGTTAAGAATACAATTAACAACTTTTCAAAACTATGACCATCTGCACTTAGCTCTAAGCGATTTAGTAATCGCCAAACAATCAGCTCTTTGTGATCATCAAACTAATTTTGTCTTTATACTGACCCCGCGAAGATTGACATAGAAGCTTGATATTTCGCATTGGACACTTAGCTTTTTATCTACACAGAATATGACCTTTAAAGTAGCAAACCTCTATGTGTTAGCGGTGGTCGCGTTTGAAAACAAATAAAGTAGTTTTACTTAGACTACTTAGAGCACTGAGTTCGATTATCTTGGCATCTAGGCCAAGCTTTTTTAACTGCCAATTTTGCAAATATATGTGTATGGTACTTTCCCCAAGTCTTTATCTAAGAGTGAAGGTGAATCAGTTTGATACGATGGAGTGACTCTTGAAATATCACAAATTGATTCTTTGTTGCGTTGTTTGCATGAAGTGAGTTAGATAATCATTCTAGGTTCCTTAAAACATGCCGCAGAACATGTACGCCTGTTAGAGTCACGGGAGGCATCCGTTAGTACCTCATAACACTAATTACAGATTAATCGGTAAGAATCGATATCTTGTAACATACAACTTGGCCGTTTGTAACAAGCGTCTTTTCCAGTAGCCATGGATTCGGTCTTCAACCTGATGACTCTTCTGTGAGGTGCACAACTCCTTTTGAAAGAGTTCATTAAAAGCCGACTGTGCCTGCTGACATCTCTTGTTATTTATTCTAGAATTGATTAAATTGATTTAATAGACAATGCTTTTACGCACGGTTTAATTTCTCATGCGGTCATTATTGTTTAATAATTGAATGTGCCAAACAAAAAACAAAGAAATTGTTCAGCTTGTAATAGTTGCAGTATGAATTTTTTAGTTCATTCATCGAGCGGTACGCCTCGAGCAAAGTCGTAATAAAGGGAATAAAAATCGCCGACTTTGTCGAGACGTCATACACCTGTGGTTAACGATACCGTGCATTAGTCGGGGAAACCAACTTTGCCGACTGCATGCATATGATGGCAAGATATCTGTAGACTTGTCTTAAACTTGTAACTTGTAAAGTTTAAAATTAAAAATACGTTTACATCAAAAGGTGTCACAGGAGTGAATAGCAAGATTTACATAGAAAGGTTGCCCACATTGATGACGTAGCGAGTAGAAAGACGAGATAGGCTTAGGAACGAGCTAGTCTCGAGCCCATAGTCATCGGCTCCTTTCCAGCGGTGTGAGAAGCCGGACTAGGCAGAGGTCGGCAGAGGCAGAATCATTCTCTGGGGTATTTGCGGGCGGGATATTCACCTAACTGGGGGACCCCAGGTACGTGAGCTAACCCGTGTAGTCGTGGTCGAAAAATAACCCGCGTTTACATACAATCTTACAAACCCGGGATGCCGGGGTGAAGTTTCTCTGGGTTGTTGTCGCACTTGCAATTAAGGGGTTAAGATTTCATTACGGCATAGTGTGGTAAAACGTTGCCGAAAAAACGTTATTTATTTTCTAGAAGATTTTCGCCAATAGCTCGATGCGTCAACAGTTTCTGATCATTTGATCATTTGATCATTTGATCTTTGTATCATGAACGCCTCACTCACCTGGGGTCCCCCAGCTCCATATAAACAGACCCTCAGTTCAATAGAACGAGAATGGCGCTTTCACATGGAAAGATACTTTTAGGGCGCTTCGTGCTTATTTTCCTGCTGTGTACAAAGTTGGTTTTCATGTACTTAAGTGCAATCACTTCTCCTCTCTTGAATCTTTTGCCTTTCCTAGTTGCAATGTTGTCGATAATTTTTCCCTTAGTTCTACACAGCATCGAGATAGCGTTATTTGTCGAAGCGTGGAGAATCGGGAAACGGCATCATTACTCTTACACTTGGTTTTGGTATACTGGGATATTAATAGTGGACATTATCGAAGTATTTGCACCGCATCTACTAGTCGTAGATGTAAAGCAAAATATTCTATTTGGGCCGACGGTTTTTGTCAAAGTTCTTTGTATCACACCATTTATTTTGCTACTCTTTTTGAACACTGCTGGCGAAGGAGGCGCCGAATTTCACGGGGAATCTGGATGGTTGCTTGTCACAATGTCTGCACAAATATTCGACGCCATCGATATGATAGACAATGTTTTGAACGGTAATAGGGATGGGACACCCATAGCACTTGAAGTGGGGATGATCAGCCTTGCTTCTGGATGTCTGTTGCTTGCAGCGTGGGAGTTTCTAGAACTAGCGCATCACTCACCCGAAAGCAAGAACGGAGCGAGGGTTTATCGGCTTATCGGGTTGATTCTCGTTAACCTGGCAACTTTGATAATTCGAGCAGTGGTTTATGTTGATCATGGTTGGAGGGAAACGACGTCCATCGCCAAGAATATTATCGTGATATGTACATCAGTTTCAGAATTACGCCGTTGCATCGGTAAGACTTCTCTATAAACATATCTGGATGAGGTACAACTGGCCGGGCCCGGCTAAATCAGATAATTTGGTTCAGTCATTCGCTCTGACCAAGCTCTAACGTCAGCTGTAGAAACTTTTTATGATGGCCAATTTACTTTATCAACTTAGTGGAAAAAACTAAATTATCTTGTTCTACCTCTCACCGAAGCAGCACCAGAGTTCCTTTAGAAAGTTATTACCTTTATTCTTAGGGCTTAAATCAGCTCTCCTGAGCCAAACCGATGAGGAAATATTTTGGAAAACGGTGATCTTAAATGAGGGCTCCCTCGATCAAAAGCTTTCGAATACTAACTCACAATAAGCAATAACTCGTTGAGGCTGAACATTTCACGAATAATCAAAGCCGAAGTCGGCGTTCTTTGCCGATACCGAAGGTTGAGGCAGATAACACAGTCGCGAGGTTTATACTTCTTGATATCATGCGAAAACCGAATTCAATAATTGTTTTAACCATACCTTTTTTAAATAATCTGCATAAGAAGACACTTCTCTCAAAATTTGCAAAAGTTTGAGAACACTACACGAGAGAGGGGCTTAGAGACTTGGCAGCCTTTGAACTCGAGGATAATCCACCATCTGCTACAGATATTGGGTTATCATGTCAACTTCATACACCATTGTATATTGACTGAATGCTCTCGCTTAATCAGAGTTTTCATAGTAAGTCTAATGTATAATTATGGAGTTTGTCTATAAAGACAAACCGTCCAAACTTTTTGTTTTGATGCTTTTGTTTGTTTATTTAGTGTTGTAAATTGTAAGATTTAAATGGCAAATCCAAGTCAAAGTATTCCTCTTTCTAAACCACTGGTTGAAAAGCTAGGGTATTGATATAAATTGAATGCTGAGTGGAAACATCTGTCATTGAACTTTTCAAGCAACTGTTCAGGCATGATATTCACTCTGACATAAAAATAAGAACCTACTATGTTCTGTCGTCTAAAATGTGAGTATTGTCAGTACCTTTCATCCCATTGCTAATTAATTTGTACTACCAAATTCAATGCTGTAATTATGCTTTATATTCCACTGTGCATGTTGATGAGTTGTAAGCACTGGAGCATAGCAGATAAAGTTTCCTTTGAAATAAAACTTTAAATTTCACTTTGGAAATGTTGTAAAAAATAGGTTTGTGTGTCAGCTGTTTTTTCATCCAGATGTAAAGCCCTTCAGGAGTTTGATGAGTACTCAAGTGGCTTCTATTGCTTCTAGTTATATCTTAAGCACCTCTTATGAATCTCTTGTACTCCTCAAACTTTCTGTGTGCTTAATATCTTGATGAATGCAAACCCTTGCATACACCAACTCTTAATCATACGCATTGAATGAAACAGAATTCACAATTCTATCAATACATAACATGATTGAGTGTGTTGGTGCACACTTAAACTTTTGTCTTTGAGAACATCAACTCATAAAAATCAAAACAACAGACATAATTCATCCAGCATTTAATTGGGCAGATTTGAAGGCAAAGAATTTACAAAAAAAAGGAAACCACCACATCACTTCTTCTTCTTTGATGGCAACAATATACCGTCATACTAAAAAAACAAAACAAAACAAAACAATATTAACATAGAAGTATAACATAGTAAGCTGTGTAGAGTCGGAGAGAGAGGGGAGGGATGGTGGTAACAAATGATCTTGTAAATTGTCCAGGGGAGGGGAAGTCCTAAAAAGGACTGAAATTTATGATCGTCACTTAAGTTTTGTCAGTGTGAATTAGAATAATCAACAGCTCATCTGAGACAAAGTGAAGTTCTTTATCAGTCAAAGTTACACGTTGTGATTGCAAAAACTGATTGATTAGTTTTGCTGTGAGGTCATTTACCCCAAGATTCAAGTCTTGATTATTTTCAGTCTGTTCATTTTGTCCAGTTCTTTGGATGTATTAATGCAGTGAAGAAGTCATTTGAAGAGTGCTACTAGTAATAAAAATTTCTATCAGTCCGTTATCAAAAGAGAG